AGATAGAATTTTGATTAGTACCGAACCGATAGCCATCGATAATTTTTCGACTTAAGCCTATATCCCCTTTCATTTTTCGTGAACACTCTCTTTTCAAGGCGCAACCGAAAGTTGTATTTTATGTATTTTTTTACTAATACTAAAAGCTGTCCAGTCCTAAAAATGATATTTTTAAATGAATTGAGATTTTGTAACAAACTCTGTTTTCTAATCGCTATATCTACAATTAATAACGATTAAAAACTATTGATTTTCAGGTTTAACAAAAACTAGGGAAATCTCAATAATTCCTGATCATTCAAAGATTTAAAGGATACCATTGTGAATTAGAGATATCTATCTCTAGGTAGTTGAACAGGAAGTTCTACTGTTTGATCTGCTCGGGGTTCTAGGAACTCTAGGTGGATACTTGGGACTCCTTACAGGTTAAACAATTTGGATATTAAAATTTAAGAATTAATTTATGATAAAAAAAACACTTCACACTGTTTTCTCTCAGAGGCTTAATTTTACCTGATTCATAAGGAAATTAATATTTCAAAGTGTCTAAGATTTTAGGACTACGTGAACAAATTTCGGATTTGATCAACCCTGCTCTGAATAAATGCTCTTTGTCTCTTATTGGATGGAACTGATAAGTTTAGTGGGTTGACATAAAGAGAAAAAATTTATATTTCCAGACAAAACTGAGTTCCCAAGCGCCCCATTTAAAAAAAAAAGTTCTACGCCGAATTTTATTTTTTTTTATTTTATCATTTCGATAATCTTGATTTGATTTGATTAGATAATGTCAAAGTTTCATTAATTTAATCTATATATATGTCTAATTTGATGCTTGTCTGCTTGTCTGTTTGTGTCCAATAAAAGTCAAAACGGCTGAACCGATCAGGCCCAAATTTTGAGTGGGACCCTCCATAAGGGAAGGTTTATGGATGAAAAAAATTTCAAAAATTATCCTCAAACAAAATTCGATTTTCATTAAATTTTTAAGTCCACGAATTTTTTTTATAAAATCTGCAATTTTTTTTTATTATTGCTTACAATGCATACAAAGTGAAAATGTTTACAATTGAAATAGAGTCGGGCGCAAAGTCTGAAAGTCTAGTAGTTAATATCTTTATATTTTTATATATATTTTAGGGCTGTCTATATTTTCTATTGTGTTCTCCCTGGTTCAATATTTGGTCAGACTCTACGGCAAATATTTGTAAAGTTTTAATCACACCCGAGTCTGAATTTAATGAATTTGAGCTGCGTCTGAAATACACCAAAACCCGGTTTCAATTGAGCGCTGACTTGAATCTTGAAACATGGAATTTTTAATTTAATTTCTTCAATGTCGGCCTCTGGCCTAACAGACAAAACCTAAGGGAATGCCTTTAGGTTGCATAGATATAGGGATTCAAAAATTTAAGTGTGTGCAAAGACAAAATTCCATTGTTTCATATCATAACATTTCGAACTATACTCAATTAGTGTTGTGAATCTTTTTGGATCATTTTTAATAAGTTTTAAAATATTTAATAAGACTGCAAACATGTTAAAACTGTATTTTGTTAATTTTTGATTTTATTAAACTGAAAAATATCTTTGACTGAAGAAAATATATGTTCGAAGACGATCCAAAAAATGATTGTTACGACTCGTTCGCTTTTGCATCGTTTTTGAGTCGTCTTTTGCCTTTAACTTCTGCCAGGGCTAAGATTTCACATGGTCTAAGAAAAACTAATATTTATAATACACAATTTAAAATAGATGTGATAAATTCCCTCAAGAACTAATAAAAGTATAATCACGAGATATAATTGTAGAACATTTTTTTAAATCTAAAACTTCTGTGTGTGTGTGTGTGTAACATTTTAAAACTGCTAAGGGTGAACAAAATCTTCAGCAAAAACGAAATGTCTGCTTTCTAATTTTTGTCAACGAACGACTTGCCGAAAAAAATGTTCAACAAAATTTATTCAAATTGTTTCCTTTTTTTAAAGATTTTCCTTCGCTGTAAAAGCATTGACAGATGTCTAAACATCTTTTTTCATCCAGTCAAAGCCAAACTTCCTCGTATTTCTGATTTTAAACGACAGTTTATCTTGCTTGGTGGATGATTTATTTCTCTATAAGGAAGGTTTAGTCCATGGTTTCCATTCCGTAGACAATATACTGCATGGAGAACAGGGACTAACCTTCCTTACGAGGAATGACTGAATGTAAAAATTTAAGCTGAATTTCCTTTAAGAGAAATAAATCATCTCACAAGAAAGTTAAACGGTCTTTTTAAAACAGAAATACTTACGAGGAAGTTTGGTTTTGCAGGTGGAAATATAGTGTATTATCAATAGTAAATTTATTTTATTGCCACTTCAGGTGTAAAACAAAAACATTCTGTAACATAAGTTCGGAAAGTCGCATCGCATATACGAGATTAGAGTACGATTGCTTAAAGAGGCATATATTGTATTTTGCAAATAGATAAATATTTGATAATCAATTTTCCATTTGTTTGATAATTAGGGGTGCTCGCACGTTTTTAAAAACGTTACTTTTCTATTTTTATTTTTAAAACTAACGAACCTGGCTTTAAGGAAAAAAAGAATAAAAGTAACGAACTGATAGTTTTGAGCTTTTGTGAAACGTCAAACAAACGACTATATGTTAGTTTTAATGAAAAAAACGATAGACTATGTTGATTTTTCCCGAGGTAAGTTTGTTTTCTGTTGAGAAGCGAAACTACGTTGACATTCAAAGTACTTTTACATTGCGGCAACGTCAATCTCTGACCATTGCAATGCTTTCTATAGTCTAGACCAAACCTGAATGCAATTTTTAAAATCTCTCTCTATTAAGTGGTAAAGATAGGACCAGGGTACGTTTCCAAAACTTCATTTAATCTGTTTTGCGAAATTTGCGTATTCAGCTGAACGAAAATATTAAACATAAAGTTTCGTTCAATTTGGCTTTCGTTCAAAATCCTATTTTTCACCAAAATGTTCGAACTTTCGTTGAAATCCTGTTTTATCGCAAAAACTTTCGTGAAATTTGAACCTAATTTCACAAACATGTTTAATTAGATACTAAGAAATTTAAAATTTTCGTAAAAAAATTTTTATCTAATTTTCCAATAAATTGTTGATAAAACCCTAACCAATAAAATAGACCCGGTGGGTGCCGACCGCCGGGTGGTGGCTGTTTGCATGATACATATTGATGATAAAGTTTTTATCCAGTTTAATGGGAAGACAAAAAAAGAATAAGACTGTAAAGACAACGTGAAACTCTTAACTTTAGAAAAATCCTATGTTAAATACTCACAATTTCTTAAAAATTATTGGGGGTTATTTTTATTTAATCTTTTTGGCCATATTGTTTAAAAATTGTCTTTGATTATTTATCAAATTTTGTTGACCGAATTGTGATACCGAAAATGTTAGTAAAAAATTACTAAAAACTGTAATTTCATCTATGATATCTTTGTTTGAGGATAGGGGGTAGGAACTAGTTATAGTTCTGATAATGATATTAATAAAATAAAATAAAAAGATATAGAACAGGAAAACGACATTAAAGCAGTACTAAAGTGCATTTGATGTTGTTACAAAGCAAGTTATTAAATTAATTACCAAGTATAATGGGTCTTTTTAACCTGCACAATTGTTTAGTCACATGTTCATTGGACTACTAATCCAGAGTTTTCTGGTCATCACTGTATTTGATATGATGATGATCTTTAAACCTTTATGGTTGGCGCTGCCAAGATAATATTTGATGGTTACTGGGTTGTCAAGGCCACTATTACAATATAAAACCAACAGAATTACAGCTTGGTTAATAAAGGAACTTGATTTGTGGAGATCGGACGTCATTCTTCAAATTATGTGATATGGAGGTCATTTTGAGGGACTCATGACGGTTAACCATCTCCTCCCTCAATAAAAATACCAAAGTTTTTCTTCTTGAATCAGATATAGTGTTCTGCTGTTTTTATGAAATTCTATTGGTTACATAAATTTTTTAAATTCAGAAATTAAATAATTCATGCTGTTTTGCTGTTTTGCTGTTTTGCGTGTCGTATATTAAGTTTTATAAAATAACAAGGCTTATGCAATAAAATGCTATGAAAATTCGTTTCAGTCTCTAATCTTAGTTCTATGGCGCCATTGTGTTAAAAGTTGTACTATCAATTTTCATCCTGCTACTTGGTACTTTTAGAAATCTCGCTATATATGAATTCAACAATGTATGCATAAAGAGACTTGACTAAAGATCAGATCTAATGAATCGCGAAAAGTAGACTACTTAGACACAGTTAAACCTCCTCTCTTGTGGTTCACGTTAAAGAGAATTGGTTCACCTATTCCTAACGTAGTTCAACTGCTTATCGCTGTTCATTAAAGGAATGTTATTTCTAGAAACTTATTGTCTAATTCCTTTATCTTTGCAACCCAATGTGGTAAACTGTAAATTTTTCAAACTATAAATTCTGTTAGATCAAACAATCTAAATTAAAAATATCGAAAGTGTACACCATCAGGTTGCAAAGATATTAGAAAGGATTAGAAAATTTGATTTAGTGGCAAATACTCTTCCCAATTTAAGTTTAAGCTTACAACGAACCATTTAATTAAGAAAAAACGTGCGGAGTTTATTGTTAAGTCTCAAACTTTATGGACTACTCTGTATCAACCGGCATTTTTAAGTTTATCTATTACACTTAAACAGCAAAATTATTATCTAGAAAATAATTATTCAAAAATCTTTGTTTATTGACATCAATCATTAAAAAAAACAATATTTCTTTATAACTTAGACTAATAATTTTTTCAGAAAAATTCAATATCAAAATGTTCCCAAGCAAGGTAAGTTATATTTAAATAATTCATTTTTAAAAAGAAAGTTGCAAAAAAGGGGAGTACTGTAAGTGTAATTTCAAGTGACCCTCCATGCAAAGATGACAATGTCCGATTCACAACGGTACCATTGAAACCTTTGTCTGATCAATAATTTGGAAGCTACTGATATCGTAGTTTTTGTATGTTAAACGTGTTTAATTTTGATAATTCCTACATTTTTTCCTACATTCATTTCCGCGGAGAACCCACCATTAAAAATCTTCAGTTTTAAAATAAATAAACGATAAATAAATAAATAGACGTCGGGGTCACCACTTCAGAGAGTAAGAACAAGTCTAGGATATAGTGTATTTGATATTTATTAAATCAACAGATATTATTATCCAGGATAGATCTGCACGAGTTGAAAGATGAAGACTGACTGATTCCTAGATTCTAGTTTTCTTGTTCGGAGATTTTCTTCTTTATCTTCGAGCATTTCTTGGATTGATCCTCTCAGAGTTCTGCTTCTACAATATATAATTAATTTCAAAGTTTTTAAAGTTACCATTGTAAAACGGGCACTTGAACTTCAGGGGAAACTGAATAGTTTTAAGAAACAAAATAATGAATATCTAATTCAAAGTTTATCAGTCAAATTCAATGGTACCGTTATAAATCAGGCATTGACATCTTAGCATGGAGTGTAAAATGAAAATACGCTTACAGTCCATTAAAGATATACTTTTTTGGGTTTTTATATAAAAAACAGTTTTGATTGAATTAAATATTTTAGACTGCTGTGGGCAGTTTATTAGTATCTGTTCTTATTGCAAAATACTTTATGACCACACAGCAAATTATCAGGTATAAGTTTACAGATATTTAACCTCCCCAATCTATACTAGACATATCACACCGGACTAACCAGAGTGAGCAGCATTCTGTTTCTTCGATTTGAAATCAAACGTGTTTTGGTCTGTAATTCAATAATCATTTACTTTACGCATTTGATTATTTTATACATTTTCATTTAAAAGCTTTGTCCGGTCAATAAAAGAATGAGATATCCATGATTTTTCTGTGAACATTTTTTTATTTTATTTTCAATTTCAACTGATTAAAAGTAAAACTTAACACATAAAGCAAAGCAAGAGAAATGACCATATCTTCAACATTATTGATCAGACTAAAGTTGTGATTAAAGCATTGTACATCTTTAATTGGAGGTTCGTTTGAAATTAGAATGAATCTATATACACGTGCCGAATGTGGGGTGTGTAAGCAAATTGACCAATATTCTTACCAACAACGATACGTTTCATATTTTACATATTCAATAGATTTTTCTTTTCTTTACCAGATTATTCAACTTCTCGTGGACATGTAATAACTTGTTAAAAAATACACGAATTGTTAACAATTATTATCTTACAAAATGAAATTATGAAAAGGTTTGCAAAAATGCATTTACCTGTTATATTTTAATAAAATGTACTCTGTAATATCCGTACCCTGCGTACCCATACATTTCAATAGCCAGGGTTCTTAGATACGCTGCATTTATTGCAATTTTTCACGCCCTGCTGGCAAACAGGGTTAGAATTCATTTAATAAAATGGCCCCATTTAAATATAACTCGCGGATTTAATAATATTTTTTCGCGCATTTTCAAACAGACAGACAGACAAGCAATATATTCTGAACATTCTCCTTAAGATTCCGAATATTTAATTGTTTTGTAATTTTTAAGTGGTTTCGGTATTTTGACATTATGCACAAAATGTTATAATTTTTAACAAAGAACATTGATGACGCCGAAAGAATTTATAAAATGTCGTTTTCTGATTAGCCGACTGCAATAATGGAATACTGAGATATTTAGTTTTTTTAATTGAATAATTGTTTGAGCTATTTAAAACTTGTCCCGCATATTCCATGGCTATTTATCTATTTTTACAATTATTGAGATTTGGACTTAGGTATAATAGTATAAAACCCAAAGAAAAATTTTCAAGACGACATTTTATATATTCACTCGATGTCTCCGAAGTTCTGGGTTAAACCGTGTGTTGTAATTGCATTTTCATTTACAGTATATACTTAGAATTTGGAATTTGTCTAAGACCAAACCATTTTTAGCATTGGCCCTTGTTTTTGACCTGCACTCTTTTTCTTCATAAAGCCGTGAGTGCCCCCCCCCCCCTCCCCTTTTAAAAATATAATATATTCCCTTTATTATTTTATGTAATTGATCTAGGTTAAAAATAAAAATGTATTTGTGAATTAGTCCTTTATCCCTTTATTATTTTATGTAATTGATCTAGCTTAAAAATGAAAATGTATTTATAAATTAGTCCTTCCCTTTATTAATTGATCTAGATTAAAAATGAAAATGTATTTGTAAATTAGTCCTTTATCCCTTTATTAGTCCTTTATCCCTTTATTAGTCCTTTATCCCTTTATCATTTTTAGTCAAATTCTGTTGATGACCAAATGGGATCCTTTCTGGAAAACTCAAGTCTGTATAGGTGATAAATATTTTCTTAAAAATTGGAAACTCATTTTTCAAATTTAAAAACACATTTTTTGGGGGGGTTGTGAGAGCAAGGTTTGTTTTTCTTACAGAAAATTTTCGTCCATTTTTCAGAACATTATCGTTCGTATTATAGAACATTATCGTTCCTATTTTAGAATATTATCGTTCGTTTTTTAGAACGTTTTCGTTCGTTTTTTAGAACATTTTCGTTCGTATTTTAGAACATTATCGTTTGTTTTTAGAGCATTATCGTTCGTTTTTTAGAACATTATCGTTTGTTTTTTAGAACATCGTTCGTATTTTAGAACATTATCATTCGTATTTTAGAACATTATCGTTTGTTTTTTAGAGCGTTATCGTTTGCTTTTAAGAGCATTATCGTTCGTATTTTAGAACATTATCGTTCGTATTTTAGAGCATTATCGTTCGTATTTTAGAACATTATCGTTCCTATTTTAGAATATTATCGTTCGTTTTTTAGAACATTATCGTTCGTTTTTTAGAACATTATCGTTCGTATTTTAAAACATTATCGTTTGTTTTTAGAGCATTATCGTTCGTTTTTTAGAACATTATAGTTTGTTTTTTAGAGCGTTAGATCGTTTGTTTATAGAACATTATTGTTTGTTGTTTAGAACATTATCGTTTGTTTTTGAGAACATTATTGTTCGTTTTTAGAACATTATCGTTTGTCACGACAATATTTTTAAATAATGTTTCTAGGATCCAACTGTAAAGCGGCTGCAGCACAGTGTTTCACAAATAGTAAATGTATCCAGGTTAATTCTTTTTTTTAATTCAAAATTATTTTTTTCGTAAAAGTTTTTTATCTTGTACTATACTGAGTGTTACCTAAGTATGGTGTTACAATTGTTTTCTTTTTACGATTTTTACAAATTGTTTAATAGTTTTAAATACATTTGTGTCGATCTTCAGATGTTGAGTGAAGTAATCTGTTGAAACTTTAGATCATATTTTGGGATTAACATTTTAATTCTGAGAATTGAAATATTTTGGAATGGTTTGCTACAATGTGATACAATCATAGATAAAAACAATACAGATAACACTTCACAATAAACCTGAGGCAGGCCCAAGAAAGTTACGTGCATACTCTCCCATCTATGTCTTGGTTTTCAACGCTGCCTGCGTGGAACTTCAATTGGGCCTCTGCCTCGGGGTTATTGTGAACGAAAAAAGCCTCACATCTAGTGTTTTTCTGCAATATTATTAATCTATTGAATAAACTCCAATTGTAGGCACGGGCATCGTTTCGCAAAAGTCAAGGTGTTTGAGTTTACGTCAAACTGAAATAAATTCCACGCAAGAATGAAATATTTCAAAATGAAAATGAGCTATGGGGTCACAAGGCCGTAGCAGTAATGTCTCTCAATGTCTCCTACTGTCTAAAGTTAACAGTGAGTTAAAAAGAAAAACCATGAACAAAATGTCAAAATTATATTCTCAATTATTACTTTATTCAAAATGTCAACTCAGCACTTTTAGAGAATACACTTTTAAAATTTAGAACTATCACGTAATCTTGTATAATCTTATAAGCTAATAAAAATAAAACTTTAAACATTTATAAACGGTTGAGACAAGGATTCCCATCTCTTCTATGGTGCCACACCTGAATCAAGGATTTGTCAAGTGTCTGAAATACAGGACTCACCATTTATTTTCTGTCAAATATATGTATTTATATTCAAATAGAATTCATACTCGCGGGCTTAGCCAAAACACACTTTTATAACAGTTTTAGAATGTTTCCTTCAATTTTCATCTTTCGTAGTAGTAGTAACTTTCTCTTTTAAAAAAATGGTTAAGAAGTGATGAAGTTTAAGAAACAAGATTTGAACTATAAGACAAGTAATTTTAATTAATCTTTGTTTGTCTGTTTTTTGGGTCATAACTCATGAACCCCATTACCGAATTGCCTCAAATTTTGATGGGGAACTCGAGAACACGAGAACTTTTATATCAATTGGTTTTAAGATTCCAAGTTAAGTGGTTCCACTTTTAAAAGAAAAATAGCTAAAATCTTAATAGCCGGGCTCTTTTCTATATTTCTTTGAAAATATTCAATATTAATCTTTAATATATAATATTTAGACTATTGGTTGCATAAATACCTGTATGCTGGAAAATATTGACCGGGAAGATAAGGTGGCATCCTGTGCATATCTCTGTGAGATGACCCATGGTTATGAGAACCCTCAGGTAGGATGACCTATGGTTATGAGAACCCTCAGGTAGGAAGACCTATGGTTATGAGAACCCTTAGGTAGGATGACCTATGGATATGAGAACCCTTAGGTAGGATGACCCATGGTTATGAGAACCCTCAGGTAGGATGACCCATGGATATGAGAACCCTCAGAGAACTTAAATATTCTTTTTTTAAGATACGGAAGTGCCAAAATTTCAGTTACCAGGAAAAATAACAAAAAATGTACACCGAAACTACATTATTTGTTTTCATAAAACGATCCTGTCGCACCTACCAAGAGGTGTTTCAGTCGTCACGTTCCATTTTTATAGAAGCAAAAACCTGTGATTGTCTTCTAACTCTGGTGGTTGACAATCATGTTTCGAGCATTTATATCTGCAGTGGGTGCTCCCCCCCCCCCTCCAATATAGATGAAACCTAATGCTAGTGAAAACATATCCTAGGTTTCATAATATCTTAATTCCTTCCTTAATCTTCCAGGTCACTGATACTGCAGAAAATATATATTATTCGTCTCATTACAGAAGCAATAACAAAGTTCAAATTGACCAAATTATTGTTGAGTTTTTTAGTCAGTCTTCATCATTATATTTACTATCATACATTGACCAGGGAGTATAGGAGAACCATTAATCATGAGATTTACAATATCCAAGCTGATATTGAATGTTGCAATAATTTTCAAGACTGGGTCGACTTTGAAATATCACCACGCCTTGACTTTTGATTTGACCTCGATATACTTGTTTTTAGCACTAGACATGTACTATAAAGCACTTGTTTTTAAATTTAGTTTTTAACAAGTAATTGGCAAAATTTTCATCGATTTTTACGCGAGCGCTAGCAAACTTTTTAAGTTTAAGAGCATTTTTTCCCTTTAAAAGTCTAAAATCTGGGCCTTAGTCTATAACTTTGAATATAAAGGAGATCTTATTTCTCTTTTAAGAAAGGATGAATTATCAAAGTAACAGAGAACGCGACCATATATTAATTATCAATAACATATAGGACACTAGATATCATCTTTTCAAGAACCTGGGTTTTTCGTTCACAATAAACCTGAGTCAGAAGCGCAGGCAGCGTTAAATTACAAGACAGAGAGAGAGCATGCACTGCCTGCGTGAAACCAAGGTTATTAAATACTAAAGTGGGCAGAGGCTGAACTCCAACCTTCGAGTGTGCGAGTGGGGAAGACTTCACTGCCGCGCTTAATTAAAAGCATGATTATGGGGGGATGACATTTGTAGATCGAGATTGAATCCTAGCCGCAGCGCTCGGCCCAGAAAGTGTCATAACTTAACCTAACTCGTGGCCGCAGCGCTCGGCCCCCTAGCCTGTCCTAGCCGCAGCGCATTTGTAGATCGAGATTGAATCCTAGCCGCAGCGCTCGGCCCAGAAAGTGTCATAACTTAACCTAACCCGTGGCCGCAGCGCTCGGCCCCCTAGCCTGTCCTAGCCGCAGCGCCCGGCCTAGAAAGTGTCTTAACCTGACCTAATTTTATGTCCCAAGTATTTAAAAATTTTATTTATGTAAATTGGTCTGGTCGGAGTGCACAGTACAACAGAAACTCCCGTTGTTTACAAACACAGACTTAGAATTTGTATTTAACCTAAATATAGATAAACGTAAATTAAGATTTCAGAAGGAAATTTTAGCCATTTTACTGCACAATGAATATTTTCTGAAAGCACAATAATGCCTCCATGTATAATCTGTAAAACAAGGAATGCAGAATTTGTGATACCGAAAAATGAAGATCTTCGAAATATATCTCTTGGTCTCCACTTTGTATTTAAGAGTGGTAAAGAATTAAACATAGTTTTAAAGATATTAAGAGAGGCGTATTTAGGTTTTTTTTTTGCCCAGATAGGGCTTACACTTCTCTTTCTTTTTAGGGGGGGGGGAGGCCAAAACCCCCCAAAAAGCACAATTTCACAAATCCAGGTAGGGGATGAGCTTCCATGGCCCCCCTTAAATACGTCTTTGGATAATAACAGATGTGTTTAAGAAATTTACAAACATATTGGGGAATGGAGTGGATTTGATAGAACAAAACTAAGCAGTTTTAAAGATAAACTCCTATAAAATTAGAAGTGCCAAGCAAAATCAATGAATTGATTAAGCAACTATGTAATGAATTCTGTATTTATCTATGTTCGTTTATCTATGTTCATGTTGACCCTTAATGACCAGTACGGTCAGTTTAAATTCACCTGTATATAAATAAATTTAGTTCAATTGTATTCGTTGATTTATACAGACGTATATAGAGCCTAGAGTTTGGCGGAGAATAGAGAGCCTTGAGTTTTGGCTAGAGATAGAGATAAGTGTGTTCTTTATTAGACTTTGAGTATAGTAATCGCGTCTAGATTTGTTACAACTATGTAGTATTTACATATAAATTACATACAAACATACACAAATTTTTGATTTTTAATTATGAAAATTTCGAAGTTCTAACTGAAGACGACATTTACATGGGTCTTTTGTCTATTTTTTCTAGTCTTAACTTTCCAAAAGAAATCTTTTCATGCAATTATTTCCAAACCAAATGAAACCTTATGGCCCAACCTGTCGTCGTTGCCTTAGTCTGTTCCACTTTAGTATTTATTCACTTTGGCGTGTTTCAAGATTTAGGGGTTTTTCATTCACCTGAAGCAGAAGCCCAGGAAGCGTAAAATAACAATAAAAGAGTGAGAGCATGCGCTGCCTGCGTGGAACTCCTTTGGGATTCTACCTAAGAGTTATTTTGACAAAAAAAACCTAAATCTTGAAAAGACAACATCTAGTGTCCAATCTGTTTATTAATTAATCTATAAACGCAATATTTTTAGTCAACATTCCCTTTATTAGATCTTTAATAGTAGTAGTAGTACTTATACTTTCTGCACTTACTCTCTTATCTTTGCTATTTAGTTAGACGTCTGGGTATTTTAGACTCTAGATTCGTTTCTATTAACATTGTTTAGACAATTAAAAAGTTAAAAACTTATTAGTAGTACAAAACAAATATACTTTTTATCTATTTGTGAGAGAAGCTGAATTTTTTAAAAATTGAATTTGAGTAAAGAAAGCATGCTAGCGAAATAATACAGGGTGTTCAAATAAACAAGAAAATGTTGTGACTACTAAAAGATTGTATTTGTTAAGTTTAATACCTAATTTTAAGAGCCATAATTAAGTTGCTAGAGTATATTTAATAAAAAATGGTCAAAAGCCATATCTAGGATGAGAAGTTGTTTAAACTGAATATTCTAGGTTGGGAAGTGGTTTCAACTCAATACTCTACCTTGGAAAGTTGAATGAACGAAATGTTCTAGATTAAGAAAGTGATTTAAACTAAATTTTCTAGGTTGAAAATTCTGTTTATACTTTTGTTGTCGTATAGCAGCAAGATTCTCAATAATGAACAGATAGACAACGGGATAACCCTCAAATCAAAACCGATAATGAAGGGAAACTCTTTATTTCCTGAAAAAAATGATATGAATAATAACATGTGAATTATTACAATGAATTTTTTATAATGGAAAGATTCTTACGATCTAATAAGCGATATTGGAGGGTTAAATTGTCGGACAGTCCTAAGACGTTTTTTTTAAACTTCTGAAAAAAATGACAATTAATTATTGACGAAAGTCACTAATTCTTTATGTGAAAATATTCTTTGTTTAACTTTTTGAAATTGATGGATTCACAATGCTTTAAGTTGTTTACACTCCGATGGGGAACAAAGGACGGAGCCGCTTAAAATTATTTGGTTTGGACTTTAGTGTCTCCAAGAGGGGTTATAAGTTAAAGACGTCTTTACATACATGTATCATAGTTAATGGTTGACAACTTTAGGTTTGTTTAACGAAATTCTCTGTATTGGGAATTAGATTAAACTAAATTGCTAGGTTGAAAAGTTGTTTAAACTGAATATTCTGGGTTGGGAAGTAGTTTGAATAAATTTTCTAGGTTGGAAAGTGTTTTAAACTAAATATTCTAGGAGGGAAGTGATTTAAACTAAATGTTCTAGTTTGGAAAGTGGTTTAAATTTAATATTCTAGGTTAGGGAAGGGTTTGGAAATGTTTTAAACTGAATATTCAAGATTAGGAAGTGGTTTGTAGTGAGTACTAACTTGTTGAAAAATTTAAGATTTGTTCAAATTTTTAGCGTACCGACCTTAGTGACTTTTAAGGTAATGCTGGTCAACGTTTCATAAACGAGACAAAAGTTTTTGAAAATTGCGTAAGATTTTGTTAACGAAAGGCAAAAACAAGCATTTTGAAATCGTTAAAGAGCGAGAATAACCATTCGTGAGATAAAAAGAACGAACAAATGTGTTTTAAAATAATTTTTGCCAAAAATAAAAATTAATTTAATTGTGTTGTAATTTTATTACCGTTAGTTCAGTTCTTAGCTTAAACCAAACGGCTACTTAAAAGTTGGTCTGTTTTGTTATGCTCACTATTTAAGGTTTCAAAAATGTCTGAGCTTGTTTCACCACGTGTTTATTTGAACTTCCTACATTTTATTCTCGATCATGTTTTCTTTTATTTTAATCAATTGAACAAATTTAACTTCTTGCAATTAGATAACAGAGTGTACTTTATAGCTTGAATACATAATATGACGTATAGTCTAAATGAAAGGTCATTAAAAATTACCCGAGAGACGTCTTGTGTTTTATTAATTTTTGTATTAATCAAGAACGATGACATCTATAAACTTTAGAGATCACTTTAAAAATAAAACTCATTAAATGTCTGATAAGAAAGGAACCGAGAGACCTCTGGTGTCTTTAATTTTTTATAAAAGGCAACACGTAGAAAAAAATACATACACATATATAATATAAATCCATCGGCTAATTTGTTTCGGAGCGAGGGAGGGAAAGAGAAATAGATAAATATCCATTGTTTAAAAGTTCTGAGCTGGGAAACTTAGAATGGATAACCTTTAATCCAAACTACTTAATCCGAATATCCACTGTGGAAACTTTTAATTTTAGTCCTTAATCCACTCTTTTTCTCTCTCTTTGGATATCCGTACATTATTTTCTCCAATGAGAGTGTAGGAATAGTTCGTAAATTGTATTGACCAATGACAGCCTTGAAAATAATTTCTATTCCATGAGAGAAAACCGCAATTTCTAACAAATAAAGAATTTGTTGTCGGCCATTTTGTAAATTAATCGGTTAAGAAAAATATTTAAGACCAGGTTTGGGATTCTTTTGTGAGCAATTTTAACTAATGTATTACAAAATAAATTAGTGAGAAATTAAGTGAGGGCCCTTTCAGTCAAGAAAACGAACCAATCTGGCATTCTTAAAATCCATTTTGTTGATCGAAATATTTAATCTCAATACTAACATAATTTTGAGATTATGTTAGTCTCGAGATTAGCAAAAAGAGAGGATTAAGCATTAATCCTGATATCCACCATTCTAAAGTTCGCAGCTCTGATCAATTGAATTTCATTTAAAAACTTTTTATGCACTTGTATATGAATTGTGAGCTTTTATAGGGAAACCCACAAAGGGAGAAACTTCAGAGACGACTGTTTGAAACTTTTATTAGGTGTTTCCTTAAAATCATGGTTCCCTGCAAATGTAAACATGTTTCTTTTATCGTCAATCAATAAACATGCCGTTAAACGACCATTTTAGGCAGACGTAGGGTTTCCAGCAAACTAAAACTTTGCGAAAAGTTTCAAAAATTGGTGAAAGTTTTCTGTTAGCAAATTTGTCCGCGAAATTTCGCATTTTAGCAAAAATAAATTAAGCCACAATGAGGCGAAATTTCATGAAAAAATATTTCGCGTAAAAAAAATCCGCAAACACCGCTACTGTTGTAGCTGCAAAAAAAGCATTAGAAGTTCATTATTATAGTACAATAAATTTCGCATTTTTTTCGCGAAACAGATGAAAGCGAAATTTTGCAATAAAATGAAACCTTTTGCACTTTTTTCAACGAACGAAATAAGAAAAAAGGTGAAATTTTCGGCAAAAAACTTTTTTTTCAAAAAAGCCAAAATTCCCCAAACGATTTCCCGATTTCGCTGGAAACCCTAGCCGAAGAAGATTTATTGTAACCTTGGAATCACATTTAAATAGTTTCGTCTAATTAAGGCTACCCCTGTTTTATATTTTTTCAATTTCTTGGTGAAAGACGAAACAAATATTTTTCCGAATTAACTAATTTTAATTATATACTGGCAAAGTTTTCAAAAAATCTGTTCAATATTTATTTTATAATTTAGATATTTATTTAGGTCTATAATGATGATGTAATTTGTGTACCAGTTCCGTGCTCTTGAAATATATTTGGGTGTAATTTTTATCTTTAGAGATCTGCCGATAAAGATCAATAAATCACAAAAACATCTGAGCTGGGAACTTTTGTGCTGACTGTTGGTTTGTCATAATCCCGATCGCTTGATATCGATATCCAGTAAGGACACGTTTAATCTCATTATTTTAGTTATACCTCCAGGCTACAACTACCATGCAGGATTTCGAATAAAGATTGAAAGATAGAGATCAATCATTGGTCTCAATATCCATAATACAAGAGTCCCTAGCTCAGGTAGTTTTAATATTTGGATTGATCTTGCTGCTCTAATATAAAAGTATTGACCGATACCTTCTTTAATTTTCCCCCAACAGTTCATTCAATGCAACATTTTTGTTTTTAGTTTATGGCAATGATTGAGTGTATGCTGGATAATAAGTGTTTAAAACAATATCCTGATGATGGTCCTTGTGTAGGCTCTAACAAGGATGCTATAACCTCAGTCAAAACCATGGAGGACATAGAGGTAATAGAGTATACATCATGGAGGACAGGGTGACTGGTAGTAAAATTATTATATACAGGGTGATTTGTAGTAAAATTGTTATCTACAGGATGACTGATAGTAAAACGATTATATACAGGGTGACTGGTAGTAAAACGATTACATACAGGGTGACTGGTAGTAAAATTATTATAAAGAGGGTGGCTGGTAGTGAAATTGTTATATACAGGGTGACTGGTAGTAAAATGATTGAAAACAGGGTGACTGGTAGTAAAATTGTTATATACAGGGTGACTGGTAGTAAAATTATTATATGCAGGGTGACTGTTGGTAAAATTATTATATACAGGGTGACTGGTAGTAAAATTATTATATACAGGGTGACTGGTGGGTATTACGAGGTGTGAACTGTGGAGAATCTCCCTACCCTGGAGGATATGATTGGTATCCTTGTCAGCATGAGAGATTTATCAAGTTAGTCAGAATATTTCTAAACTCATATTTTTACCTTTAACTTTTTTGATCCCACGCTTCATTGATTAGTTAAAATAAGATATAGGACACTAGATGTCGTCTTTTCAAAATTTCTTTGTGATAGTTTACAATAACCCTGAGGCAGAAGCCAATAGGAGTTACGGGTAGTCAGCGTAGAACAAGACATAGAGAGAGCCTGTTCTACACCGACTACGTGTAACTCCATTGGGTTTCTGCCTCAGGGTTAAATGTAAACAAAACACACGGAAAATCTTGAAAAGGAGACATCTAGTGTCCTACCTGATATCTTAATTAATCTATGCCACTCTTCCTTTCAACAAATAATAATATCTTTAAGATGGAAAATTTTAAGATTTATTAAATAAATACACAATGGCAGGAATATCAGAAATATAAGAAATATAAGTAAACAAATTCCGAACATTCTTCTTTGAAGTATCATCCTTTATATATGGATAACCCTATAGCTAAAAAGTATGAAAATATATGTTAGAACCGAATCTGGACAATGGATCAACAACGTGACCTACTGTGGAGGAAAGCATAATGGTTGCTCTACAGATATTATTGTTACTATTGCTAATGTTTCCATGCCACACCCTGGAGTTGTTAATCATGTTTATACAGATGCACCTCTTGAACCTCAGGTACCTTATACAAGCTTGAAGTAGGAATTATCATTAAACCTTGCAATATCTAAAATCTGACCGTAGATATCTACCAAAAAAACTGGTAAAATAGTTTGTAGATATTTCTGGAGCACCTTCTAAGCCTTAATTGTTTGAATACGGCCGGATCCTTAATTTAGTATTCCTTGTTCATTTCATGGTAACACAAATATAATCAGGGACACTGCAACAAGTGTATCTAGATTTCTTCCAGTATAATATCATTGTGTGCAGATTGTAAAAACAGTTGTTTTCTTTATCTCACTGAATTAAAATATATGCCTACCATTCACTATAGGATACCAGGCACGATATGAGACCATTGATGTTATTTATTAATTTAATTATTGTTAATATTAACATACAAATGTTAATGTTAATATTAACATACAAATGTTAATGTTAATAAATATTAACGTATAAATGTTATAGGTTAATGTTATTGTTTATGTGTATGTTAATATTATTTACTTTAATGAATTGTTTAAAGTCAATGTTAATGTTAATGTTAATGTTAATGTTAATGTTAACATTGAATACTGACAATCATAACAATTAATGGTTTGTTGAAAGTCAATGTTAATGTTAATGTTAATGTCAATGTTAACATTTTATACTGACAATCATAAACTTTCAATAACTGTTTAAAGTCAATGTTAATGTTAATGTAAATGTTAATGTTAATGTTAATGTTAATGTTAATGTTAATGCTAATGCTAATGTTAATGTTATAGGTTATAGGAGACAACTATAAATTTTCAATAACTGTTTAAAGCCGATGTTAATGTTAATGTTAATGTTAATGTTAATGATAATATTAATGTTAATGTTAATGTAAATGTTAATCTTAATTTTAATGTTAATGTTAATGTTAATGTTAACATTATATACTGATAATCATAAACTTTCAATTATTGTTTAAAGTGAATGTTAATGTTAATGTTAACGTTATAGGTTAAGGATTGGAGACAATTATAAATTTTCAATAACTGTTTAAAGCCAATGTTAATGTTAATGTTAATGTTAATGTTAATGTTAATATGTTAAGTTTATATACTGATACTCATAAACCTTCAATTATTGTTTAAAGTGAATGTTAATGTTAATGTTATAGGTTGAGGATTGGAGACTAGTAAGTATGCCATCTCCTGATTATGCGCTTATGCTGTGGTGTGGTCGTCTTCCTGTTCTAGATTATGCCGGGGGAATAGTCATCTCAAAACACAGGGACATCGAGACAATTAATATAAAAACACATATAAAGGGAGGGTTCACGAAAATAAAAGAGGTTTAGGTTGATAAAAAATAAAATATGAAAAAGATTATGAATTGTGAAACTGTGGATCCGAGAATCTCTACATAATTTTTTGATACAGGGTGTCCCACGAAACATGACAGTTGGTGAATGGTTTAAAATGTCTTCTTCCATAATTTTTTAAGTTGTTTGATACCAAAGAGAATAATAAAAAATATTGTATGGGAGTCATCTTAAAGTAAAATTATTTTCAACGTAAAATATATTTGAGTTAAAGATTGTTTTAACAAAATGAACTACAAAAAGTCTTTTATATCTAATACAGTACATGGAAGAAGACATTCAAAACTATTCACCAACTGTCATGTTTCGTGGGTATTTCCGTTTTTTATAGTGAATTTCTAAGATTACAAATATGTTTTTTTTTGACTAGTCACAAACCTTCATTGGGTCATGTGATTAACCACAACAAACTTAGTCTAATCGTTCCAGCCGTTTATTGTAAACAAACATACAAATAGACATTTCCAAATTGGAATACTAATTGTCTATGTTCCCTAGGAATGACAAGAATATGCCTGAGTCAGTGTTAAAAGAATTCAGGAAAAAACAACCTTCATTTTTATTAATCTTTTTTAATGTTTTGAATAATCCATGAGTTAATATTGTGTTTTTATTTCAACAGGAGAGTTCTGAAAACCCATGGACTTGACTGGGACAAAATGTGCCCAAGTGACAATGATCACTGTCCTGTTTAATTAGACAGTGATCACTGCCCTGTTTAATTAGACAGTGACCACTGACTTGTTAAATTAGACAGTGATAACGGCCCTGTTCAATTAGACAATGATCACTGACATGTTTAATTATACAGTGATCACTGCCATGCTTAATTAGACAATGATCATTGCCCTGTTTAGTTATACAGTGATCACTGCCCTGTTTAATTAGACAGTGATCACTTCCCTGTTTAATTAAACAGTGATCCAGGCCCTGTTTAATTATTCAGTGATCACTGCCCTGTTTAATTATTCATTGATCACTGCCCTGTTAAATTATTCATTGATCACTGGCCTGTTTAATTAAACAATGATCGAATAGACATTCCAGATCTCTTTTGTCTGAAAAAATGCCAATCATCTTCCAATATATTTGTTACACATAGAAAACATTAAAACTTGAATGCTGTAAAAATTTTATAACCTTAGAGGAAAAATTTGATTTTTTAAATCTATTAACTATTCAATTAAAATCGAATGAATGCATGAATATTTTTACTAAGTAGTTATTTTTTTTCGATGAAAACTTAGTTTATAGATTGTAATATAGGTTCAAGTAAATATTGTATTCAAGCACACTCTTGTAATGTTCTCATATGTTAATTTATTTAAATTTTTTACTTATGTTAATAAGAAATTCAGAGAAAGGAAATTTTCCGTTTTCCCTCAGATTTCAGAACTTCAACTTTACATTACTAAGACTTAGAAACTTATCTTAAAAAAATAAATGAAAAAGAAATTCAGAGATAGGGATCTAAACAACAAAAAACCCTTATTGACATATAATAATGTAAAAATTTAAGCATTAAATTATTTTCTATATATTATTTAACTTCTGAAGTATTTTCAAATATCTTCTTTAGTAGTTTTCATTAAAAGATTATTCTATAAAAGATTCTTTGTTAATTCAAAGTTTTAGTTTTTGCCACAACATTTTCATTTCAGGATTCATTTTGGAATATGCAAACTTTGGTCCGAAAAAGTGGATTCAGAGGCAAAATTTCTATTCTTCATTTAATGACTTTCATTCAGCAGTAAAAATGTCTGGCATGCTTAAAATTAAATTAAAAAAATATGAATTTTTATAATCTTTATTCTAGCATATCGAACATTAACTTTATGATGGGAAGATTTAATTCCATTGGACCTTGAGTTAAGTTATTTAAGTTCTAAAAAATCGGTTTTCTAACTTCTGCATTTTCCAGAAGACGATGCTTCAAATTTCAATTCGATTGTCTTTCTTTAATCAAATTACAACGAAGAATTTAAAATGGAAGCAATGACATGGGACACATGGTGGTTTGGTTAAAGAAATTATTATAAAAGCTTTTAGTGCATTATTGATAAAATTGTGATTTAAATAAAAATTAATTTTCAAGGAGTTAAAATGAAAACCTACGCTTTTTCTAATCCCCTGTAAACCCAACCTCAGCTTTCTTAACGAGGTTTCGGTTGCCTAAACTCATTAAAGTTTCCTGAGCCCACGATTTAAAGCTTACACTCGGGTTTTAATTCCTTAGATTCAGATTTGAGGCTTCATCTTAGACCCAACAGCATGTGCACACGTGATCTACAGCTGCCAGTCCTCGATAAAAAAACGACCTTGGTGTAGGGTTTCCACGAAATAGCTAAATCTTTTGCGCAAAATTTGCGGTATTTTCGCGCAATTTTTTTTTTGCGAACTTTTGCGCTATTTTTGCGCATGAAACGCAATGAGTTTTGCGCGGTTTTGCGCTATTTTTTTGTGCAATTTGCGCAAAACCGGAAATATTTTTTGCGAAAGTTGCGCATGAAACATTGGAATGTGCAAACTTTGGTCCGAAAAAGTGGATTTAGGTGCAAAATTTCTATTCTTCATTGATTGACTTTCATTCAGCAGTAAAAATGTCTGGTATGCTTACCGTGTTCGATACTTTAAATATCCATGTTTAATTTCCTATCAATTACAAATTAAAAAAATATGAATTTTTTAAAACTTGATTCCAGCATATCGAACATTAACTTTATGATGGGAAGATTTAATTCCATTGGATCTTGAGTTAAGTTATTTAAGTTCTAAAAAATTGGCTTTGTAAACTATTCTGCATTTTCCAGAAGACGATGCTTCAAATTTCAAATCGATTGTCTTTCTTTAATCAAACTACAACTAAGAATTTAAATGGAAGAAATCCGCCAATTTCAACAATGAAAATCCATCAATGACAAAATCACGCAGGCTCAATAAACCCAACTCTGTAAAAAATTAGTCTGAACTTATCCCAAAACTTAAGTCTTTAATTAGTTTCAGTCAGAGTTTAGTCTTGAGTCTTATTTTCCACAAAAATAGACTAAATGTGGTGAAAGTAAATGTAAACAGTACCTTCAGTTTAATTCCCCCTCTATTAGTATATTTCTATGGCAACCTAGCAGTGTATATTTGTATACTGTAGTGTATATATACAAGGTAAAATAAAACCAGTTTCATTGTTATAAAATAATAAATAACTCTCATTATTCATCCTCAGAGTTCAGCAGCTTTTAAATGCATAACACTTCACGCCTCTGCACTGGGCTAGAAGTATTTTTTCCTCCGAAACCTTTTTTAAAGAAAATTTTAAATATTTTCCGCTTCACTTTTTTTATAAATGAATTTAACAAAAAATGTGAATCAAGGTTTCCCAAGATACATTTAATGTTTCCAGGCTTTTAGTTCAAGAGTAGCTAAATGATTCTCAGAGGAATCAACTTCCCGTACTTTTAAAAGGACTAGTTACCAAATTTTAGACTGCCTTCAACAATTCTGCTTAACTTACACTATATGTCAAATTAAAAACCCAGTACAAAGAGAAGATTTGTTAAGACGAACTGAAATAATTGTTTTTTTTGTTCACCATTTCCTAATCCCTCTAATCTTTGTAACTGGATATCGTAGACCTTTCATATTTTAACAAATGAATTCTGTCAGAATACAGAGAAAACCGGAAAACGCTGAATTAGGAAGACGACTTTTAACTGAAGTAAGGACTTAAACTAGTTCAATGAACATTGACATAGCAATTGTATAGTGTAAATAGACCCTTTTCACTTAAATTGTGCTTTGCTAAGTTAATAGTAAAAATGTTTGCTTTGTAACAACATCAAAACGCGTAAGTATTGCTATAATGTCGTATTTCTATTCCATTGTTTTCTGGTTATCACTGTATACAATTTTTATATCTCAACAAATGAATTCTGTCAGATTATAAAACTTTAATATTTCAACAAATGAATTCTGTCAGATTATACAATATAAATTATACATAGTCTTTGAAATTGTTTGAAATATCAAAGGTTTACACCATCAGGTTTTAAAATTTAGGAATTATGAAATTCATAATGTGTTTCTTTAGTCTGAAATTTTGACCCGTAAATAAACTCTTCAAAACATTATACTCAAAGAGAAAATAGTTTTTTTATTACATTCGTTAAATTGGAACAAAGAAAGTTATCCGCAAGTTGGTTTTCACTTTTTTGGGGTTTCCTCTAATTTGTTTTGCCATTGATCGTGGGTTAGAGGTAATCCTTATAAAAGGCAAAATATTAATTTTTTATTTTTATTATCCGAGAGTTACTGGATTTTCGAACATTCCTGGAAAACATAAAAATGTCGTCTTCATTATCAAAAATCCTCGAAACAGGAATAAAAGTTTTCAAATGTGACTCTCAGATCATAAAAAAAATAAAGAAATATTATAAAATATCAACTATATTGGAATGCGTCGAAAAATTATCGATGATTATTGTTTGTAATATCTGAATGATTTGCTTGGAATTAAATTGATTACTTTACGATTAGAGTTGAATGTTGCAACTTTCCAAATTTTTATGGACGCTACGTTCTTCGTTATGAGTCGTTTTTAACAATTTTCTCCTTATAGATGCAACAGATAGAAGTAATATTAGTAGCAATCAAACGCGCATATTTTTCGCCGTAAGCCTATACCCCTTTTCATTTTTCACGAAAACTTCCTTTAATGACGACCTAAACCCCCGAATTTATGCGTTAAATGTAGTTTTTGAAAGGAATGCTTAATGTGTACGAAATAAGTGAACTAACTAAATTCCGTACAGTTGTCTCAGAAGTCTCATCCTTTGTGGGTAACCCTGCAGTTAAACAAGCTTCTGTCATAAATACGTATTAAGCTTTATAAAGGCCCTTGTTTGTATTTACTTGTGAATACTAAGAATTAGATTATGAAATTTAATTAGATTTGAAACTTGCTTCATATTTAAAATGTCGTCTTCATCTGGCACTTGTCGTGGATTTTGTGGATTCTTTTGTGGAGCTCGTAATAACTGCTGCGGAATTCAGGTTGGTGAATTTTTGAAGTTGGGAGGAAGTGAAGATTATTTAATCGTCTTTGAGTTAAAAAGGGACTGCAAGGGTAATTTCAAATGTGTCAGGTATTTTCCCAAAAGGCATTTTTCGAAGAGTGACTTCCCAAGTGACGACTTCGCTATTAGTAACTTCCCAAATGTGCAATTTCCCAAACGGCAACTTTTCAAACGTTAGGTTAGGCCTTCTGAGGCGCCGGAGGCTGCAACGGGGGGCTACGAGAGCATTTGTGTTAGGGAGGGGGAGATTTTTGTTGTTCCCCCCCTGGCAACATTGTGGCCCACCCCCTTAAAAACCCCTTTTTTGAAAAAATATTGTTACCTTTTTTAACTATGTAAACTATTCGATAATAAACACAATTCCAAATTACAAGTGTTAATATTTTTCTTAAGCTAGCTTCAAGGGATGAAAAACAGAGATGGAAACGTTTCAAAAACCATCTATATTTTCTTAGGATCGATACATATGGTTTTATAAATTATACGTATGTATTTACACTGTAGGCAGTGCTGATTAAAGCTTTTTTAATGAAACTTTTTTAGTTAAGGGCAAAAGTGAGATTTTAAAGTATTTTTTATACGATGTAATCATACTTAAATGGAATAAATGCGTAATTTCAAGTGACGCTCCATTTATAGAGTGACATGTCCCGATGTACCTTTGAAACCTTCATTTTTCCATCGTTTCTGAAGCAAGAAATGCACGAGTCACTTTTGTTGAGAAACCACAAATAAAAATAATCAGTTTTCAAAATGGGAAACATGGATATTTAATTCAATATTTGATCAGACAAAGCTTTGAAGGGTATTGTTGTGATTCAGAATATATTTTATTTCTTTTCTTAATCTTTTAGTTAGGGTGAGTGCAATGCAATGCAATGCAGAATGTAGATTGCCTGAGGAAGGGAAATGCAAGCAGATATAATATTACAAGAGCCCACCATAGGTGCCCCCCTCGGGGGGCCTTCATATGCGTCTGCTAGTGTTTTAATAAATGATTTCAACGCAGTACAGGTTTTAACTCAATGTTTATCTTGCAGAGATGTTATACAGACATGTCATAAACCGTTAACATAAAATATACTTTAGCAGACCTAACTTTATTTTTACAATTAGGTAATGCAGCGCTAATTCTTAACAAAAACGATTTAGCATTTTTTCCTTAATTCTCGTGTTTATCGGGACAAAAATTTTATGATTTTTAGAAAGACCATGCACACCTTATATTTAATATTTTTTAAGATCCTCAAAGACGCTAAATGGACATTTTTCGCTCTCATTTATCTTTCTAATATAGTAAAAATATTATTTCTGAATTCCCAAATATGATTTCCCCTGATATATGAATCCCCCTAATATATGAATCCCCTTATATACAGTGAAACCCTTAATTACGAATACATCGGAAGAATTTATCAAATGTCGTCTTGACAATTTTTCGATGAGTTTTATACTATATTACGTATTACGTATTTGCAAAAATAAATAAATAACCATGAATATGCGGGAACAGTTTTAAAGAGGCTCATATAATCATTTAATTAAAAAACTAAATATCTGCAACTTTCCATTATCAGAAAGAGAAGAATACGACATTTGATGAATTCTTTCGATGTATTCGTTATTAAGGGTTTCACTGTATGAATCCCCTTCTAATATATGAATCATTCTAATATATGAATCATTCTAATATATGAATCCCTCTAACATATAAATCCCTCAAATATATGAATCCCTCTCTTATTTGAATCCCGGAATATATGAATCCCTTTGATATATAAATCCCCCTAATACATGAATCCCCTTCTAATATATGAATCATTCTAATATATGAATCATTATAATATATGAATCCCTCTAACATATAAATCCCTCAAATATATGAATCCCTCTCATATATGAATCCCCTAATATATTATAATCCCCCTAATATATAAATCCCTCTAATATATAAATCCCTCTAATATATGAATCCCTCTAATATATTATAATCCCCCTAATATATAAATCCTTCTAATATATAAATCCCTCTAATATATAAATTCCTCTAATATATGATTGAACCTTTAGAATTTTGAGATCAATCATCACAAACATCATTCACATTTTGAAAGGCAAGCTTTTTCATTATTTAAAACAAGATTTAGGTTTTTAAAAGAGGAATAATTTAAAATAAAAATCTCTGTTCTAGTTTAAAATATTTTACATTATCTTGAATTTTTTTACTTTAAATTGACATTTAAAATACAAAAATCGTACTTTGCAAATTTTTTGCTACATATTTTAGGCCAAAGTTTTTAAAGTCATTGAGTTTTTGCTACAAACTCTGTTTTTCTAATCTCAATATCTTTGCAACCTGATGTCGTAGGCCTTTGATATTTCAAACTCTGGACTGTTTTAGATGAAAGAGCATAAATTAGTTAAAATATCAAAGGTTTACGCTATCAGGTTGTACAAATATAGGGATGGGAAAATTCGAGTTTGTGGAAAAAAATCAGTTATTTAGATCGTCAATTAACCTTCCCATGGGTCATGTGACTTGCCAAAAAAAATGTTGAGCCCAATTAATCGGTTCTGCCGTTTTGAAGTTATTTGGAAACAGACAGACAGCCAAATTTACATGTAGATTCAAGATTTACATGTAGATTCAAGATTTACATGTAGATTCAAGATTTACANATTTCTTGCTAACTCAAATATCAAAAGTTTTCATATTTTAGTTCATAATAACGAACACATAATGACATTAAAATATAATAAATTTAAATGTTATTGGGCTGCTGTTACTGAAAAAAACATCAAATAGTGTCTATAGAGAGGGACCGTCCCTTTCCGCTTAAATTCTGAACGAAAAATCGGCTTTTTCTCCGGCCACAGTTGTCTTTGAAAAGTAAGACTATTACCAATCAAGAGCGAATAGACAGTTCAGTTTACCCTGAAATTACCCAAGTAAGTGAACGGTCCCTTTAAATATTTTAAATATTTTTCAAATTTTCATAATTTTCCTCGGATAACTTCAGAGCCCAAAACTTAAGACAGGGTTATCTTTTTAACCCAGTTTCGGAAACCCGGTTTTATGAATGAAGTCAGACAATATTGTAGATACCAACATTTTTGTGTAAGAAATATTATTTTCATGGTTAGGTTTATATTCTCTTTTTATTTCTTATATCCTACACAAATACCCCCAAAAAGTAAACTGGGAATTTAGTTAAATAATACTCTTTTAAATTTCTGCCTCAGTTCGACTGTACCAAACCAAATCATGGTAGATACTTTTCTGTTATCTACTTTTCCACTTAAAGGGACTGTAAAGGAAAAATAAAAGGGGGTATAGGCTGAAAGCTAATCGCTTTAGCTCTCGATCGCTACCCATGACAGTTATATCTGATGTTCCTATCTCGAGAAATTGAATTACAACTTTGTCAAATTTATACGAAAATTAATATATATACAATTTTGTATAAAAGTAGTGGGTTTAAATAGATTAAATTCGGAAAATATGCAACCAATCTGAAAATGATGATATCCCAGAAAAAGCTAATTGTAACTAATGTTTAATCCAATTCTAATTTTGTATTTGTTATTTCTATTTTTTATAGATTTAATTCATAATATTATTTATACGTCCGTATTGCTTCACCAGAAATTCCACTAATGGCATTGCAGTAAAGTGGTCACGTGATACAGGCGGAGACACATGACCAGTATACTGCTCTGCCATTGGTGATAGTTCTGGTCACGTGATTCAAGTTTAAGATTTTCTAAATTTTACATATATGAACTTTCGTATAATTTTAACACAGTTTTATATCAATTTCTCGAGAGGAACATCAGATATAACTTTCATGGGTCGCGATCAAGAGCTAAAGTGATTAGCTTTCAGCCTATACCCCCTTTCATTTTTCCTTTACAGTCCCTTTAAATACGTTATTCAAGAAAAAAAAATCAAATTCAATCTTCAAAACTTGATTTTTAAGAGCTTAGGTCGTCCTTTAATGTCTCATCCTGTGATATTCAACAAGTGTATTCGGGAATTTAGAAATTTCCGCAAATGTCCAACAAATTCGAAAACTCGAAGCATTTTCGATATTATTTGCTCAAATATCATTTCGACAATTGTTGTTGATATGGCATGTATTTTTTACCTGACAACATTTGTTAAGTTTTACGTTTGTGCGAACATTGCAACAAAATTTCGGGCAAGTACTTTCTCAAAATTTGGAAACCCTAGTTACAAACTGCATATTAGATTCAGATTCCGTTTTTGCGGAAATGATTTCAATTACTTATTGTAAGGACACTTGCTTTCAAAGTTATTATTTAGGGCATATGTACTGTCATGTTTTTTCTGTACCTGGCAAATATTTTTAAAATTCGCAAATTTGATGATTTCGAAAGAGAAAGTTGTTTCTCGAATTTTCAAGTTGCATATCAGAGAATGGTTGTGAACATTTTTCCAAATTAAAATTAAGAATTTTTCCTTAATTATTAACAGCTTATTTGAACCCGGCCATAAGTGTGGACTAGGAAGTCGATGTTTATGAGCAATCATTTCCTATGTAATTAGCTAGAAAATTCCTTAATTAAAGGGAGTGTACACGTAGTTTCAATTAAACCTAGATATGCAAATATGGTAATACTCGATTCACAACGGTACCTTTATAACCTTTATCTGATCAATCATGTGGAACATTATGTTGTTCCTCGAGGTTTGAAAGTGTTATTACTGTGAATTCAAATATAAGAAACTCAAAAGGAACAGACCGGCTATTTAAGGTACAGGATGTCCCTAATTTACTAGATAATAATATAAAAATATAATATTAAAAGATAATATTTTGATATTGGTTCCCTAAGTTTAAGTGGCACTTAAATCACTTATTCCAATAAAACAGACATAACAGATTCTAATTTTTTTTTAATAAGAAATCATCTTTATTTTCATATTTGTAGAATTGTTTTCGATAACTAATATGTGCGCAACATTCACAGATACATCATTTTCACATGTTCTAAACAACAATTTAGTTTATAACACAAAATTAATTTAAATCATTATAGATATTTCGCACTATATACCAATAATATTTAATTGTTGCTATTTGCTTTCTATAATTTTAGAGTATAGTTATATCTATTATTATTCTTTTTTAACATTATGTAAACGCCAATATTGATATTTGAACATCTGTTCCTAAACGGACTGTAAGCGTAATTATTAGTACCCACCCTTCCACCCTTCTTTCAAAAATAACAATGCCCAATTCACAACGGTACCCTTGAAAACTTAATCTGATCAATAATGTAAAAGAAATTGCAGTTTTTCTAGGTTCAAAGTGTTTAATTCTGATAATATTTTATGTTTTCCTGCACCAGAAATGCGCAAGTAACTTATGTACAGTAACAAGTCCACAATTGAAAATAAAAGTTTTCATAATTTCCAACATTAACATTTAATTTCTACTTTAAAAGTACCGTTGGTTTAATAGGGCATTGCCACTCCATAGAGGGTCACGTGAAATTACGTAAACAGTCCCTTTAATATATTGAGAAGAATGTTACAAATTTTAACCATGGAATTTGGAATGGTTAACATAGTTTAAACCTATCTAAAGTGTAAGAATTCCAGGGCGCATACAGGGGGCTCAGCTCCCCCCCCCTTGAAAAATCACAACTGTTATTTTCAAGAGGTGTGACTTCAAAAAGATTAAATTATTGCAAACGCCCCAGAATATGAAGAATGTAGAATTGTTCTGGTTTTATGCTTAGTTGTATATTTAATTGGACACTTGGTTGTATATTTAGTTGGACACTTAGTTGTATATTTAGTGAGCACTTAGTTGTATATTTAGTTGGACACTTAGTTGTATATTTAGTTGGACACTTAGTTGTATATTTAGTTGGACACTTAGTTGTATATTTTTCCAAGAGTGCTCAGCCGGCTCCATGTTTTACTGTTGTCCGGTATTTCATGCCCTTCACTAGTTTCCTGTATGTCCAGTAATTCCTGCTTTTCTCTCACTTCATGTCCCAGGGATTTTAACTTGTTTTCTTCTTTCTCCTTTCTTTCCTGCAATTCTTGCAAATCCAGGCTGTCTTGTCTGAGGTTCATATCCCGAATACTTTTCCTGTCCTCCATTTCATGCCAGTCTCTTATATCCTTCCTGTCCTGACTTTCCTGTCTTAGAAACCTTTCACGTCTTTTTATTCTTTCGTGCATGTCCTTCCTGTCATGCATGTCCTTCCTGTCATGCATGTCCTTCCTGTCATGAATATCCTGTCTATCCCAACCGTCCTGCATGTCCTTCATGTCCTGTGTGTCCTGTTTGTCTCTTTTGACCACTAGACTAGATGTTGAAGGACAGAATGAATGTTTCCTCTGGAGTACTTGTAACACACCGTGTTGGTTTGCATTATTGGATTCTCTTGAACTCTGGTTATATTAAGCATCTTTATTTTACGTTCTTTAAACCATGTACTTAACAAATTAAGTGAACAATTTTCCTTTAATGAATTTTCTCGACACCGTTTCCCAATTTACTATTTCGTAACTTTTTCCCAGACAACTATTTCCAAAGTTCCTATTCCCCAATTTACTATTTCTAAAAGGGACTGTCGGTCTAATTTAAAGTGACACTCTAATTAAAGAGATGCATTCCCGATTCATACTGGTACAATTTACACCTTTATCAGAGCAACGCTGTCTTGAACCGTGTTGAATTATGTAAATTTCGATTTTGTCTGTTTTGTATTCATCCGCAATATATTTTAATCGAGAAACCATGATTGAAAAAAATTAATTTTCAGAGAAAAAGCAAGAAACCTTTCATCACTTTTATTGAGGAAAAAGTTGTGCATATTGAGCGTGAAACTTTTGAAACTGGAGGGTCACTTAAACTTACGTCGACACTCCATTAAAGTAATTTTTATAGAAATTTTCAACTAAAGTTTCAAATACTTATGAGTTATGGGCAAAAATATGGTTCCTTTTTTAGGGCTCCAAAGAACTTTATTCTGAAAAAAAAAATGTTTTTTTACTTCGCAACATTTTTATCTCTTAAAAAATATAAAAGGAAAAACACTAACTAAACTATTATGCAGCTTAAGTTACATATTGCAAAAGTATCAATTTCCAAATCCCGAAAAAACTATTTGCAAAAAGTTCTATAATTAATATTGGGAGAAAAGATGGTTTGCCTGTGAAGTAAAGGATCGAGCCCATGAGTCCTAAATACAAGGAAATAATGATTAGTAAACGAAATCTCGGTTTTGTCCTTTACCATTATATTTTTTCCAAAGTTTTTTTAGAGAAAACACTGGAACCCCCGATTTAAAAGCTTAGGCTTGATTCTTAATTCCTTAGACCCAGGTGTAATGCTCAATCTTAGACCAAACTTATGAATCAGTTGACGACAGCATGTGTAACGTGATTGCCTGCTGCCATCTCTAAAACTCGACTTATAGAGTTTAGCCCCATAAAAATAAAACAGACCTTGGTTGGTTTTAGTGGAGAATTAGTCTCAATGCTGAGTTTTATTCTAATCAAATCACTCAAATCCACAAATTCCAACCATAAAAATCCGCCAAATACAATATTGAACTTGCCATTTGTAAAAAGCGAAGAAAAACCTTCCTCCCTCTAACCAGCAATGTTGTCATTTCAGCTTTCGCCAATAATCAGTTACGTCATATGAGGTTTTGGAATGTCAATTGCTATGAAGATGACATTTTCAACATATTGGAGCGCATGCAGAGTATCTAACCTCCATATACAACTTTGGTTTAACCTATACTGTATCTATTATAACTCTCTTCTGATAAATTATTTACACTATAACAACCAACATTAATTTGTTGTACCTGTGATATCTGAGAGTTTGTAGATTTTGTTGTAGACCGAGAAAGGCTCCTAAATGAACAATGAAAAATATAACAACAGAACATTTTTCAAACAAATAAAAATCTGGAAACTAAAACTAAATCGGAAGTAAATGTTATTCTGAAATACTAGAAAACTCTGGTTCATTTTAAGTACAGGGTTGTATTTCAAGTACAGGGTTGTATTTCAAGTACAGGGNAAATGTTATTCTGAAATACTAGAAAACTCTGGTTCATTTTAAGTACAGGGTTGTATTTCAAGTACAGGGTTTTATTTCAAGTACAGGGTTGTATTTCAAGTACAGGGTTGTATTTCAAGTACAGGGTTGTATTAGGTCCAACAAAACTTGAAGATTTCAACGTTGACTTTGAATTTTTTTATATCCTTCCTTTCCTGACTTTCCTGTCTTAGAAACCTTTCACGTCTTTTTATTCTTTCGTGCATGTCCTTCCTGTCATGCATGTCCGTCCTGTCATGAATATCCTGTCTATCCCAACCGTCCTGCATGTCCTTCATGTCCTGTGTGTCCTGTTTGTCTCTTTTGACCACTAGACTAGATGTTGAAGGACAGAATGAATGTTTCCTCTGGAGTACTTGTAACACACCGTGTTGGTTTGCATTATTGGATTCTCTTGAACTCTGGTTATATTTAGCATCTTTATTTTACGTTCTTTAAACCATGTACTTAACAAATTAAGTGAACAATTTTCCTTTAATGAATTTTCTCGACACCGTTTCCCAATTTACTATTTCGTAACTTTTTCCCAGACAACTATTTCCAAAGTTCCTATTCCCCAATTTACTATTTCTAAAAGGGACTGTCGGTCTAATTTAAAGTGACACTCCAATTAAAGAGATGCATGTCCGATTCACACTGGTATCATTTACACCTTTATCAGAGCAACGCTGTCTTGAAGTGTGTTGAATTCTGTAAATTTCGATTTTGTCTACTTTGTGTTCATCCGCAATATATTGTAATGATTGAAAATAATTAATTTTCAGAGAAAAAGCAAGAAACCTTTCATCACTTTTATTGAGGAAAAAGTTGTGCATATTGAGCGTGAAACTTTTGAAACTGGAGGGTAAAGTACAGGGTTGTATTTCAAGTACAGGGTTGTATTTCAAGTACAGGGTTGTATTTCAAGCACAGGGTTGTATTTCAAGTACAGGGTTTTGAGAGGTCCAACAAAACTTGAAGATTTCAACGTTGACTTTGAATTTTTTTAAACTTTGCTCTCTGCCTAAGCTTGAAATTTAAAAGGTTTAATGTATACTATCAGGCTGCAAAGATATGAGAATTATTCTGAGACGAAGCAGTTCCTTCATATACATGTTTCATTCTCTCTTTAATAAGCTCAAATTCAGCATTCACTAAATTTAGTTTTTGCCAAAACGACAAAAAAAAATCAGTTTGGGTATTTATGATAATTCAAGAAAAACAGCAGGTTACCTGTAGATTTGACCGAGGAAAGAGGGGCGAATGGGGGAAAGTTTTTCTTCCCTGGAAAATTGTTTAGATTAAAAATTTCTCACAACTTTTCTCTTTACTTATCAAATTATTTTTCTAAAAATATGTTATAAAAGATGCTAATTGTGTGTTTATAAAGCTATTAGTGTAAATGTTTTAAACTAAACTAATCATATGAATTATTATTATTATTCTAATCTTTCTAAACGTTTTTCTGGAAAAAATGGAAAAATTGTATGTTTAAAATGGTTACCAAAATTTGGTATACCTTCTTTGTATCTTGTTATTTAAAGGAGAAACTGGTGTTTAATAAGTTAGAATTTGTACAAATTTCTTAATACCTCCATAAATTTTGAAGGTGGAAAAATGGTAGACCACATTTTGGAATTTCCAAGACAAGCAACTTCGGTGTAAAATGTTTCAAAACGTTTTGTTCTATTGTTCTCTTCAATAGCTCTCCATATTAAAGGAGCTATCAATAAAAACTTACAAGATCTTAATCTGATGAATTTACATTCAAAGTTTGGACAAAACGATATGGTACTTGAGAATGTCGTCACTTAAAGGAACAGACCGGCTATTTAAGGTACAGGATGTCCCACATCAAATTAGACCGCGTCAATGGGATTCATTTGAAGACATATAAAACTTGTTAAAGATCTGTAAATCCTTAGTTTGAGCGCAAAGTCGACGTTCAAAATCGTAATTTTGGGTGGATACGTGTTCAGAGATTTTTTTTTAATTATTAAATAACGACGACAAAAAATTAAAACAAAATTCTGCAGTAAACTAATTAATTGTATAGGAACAGGTTGAGAAAATAAAAATTAATCTTATCATCGAAAATAAGTTGTCTTCTTTAATTATTAGTTTCTTACATAATCTCTGATTATTCACAAAGATGATTTTCTGGAATTTTTATTGAAAAGACGACATTTAAAGAATTTGTAGAAATTTGCGAATAAATTCATAAAAAATAAGAAATTCAATATAATGATGAAAACGAAATAATCGATTCTTTCTAGCATTGATTTATTGACAAATTTCTTTTGAGAAATATGTTCCTAACCATCTAATTAGTTTACTGTAAAATTTTACTTTATTTTTCGTTGTCGTTATTTAATAATTCAAAAAAACCGATTCTGAAAATGTACCCACCTAAATACATGATTTTGAACGTCGACTATGCACTCAAACTCTGTAATTATACATCGTAGAAACGTTTTATATGTCTGAAGTGAATCCACAACACTTCACTCCATACTTCAGTTTAACTACCTATACATAGCCGGTCTGTTCCTTTAATTCCAATTAATTTTGTGACACTTTGTATGAGAAAAAAACACATACAAAAAAAAATACAAAAAATATGTCATTTTACCTGTCGACTGTTCTGAAAAACGCGGCTCCTAAAAAAATATTCCCATTAAATAAATTTACTTTTTTTCTTAGAAGAAACAATAGGTATAATTCATGGAGATGGAATTAAACAAACATATAACAACATTGATTCAACGATCATTTTCAAGTGACCCTCTATTTAAAATATAGCTTTCCGGTGGTTTTCCCTTTTTTTTACAGATAAAACTCCGGTTCATTTGAAGTACCGTACAAACTTATAGGCAGCTAGAGCTAGTATAAAGACATTTACCTTCTAGACCCGGCTTCTAGATAAATTAATTGTAAAATGTTAAACTCTTAAATATACACCCACTACCCCAGGTTCCCCCCCCCCCTCGCCCTTTTACATCCGTGTATTTACATTTAAACATAATAATGAAATAATGAGAATTGAGAGCAAAAGCAAAAAAGTTGGACGAAACATAATTTAATTCTAAATCAGTTTTCTGATGAATAATAAATCATCTATTTCAGGAAATTTTTCTTTCTGTCATTTCTTTGAATGTTATTATTGTTTAAGCTTATTATTAAGCAATTCAAAAATCAAAATTAAATTTAGATTTTTTTACGTTTAGCTCTGAAAAAGGCGAAAGAAAAGTTAAATCTGATCTTAAACCCATTTTTTAAATATATATTTGTTAGTCAAAAGAGGCGAATGAGATGGGTTTCTTAAATAAAGTTGGCAATAATTTTTTAACGCCCCCCCCCCCTCCACCCATTTCCCCACATGTCGTCGATGATTTTTCCAAAGTTATAGGTTAAAAATACCTTTCAAGGAAGCAAAGAATGCCTTTTTTCTTTCTGGACCTGAAAATAGATTAAACTTTAAGAGGAATTAAAAAACGTATTTTCTATGTCCGATTAACAGCGGAATCTTTCTTAACTGATTTTCCACTAAATCTACAAAAAATTAGAAATTACACAAAGCTTGGTGTGACGGTTTGAAAAATTTTACGCGGGACGATTATCCCATTTGGAATTGATTAGAAATAATCGTCCCGTAATTTTTTTCAGCAGGTCACACCCCTAGCTTCAGTATGGCGGATGGCCTTTACGGTTCCAAAGATCCAAATTGATCCGTACAAATTGGAAACCATGGGCACTACAGTTTCCACCTCCCCCCCCCCCATAATCACAGTAGTTTCACACGTCCATCAGGGTTCACTCACGTGCTTGGTGAGTACTCTGGACCAATAGAATTGCAAAGGCGGCAAGATCTATCTATAATTTGTCTATTCAAATATTATAATCCAAATAGAATTTTAAAAATCTGTTTTTGTTTTTAACCTGATGATGATGATGATGTTGATAACATAGGACGACCAGGAGAACTACATGCTGATCTTGTTCCAGATGCTGAAGCTAAATAATATCAACATTATGCACATTATGAACATTATGAACATTATAAACATTATCAGCATTATCAACATTATCAACATTATCAACATTATGAACATTTTGAACATTTTGAACATTATTAACATTATCAACAATATAAACAATATCAACATTATCAACATTATCACATATAAACATTATCAACAATATTTACAATATCTACAATATCAATATTATCAACATTATCAACAATATCTACAATATTACCAATATCTACAATATCAACAATATCTACAATATCTACAAATATCTACAATATCTAGATATTGTAGATATCTACAATATCTACAATATCAACACTATCAACAATATCGACAATATCTACAATATCTACAATATCTACAATATCTACAATATCTACAATATCTACAATATTTACAATATCTGCAATATCTACAATATCTACAATATCTACAATATCTACAATATCTACAATGTTTACAATACCTACAATATCTACAATATCAACATTATCAACAATTTCCACAATATCAACAATACCTACAATATTTACAATATCTACAATAAATACAATATCTACAATATCAACAGTATTTACAATATCAACAATACCTACAATATCAACAATATCTGCAATATCTACAAAATTTACAATACCTACAATATCTACAATATCAACAATATCAACAATATCTACAATACCTACAATATCTACAATATCAACAATATCTGCAATATCTACAATATATACAATATCTACAACATCTACAATGTTTACATTATCAACTATATCTGCAATATCTATAATATCATCAATATCTACAATATCTTAAAAATCAACACTTTCAACAATTTTAACAATATCAACAATATCAACAATATCTATAATATCTACAATATTAACAATATCTTCAATATCAACATTATCACAATATCAACTATATATCTACAATATCTATAATATCATCAATATCTACAATATCTTAAATATCAACAATGTTAACAATGTCAACAATATCAACAATATCAATATTATTAACAATATCAATATTATCAAAAATATCTACAATGTCAACAATATCTACAATATCAACATCATCAACAATGTTAACAATATCTACATTCTCAACAATATTAACAATGTGAACAATATTTACACTATCTACAATATCAACATTATTAACAATATCTACAATATCAACAATATTAACAATATCTACAATATTTACAATATAAAGAATATCAACAATATCTGTGTAATGTTTACAACAGTTTTTCGGTTTCTGATACAATTAGGAATAATGATTTAAAAAATCAAACATATTTTATGTTTTTCATTCAAAAGTTGGAAAATAATATTATTAACTAGTTGATCTGCATGAAGCAAGAATCCCTGAGCTAAAAACTTGGATACTCTTGGTTTTTCCCACCGATTAAGTCGCATTTTTTCGCATTCCGTTTGTAGAAAAGAACGAAAATTAAATTAATATTTGAGATGTGGGTGTCTGTTTAAAGGGACTGTAAAACAAATATGTGGCCCTTTATTAAAGTTGAATGTCCAATTCACACCAGTACCCTGTTAATGTAAATAACGATAATGCAGGTAATGTCGTTTTTTATCTTGAAAATTGTTGAAGTCTTTATTTATTGTCTTTGATCAGCATAAATCTGCAAGTCAATTTTCAGCTAGAAAAACAAGGATATCTCAATCTTTTATAATCAGACAGAGGTTGTTTATCGAACATGGCACTCTACAAATGGGGATTAATTAAAAGTCGAAAGTACGTCTGACTCTACAGTCTGCAGTGCCGTTAAATATTCTATAGAATTTTGTCTGGGTGCAAAATAAATAAAGGTTAAATATTTTAAGTTAAATTGTCTCAGGATTCAATTGAACATGGGGACAGGAAAAAGGTAAAATTGAAATTTTAAAATATTGATTTTTTCCTTTTTATATTAATGTAATGTTCTAGCTTGCAAGAAAATTTGATTTAAAACTCGCAATCATTGTTTTATATAATTCTAAAGCTCCGGAGAAACTGTGAAACTTAATAAAGCATTAATTAAACGAAATTTTAAGAAAAAAGGAACTTCTTTTCAAATCAGCATGTTTTAATGAGGATCATGAAAAATTAAAATTAGTTTATAAAAGATGTCAATTCCTTTCAAGAAATGTTTCAAAAATGTTTTTTTCCCTTCATTTTTTTATGCATATTTTCGTTAAAAAAAGGAAGAAAAAATGTAAAATTGAAATAGAATCTAGGCTTTTTTTTTAAATAATCGGATTTTTCCTCCACTACTTTCCTCCCTATTCTCAGTTGTTTTACAATAGCACTTTACCTATATTTTGACGGGAAAAAAAACGACTTCTGCAACCACTTGCGACCAAAGCGTTTTTTGGGGGTGTTCAAAAAAGTTATGACATCCAAAAAATGTTGGATTTTAACATTTTGTTAATCTTAGGTAAGTCCACACGAGGGAAGGGGGGAAGGCCATGTGGCTATGAGCCCAGCAATATCCTGTTTGAACTTAGGTAGTTATAGCAGATCCCTGCCCGAACCCCGCTGAATCCTTTTCGAGACCAGCAAAAAACTGTTCAAAAAACAAAATTTTATGAAAATTGACTTAAAAAAGAAATAATTTTAAAAGTGAAAACGTGGGGGACCGGGAAATAGGTTACATATTTCTCTTAGCTTAAAAATAAAAATCAATGCTTTAAAACTCTTTTATAGTGTAAAATTCTGTCTTCTTAGATTTAACAAATACTAAAGATGAAATGATCATAGTGATGAATAGGTGATATGTAAAATCTTGCATAAAAATATATTTTGCAACTTATTATTTATCATTCAAACCATACACCATTCATACAATAATGTGTAGAAAGTGTATAATTATGATGTTTACAATTCTTTTTATAATTCATACTATACTCATTGAAATGTTTGCTTTATTCCCACCTACTCCCCAAAGTGATTAAATACTATTAAATACTATTAAATAGTATTTATTCACTTTGCCTACTACCACCTCCTCCCACCTTCTCCCTCGACCCCCCTCCCTTTTTCTCAAGCATTACGCTACCCTCTAGTGAACTTTTTATTAGAGATACAACCTTTATAGTATATCAAGAAAAAAATATGATTGTTATACATTTCTTCGGGTAAGTTTTATTTCAGACTTTAAAAAACCGATTTTCAAGTCTGAAAAAGTGCTTAAATTGATTTTTATCTTAAAAATAAAATTTAAAACAAATTGGGAAAATTTTAGTTCTAAGCGATTTTTTTTACAATTTTACCCACAAAATTCAATTTTTTTTAAAACTCAAAATATGAATTTTTTAGTTCCAAAAACCACTTTTTGTAATATCATGACCAATATTAACCATCCATCATACTTTCCTCACTTTTTGGAATTTTTTCGCATCGTGAATTGGCTGCATTTGCATGGGATTTCCAATTTTATTCGGATCAATCAAGAGTAAAGACTTTACGGAAACTTTCTTAAAGCTGATAAGAATGATACACCATCTAAATTTAATACGTAGAAATCCATTTTCTTTTTTTGTGTAGAATGTAGACATCTTGAGATGTTTAACCCTATAAAGGCTGGGATGTCTGAATATGTATAAGCCTAAAAAAGGGGTAAGAGTAAAGGGATAGGGTTGCAATGCAATGTTTATTGTCCATAACCCAATTCTTCAAGGCCAGCTCATTTGAAAAATAGACAGCTAACTTCAATAGTTTGGGTGGTTCATTTTTCAAGTTTCAAAAATGTAGTTTTAGATCTGTGTTGTTCTTATAACAATTTGTTCAACACAGACCGGCCTTTTAACCGTCCTCCTGTACCCTACTCTTTGCATTTGTTCAACACAGACCGGCCTTTATACCGTCCTCCTGTACCCTACTCTTTGCATTTGTTCAACACAGACCGGCCTTTATACCGTCCTCCTGTACCCTACTCTTTGCATTTGTTCAACACAGACCGGCCTTTATACCGTCCTCCTGTACCCTACTCTTTGCATTAAACAAAATTGGCAAAATCCTTTAAATAACTATTCCTTAAAAGTAACAAAATTGCAATAAATTGTCAAAAAATTAGAGTGCTAAGGCATAAAAAACACTAGAGGGGGGGGGGGGGGGGCGTCCAACGCCCCCTTCCCAGTCTGTTTAAGGTTAAGTCGCACCATATTTTTCTTAGCTCCAGTTTTAAAGCAATTTTTTAAATAAACATTCTATTTTTAATTAGCAACTCCAAAAACCGTCAATTGTAATACAAAGAGAGTTATTGTCTCGTCATTATGAAAATATATTTGATCTATAGTGGTAAAATTACTAAAAATTCTGTTAACGATTATTTCATGTGAAATCGGCGGAAAAAGTTGGAAGACAATATTAAATAACATAAAAAACCCTTCAAAAAACACCAAAATAATTGTATTTTTCAGTTTTAAATTGAAAAAAAAATAACAGGAGTTATTTTGAGACACATCCGTTCGTTAGTTTTTATTAACCGTTAAATTTGTTTAATACCGGCTATTTCCGTTCGTTAACGATTCGACATTAACAATTGTTGCTGTTCGTTTACAACGGACTCTTCCGTTAACTTTCAGAAACTTTCGGTACGTTAACTTAAAGTTTCCCAGCCCGGCATATTAAAAAGTATAAGTAGTGAACTATACATTTTTTGTTCAGTTATTAAGTTATTTTCAAGTTTATAGCTGCATGTTTAATTAATTTTATTCTAAATATAAAATTATTGTAATTTTACCTTCTTTGTGTTCGCTATTTCTGCGGTTTCCGTTTCTTTTTGAATCATATGATATTTGTAAAATTTTTCAAAACTTAAAATCTAGAAATGAAACTTTGCCATATTTAAATAAAAAAGTTATTTTTTATTTAAATCATATTTTCCTGATGCTAAAGAAACGCCTCGTCCTTAAAAAAAGCAGTTTTTACAGACTTATTTAAAAAAAAACTTTCATTTCCATTTTAAAATTGAATTTGATAATTCAAAAAAATATTTATTAAAAAAGATTACCATGGTTTATCCTTAGATTCCATCGGTAGAGTTTCTGAAATAGATCTTTGTAATAAAAACACACTAATTTAAAAAAAATCTGAGCGAGATTTTAGATATGATTTATTAAATAATTAGTAAAAGAATTCGGCGTTGCCAGTTCCTGTAAGGCTATAAGTTTTGTGACTGTTTATCTTCCAGAGCTAAAAACTCCTGTATAGATCTCTATATCCACTGTGGACACTTTTAATTTTCTGCTTAGTCCTCTATTTTGGATATTCTTGCTGGATTCAAACCACTGAGAGTTCTCTTATTTATCGTGGGCAACATTTGATTTGATGATTCCTCTGATGTTTGCATTTTAGATACTTTTCCGGATATTACTGTAAGATTAAATCAATCTTAACCCTCATGGGACCTTGAAATCTGTTAATATTGTTGACACCGTTAATACCGTTAAAATACTGGTAACATCCGTAGTTTTTAGATTTTTTATAAACAAATATCTTGGAGTTGCTACAGATTACACAGATAGAACCAAGGCAGAAAATTCCTGTTTAGTTTTGTACACGGTTGTTACTATCAATCATTAAGAAAACCTATTAGTTACTGTGTAAGAGGACTCCCACCCCCCTCTCCTACAAAAACTGCCAGTTACAAGCCTGATTATGAGCTTGACTTATATAAAGCAACAGCTACCTTTATTGTCCTGTCTGTGAATTCTGTGCGTGTGGACTGTGGACCCCAAATACATGGGTGTTAAAGTACGCTCCGGTTTTAGGGGCATAGTGTATGAGGGAATTAGAAAGGGGGGGGGGGCAGGAAATCAGTCTACTTATTTTTAATAGATATGAATTTATTATCTTACATAAATTTATGCATTTTATGATTCTTAATTAACAATTATATGTCCCCCGCGCATCTCTCAATTTTTTAACGCCCCTGATCAAAATAGGTAACTAAAGCAAAAAACAAGTTTCAAATTTTTTTTCAATATAATATTCTTGCGTTCTTATTTTCTAGTTAATCGTGTATCTAGCTTTCTTTTCTTAACTTAAAGTTTTTTATCTTTAATGTCTTTTATTCATAATTGTAATATAAACTATTAAGGAATATGTGCAAGAGAGCATGTTCGTATAGATAACTGCAAGACTTTCAAAATTTATGTTCAAAAAAGTAAATTTTTTCTTGTTCTTTTTTTATAGTTTTTGCCATTCTAATTTCTTTGTATGATGGTGTATTTTTCGACCTATATGCAAATCCGCTATGCTTCACTTCTGACCTAAGCCAAATCCGCTATACTACAAATTCGACCTACTAGCACGTGGTTTTACAGCTGCTATATGGATGGCCGCAGCGCCCGGCCCCCTAGCCTGTCCTATCCGCGGCGCTCTGCTCCCTAGCTTAAGCGCTCGGCCCAGAAATTGTCTTAACCTAACCTAACCTAAGTAATACAAACATAAACTGCTGGCGTAGGTCCGATATCATTGCAGTATAGGTCGGAAAGTTAGTAGGTCAGAAGTTCAGTATGGGGGGATGTTGCGTAAAGACGATGTAAACCCTTTGTTTCCAGTTTGGCTGTTTTCCCGCACCCTTATTTTCCTAAAGTTTTATCTCTAAATGTTTCTGTTTATGTTCACGTCAAACTAAAGTAAATTTCACGCCAAATGGAAATCTTACATATCTAAAATCATGATTCTTCTTATCGAAGAAATATTTAGAAGAAGAAAAACATGTTTTGAATTTGTAAGTAATCGGATAAATTGGCTCTTGTCATAATTGGGCTCGAGTGGGATTCCTGTTGTGCGAAATGTCCCGTAAAATTCCAAAACAGAGAGAGGGGATTGAATTTTGTAGATCCAGAACAATAATACCTGTGGCATGCCTGCGTAGGGACTGGCAGCTGGTGGGGTCTTAAATGTAAGACATGTGGTCGCATCGCTCGGCCCAGAAAGTGTCATAACTTAACCCAAAGATAATATATATATAGATATGCAGGCAGGTATAAATTTAGAGGTCTTGAAAAAAGGTGCAAACAGCACCATCTCTGTCGTACGCATGGCATTTTATCCTCTGGATTGTTGCTAATTTATCACTTTGTTTATGCGTGATAACACTAAATGCGTAATATAGTATCAACAATGTATACTGCATATTGTACTTAATGAAACAATTTAATCAATGCAAATAAAACTGAGGTAGGAATTTGACTAGACAAAGTTTAAATGTGCAAAACCGTTTGATTAAATAGATATCACTTATTTAACAAACATAAAATAATTTCCAAAGTTTTGTAAATATTTCTGTTTGTCTACTATATCTTTACTAAGTACAACTGATCATAACATAAAGAAAACGCGTACTGTATGTTTGTGTTACCTTGAAATTTAATTTTATTGGTCAAACAGGTACAGATAGCAACACTTGAACTATACAGGATGCAATACGCGTACTGTATGTTTATATAACACAAATGCGTATTTCCACAGATGGCAGCAAGGGGAGAAAGGAATATAGAAAGTAATCAATTTGCTATAGATGTCTCTCCTTGCACCTTCTCTCAGAGGTTCAAAAATTAGTTATCTGCTACAAGCAATTTAGGAAGGAGGTTTCTACCTGCCTGCATATCTATATATATATTATCTTTGACTTAACCTAACCCGTGACCGCGAAGCGCTCAGCCCCCTAGCCTGTCCTAGCCGCAGCGCTTGGCCAAGAAAGTGTCCTAACCTAACCTAACCCTAAATAAATACTAATTTAATTATTTTTCTGGATCTACAAAATTCAATCCCCCTCTCTCTGTTTTAAGGTACATTGCGCACAACAGGAATCCCACTCAGCCTCATAATTGTGCGTAAAAGCAAAACAAGAGGAGCTAAGATGTCACAAACTCGCACCATTAATTAATGTTGCTTGACCTTCTCCTTCTGTCTAGTTCGGTATGAATGGAAAAAAGTATTGTGATGCTTGATGATGTTTTTCATTAAAGAATCTGTAAGCTTTATTTCAAGTGACCCTCAAGGAAAGAGGGCATATGCCCGATTCACAAGGGTACCCTAGATACCTTTTTTTAAATTACAAATATGGAAGATATTGTCGTCTTTATAGGTTTTAAAGAATTTAATTCTCATCATTCTATAAGGTTTCCTGCAGTAGAAATGCGCAAGTCACTTTTGTATAAGAAAAGTCATAATTAAAATAATTAGTCTTCGAAATTATAAACATAAGTATATAATTCACAAACTTAATCAGACAAAAGTTTAAGGGCCTATCGTAGTGAATCAGCATTTCCCTCTGTGCATGGAAGGTCAATTAAATGAACGCTTACCATCCCTTTCTTGTAATCAATTAAATGAACGCTTACTATCCCTTTCTTGTAATTTCAGCCAATTTTTAGAGGTTTACCTGGAGTAGGCAGAGACACAAATTATAATATTAACATTATTTGTTCTTTGATTATCCCGTAAAGGGACGACTGTAAGTGCAATTTCAAGTCAGCCACCTTGCAAATATGGCAATGCACGATTTACAACGGTACCATTAAATGCTTTATAGGACCAATCAATTATTAATTAAATATCAATGTTTTTGTTTCTTTCGCAGTTTATTTTCATTTGCTGTGTCTCTGCGAAGGTGACTTGTGCAATTTCTCGTTAATAAGAAGCAACGGAGAAACTCACAGATATAACACTTTTCAAGTCTGAAAAGCCACGATTTCCTCCACATTTTTGATCAGATTAAGGTTTCAGGGGTACAGTTGTAAATCGGAAATTGCCATCTTTGCATGGAGGCTCACTTGAAAGAGCGCTTACAGTCCCTTTCAGCTTTCAGTCTTTGAAATCTTGAAGTAGGTATATACACAATTTATAATAACAACTATATGTTTGCTTACTACAATTCCTTTAGAGTATCACAGAAATTATTTTTAAAGTCTATTTTTCACCGTCCTTCTTACCCGGTATTCTTAATACCCTTGATTTGACTGATGATATTTTCTAATATTTTGGAACTTCTTCTATTAAATCTCATCACATCTCGTTAAATAAACTTTCAAATTCAGGGGACGCAAGTTCCAAACCGTGCATATATGTTCCAAACTTGACTCTTGAGTGTCAGGTTTGGGCAAAAATATTATAATCAATCTCAAGAAGCCCTTGATTATCGGATATCTTTAAAAAATTACCGAAATTTGCAAAAAAAGAGTGTGCCTAAAGTATCTTGTAGGTTTCCAAAATGTAGAAAGATTTTAAAATTCAAATCCGGAGGGGTTTTTAAACAGAGATGTAATTTGGCACAGAAAAGGTCGGCATTCACAGTGAGGGCTAATGAAATCGAGACTTTTTGTTGTACCCAACCCGAGGACTATAATTTTCTAAAACTACATGTCTCTACGGAACTAATGAGCTATTAAAACGAAATTCTCCTATGGGAATTTTTGAAAAAATTTGATTTTTAAAATTGGTAACGTATAAAGGCATAAATCCTACTGTTGGAGAATTCCAGAATTAACGAAAATCCTCGTTTTTGGCATGTTTTTTATTAATCAAAGCTGTTTAGGTACCAACAACTTGAAATGCAAATTGAGGCATTATCAAGGGGTTCAATATAATATTTCCAAAACTTTTTAAATCTCTATAAGTTTTCGGGAACCCTGTTTACACCAAATGCAAGATCATATTCTTGGCGGGAAATTTAATTTTTTAATGCTTTTGGCTAAATAACATCGGTTTAGGCTCATAAAATCACAAAGCTGAAATATGCCAAAAATATAATACACAATTTTATTTTTTTGAAGATGCATTAATTTTTCTGTTTGGGCAAGAATTGGCGAAGAGAAATGCAAAATGAGGAATATTTTTTTGTAGTGTTTTCAGTTTCACTTCTTGGATCAGTTATAGATTTCAGATCATTAATCTAATCAGGTATTTTATCTCAAAAAGCAGGCCCAGGATGGCAAGATTTTGAGTTAAAAATGGATATTTCAGAGGAAACCTGAAAAAAATGATGATAAATATGCCATCATTTTGCATGTAGCTTTTTCATTTTTGGTCTTGACAAAAATATAAATACCATGCCTTCAAAGCTCTAAAATTGTTGAATGTTGCTTGAAAACTTTACTTTTTTATTTAACTATCCTAAAAGGGCTTTATTTAATAAAATGAGTCAAAAAATGAATTTTCCCGCTAAAAATAAACTCTTCCATTAAGTGTTCAATAGGTTTCCAAGCATTTTTAGAGATTTGAAAAATGTTTAAAACTTTCTCATAAACCCTTTAACAGCAGTTGAATTTTTATTTTAATATCTTTTTTGTATAAGGCTTTGAATAGTGAAAAACATGTCAAAAACGAGGATTTTCGATAATTCCAGAAAACTCCAACACTAGGATCTATAACTTAATTCATTACCAATTTTAAAAATCGATTTATTTAAAAAATCCCCATAGGAGAATTTGGTTTTATAGCTCATTAGTTCCGTAGAGAAATGTAGATTTAGAAAATTATAGTCCCTGGCTTGGGTACAACAAAAAGTTTTGATTTCCTGCAGCCCCCACTGTGCATTAACAAACTCAGAAATCTTAAGAAATTTTATAACATCGGTCAGACTAATGCAGTCCTGTAAAAATACACCACAAAGGGAAAAGGGGGGGGGTCAAAATACCCCTCCCCAAAACAGAAATGGGGTACAAAAAAAAGGTAGAAATTTCCTTTTCCTTTAACAATGATGCATTTTAGAAAATTAAGAAATCGCAAAACAGTCAATTCTATTTTAATCGTTAAAACATACAGTAGAAAAACTAACTTTGAAAAGAAGTACATTTTATTGACAAATATTACCCCGCATCAGAGTTTAAATAAGACTAAAAATACAGAGACCGTTAAATCCTCTAAATATTTCTCTCTCACGGAGAACTTGCTCTTATCAATTATGACTCCTACGCTACGGCTCGGTCATAATTTTGTTTTAAAAATAATTCAACAAGAAAATATATGTACTTTATTAATTTAGCGCAGTAACACTGCATGTACATCTTTTACTACACTTTTAATCTTCCTGACAGCAACAATCTCAAGAACTGACGAGGGTCAACCCAGACCGAAATGTATTTTCAATAAATGTGGAACTAACATCTACTTTTTTACTCTACAGAGGTTTACTACACTTTAACCCACAACTTTGGAGATATCGAAAGAATATAATAAAATGTGGGTTCCTTAATCTATTAATATGGAATGTTCCAAATATTTAGTTTTTCATTGAATATGGAGCTCTTCAAAAACTGTTCCCGCATAATTCGTAGCTATTTATTTATTTATACAATTATCTGAGATTTAGGTATTATGGTCTAGAATAAAACCTATTCAGAGGTATTTTATAAATTCTTTCAATATCTCCGAAGTTCTGGATGGAAAATAGTGCCATTCTCTGCTATAGTTTTTTGATAAGAATAATGGCTATTTTTGCACGAATTTGAATTTTTTTCATGCATTTTTGGTCAAAAACTCATTTCGCGAAATTCCACGAAATCCGGGTTTTCCGCAACATTCTCTTACGTTACAAAAAACGCCCGAATTTGGGACGGAATAACAAAAATTTGCATTCAACATATTCCAATCAGAACATTCATGTCGTTTATTGAAGTCGCGATTTGTTTTTTATCAACGATTACAAGCGTTTCATTGGCTGGAGAAATACGGATATGGTCGGTTAGTCTGAATCAGGTATTAGTAAACGGGAAACTGTTATATTAGATAGGAAATAACAATAAAATTTTTGAGGTTAAAAACTTTTTCGAAAATATATAATACATTTTTACAATTTTCGATGAATTTCTTTATAATTCATTTTCCTTACATGTGCCACAATTTATCCCGAGAGAAAAAATATAAAACCCAAAAACGATTGTTTTTACAATTTAAAAACAAACCACTAACTTTTTATTTGGTTCGCTAAAGTTTCACAATTCTATAAATTATTGTTATTGATACCAAAAAAATATTTTATATTTATACAAATTATGATTCGGTCATTAACAAAAACAAAACAAAAATGAATACCCGCAGAAATAAATCTTAAAAACTTTTGAAGAGTGAAAGATTTTTGGAAACAAATTAAGGTTTATTATGAGCTCGTTAAATGATAATAATCACAGTAATAAATCACAAAAATCCACGTATCACATACTTTCAAAACATGGCAATTTCAGACTTTCATCGAGATATCATTAAATAAGTAATCGGAAAAAAAATCAGACATGAAAAATATTTTTTTCAGGGTTAGGTGTTTATTTGCTTACCCATCTTTATGTTTAAGTGTTGAAATGGTAAAAAATCGTTGAAACTTTTTTTTATTAAAATGTGAGTATTGTGGAGAATGAAAAATAAACAACTTTAAAAAAAGCTAATTTAAGAAAAGCGCGCCTTTTCTTTGAAGTTTAAAGCTAAACTTATTTCTGGGTCAAGCGAAAAGTGAAGGAATGAGGAAATTAAAAAAAGTCAACTAACATCCAGGGTGTCCAAAAAAGAAGGGTGATGACTGATCAGGGGTTCTGATGCCTTATAGATATGCAATTTGCATATCTCCAATTTGGGTCCCAAGCTACTATTAATAATTCTAGAGGGGTTCTTTAATCCTGCATTTTTACATCCCTGTCTTAATTAATCTTTATTGGGACACCCTGTATTAACAATAAGTGTGTGTGTATCTATCTATGACTAAAGAGGGACTGGGATGTGTTCTGTTTTCTGAGAGGATACAGTAGATGATGGCCTGAAATATACGACCAAGTTAAAGGTTTAAAACAGTGTGATTAGAATCCATTTAATTAAATGCGGATCCGGATCCTTGATCGGCCCCGGAAAATATAAATCCAGATCCGAGCCATGAACATTTCTTAAAGATTAACTGATTTTTTAAATTACAAAGAAAGAATTTTCAAATAATTATTTTCCTTTTTTATTATTATGCTTAACCATGATGAACCATTCAAAGATATGGAAACATTTAATAACCTTTTTTTTCCACAGTTCAGTTCCTACAGAAAAACCCGTAAAACTGTATCATAGAAGACAAGTTTTAAGCATCGTGCGCGTATTTGATGTTGTTATGAAGCAAACAGTTTTGCTAATATCTTGACAATCTACTTATTACGTTTAATGGGTCTGTGCCAAAGTGATTAAATACTAAAGTGGGCCAAACTCATAGTTGGATGACGACATTTTATGTCCCAAGTATTTAAAAATCATAAATATATATGATATATATATATAAATTGGTCTGTATACGGAGTGTACAGTACAACAGAAACTGGACTCCCTTTGTTTACAAACACAGACTTAGAATTTGAATTTAACTTAAATGTAGATTAACGTAAATAAAGATTTTAGAAGGGAATTTTAGCCATTTTACTGCACAATAAATAATTTCAGACAGCACAATAATGCCTGCATGCATAATCTGTAAAACAAGGAATGCAGAATTTGTGAAATCGAAAAATAAAGATCTTCGAAATAAATATAATTGTCTTTATTTTTTTGACAGATTTAAGATTAGTTGAGAACTAGACATTGCTTTAATGATATTAAGAGAGGCGAATTCAGGTTTTATTTCCAGGAAGGGCTTACATTTCTTTTTCTTTTTAGTGGGGGGGAGGGGGCAAAACAAGCAGTTTTAAAGATAAATTCTCATAGTCAAAATCAATGAATTTATTAAGCGACTCTATAGTATTTGCATATAAAACACACACAGACATACGAAAATTTTTTATTTTTGATTATGAAAATTTTGAAGTTCTAGCTAAAGACGACATATACATGGGTCCTTAGTCTATTTTTTCTAGTCTTTACTTTCAAAATGAAATCTTTTCATGCAATTATTTCCGAACCAAATAAAACCTTATGGCCCAACCTGTCGTCGTTGCCTTAGTCTGTTCCACTTTAGTATTTATTCACTTTGGGTCTGTGCACACCGCTCACTTCACAAAAATTGTTTCTTATTCATTAGAAAATTTTAATTTCTAACTCGAATCTTAAAGTCGTCTAGCTTCCTATTCATGGTGGGTATAATTGTACGTCCCACGAAACATGAGAGTTGGTGAAAAGTTTAAAATGTCTTCTTCCATAATTTGTTAAGTTGTATGATACCAAAGAGAATAATGAAAAATATTAGATGGCAGTGATGAGTAAAAGATTTTTAATGAAATAAACTGCAAAAAGTCTTAAATATCTATATACCAAAGCTCTTCACTCATATATATATACATATATGTTTGCTAATGGTGGCCAAACTGCTGAACCAAATGGGCTAATTTTTTTTTTTTGGGGGGGGAACCCTTAAAGGGAGTGTTCACAAAAATGAAAGGGGGTGTAGGCTTAATGCGATAAAAAAGCACTTTTGATCGCTACTAATCCTACTTCTATCTGTTGCGTCTATAAGGAGAATATTGTTAAAAACGACTTATACCGAAGAACGTAGTGTCCATTCAAATTCAGAAAGATGCAACATTCAACTCGGATCGTAAACAAATCAATTTAATTCCAAACAAATCATTCAGATATTACAAACAATAGTCATCGATTATTTTTCGACGCATTCGTAAAAAGATCATATTTCATAATATTTTGTATGTTTCATGATCTGAGAGTTACATTTTTTCCTGTTTCGAGGATTTTTGATAATGAAGACGACATTTTTGATATTTTCCAGGAATGTTCGAAAATCCAGCGCCAGCGAAAATTAATTTAAATAAACAAAATCAAAAATATTATGAAATATTAACTATATAGTATATATGAATGCGTCGAAAAATAACCGATGACTATTGTTTGTAATATCTGAATGATTTGTTTGGAATTAAATTGATTTCTTTACGATCCAAGTTGAATGTTGCATCTTTCTGAATTTGAATGGACACTACGTTCTTCGGTATAAGTCGTTTTTAACAATTTTCTCCTTATAGACACAACAGATAGAAGTAAGATTAGTAGCGATAAAAGCGCTTTTTTATCGCATTAAGCCTATACCCTTTTCATTTTTCGCGAAGACTCCCTTTAAGTACCCTAGCTAGGGACAAATTCAAACATTTTTGAAAATTCAAAAAAATAGTTTCTTCAAAAATCAAAATGTTTTTTTCTTCAAAATTTTATTTTAAAGAATTCAACGGGCAACGCCGGGCACTTTAGCTAGTCTATGTAATAAAGATCTTCGCTCAAAGAATTGTAACTACTGAGGATCGTCATGATAGACGTGAAACATTATGTTTAGTATAATTCTTTATTTAATAAAAATGTGAAGTTAAAAATTGAAATATATATATATATTTATATGTTAGATATAGCTGGCCAAGTACCCTGGGGGATAAATAGACTAAAAAAAAATTTTAGCAAAAATTCTTAATTTTTTTCAAGAATTGTTTTTCTAAAATTCGATTTTAAAAGATTATACAGGCAACCCCGGGCAATAAGTGAAGTATATGGAAGAAGACATTCAAAACTATTCACCAACTGTCATGTTTCGCGGGATACACTATAGTTCATATTACCAAAGAACTTACCTGGGTTTATTCTCAGACTCTCCCAGGAACATATTTGGAATACTGGGTCCAAAGTAAACCTTAAACAAAAACATGAAACTATTTTTAGCAAACCAAAGTTTTTTTCTCTACGTACCTTGTTATTACTGGCAATTGCTTCGATTTTCTTGAGTTCAAGATATTCCTTCGTAAGCAGACGTTTATTTGCTTCTGCTTTCTTTTCTATCTAAATTAATTATATTTAATTATTAACTATTATTTTAGAAAAAAGTCATATTTCTTGATGTTGAAAAGAAAATTTACAAAATTATTGTCCCCTTTTCATACTTTTTCAATTCATCACAGGGATGTAAATTTTTTTATTTGCAAAAATATGAGCTTTCAATGGGTTTGGGTTTGGGGGAAAACGATGAAAAAAAGGAAAAAGTGGGAAGGGGATAAAGGAAGAGAACAGGGGAAGAGGGAAGGGAAAATAGGAATAGGGAAAGGAAACAGGGCAAGAGGGGGAAGGTAAAAGGGTTAAGAGAGAAGGGGAAAGGGGGAAGAGATGATTTGCATCTTAAGATAATATAAAGATCAGTATACGTGCTTCTAGAAGATCTAATAAGAAGCAGTATATGTACTTCTAAAAGATCTAATAAGATCAATATACGTACTTCTAGAAGATTAGATCTAATGAGAAGATCAGTATAGGTACTTCTAGAAGATTAAATCTAATAAGAAGATCATTATACATACTTCTAGAAGATTAGACCTAATAAGATCAGTATACGTACTTCTAGAAGATTAGATCTAATAAGAAGATCAGTATACATACTTCTAGAAGATTAGACCTAATAAGATCAGTATTCGTACTTCTAGAAGATTAGATCTAATAAGAAGATCAGTATACATACTTCTAGAAGATTAGATTTAATAAGAAGATCAGTATAGGTACTTCTAGAAGATCTAATAAGAATAAGAAGATCAGTATACGTACTTCTAGAAGAGTAGATCTAATAAGAAGATGAGTATACATACTTCTAGAAGATTAGATCTTATAAGAAGATCAGTATACATACTTCTAGAAGATTAGATCTAATAAGAAGATAAGTATATGTACTTTTTAAAAATCTGCTGGTAAATATCAAAAATATTTATTTGTACTTCTACAATCGTAAAATAAGATCAAGAATATGATATGCCGGGAGCCAGCCTACCCTATAGAACTCGGCGTCTGTTTTACTTTTCTCCTTTGCAAGATGAATCTCATCATCAATAGTTTCCATCTTCTGCTTAGATTCCTTCTCCATTAGGTTCTGTTCGTACTTGATCTTTGCCACCTAGATAAAGGACATAAGTCGTCTTCGTATATATCAACACAATTAAGAAGACTTTAAATTTAAATTTTGATTTCTATCAAGCTTTTAAACAGCATGGATACATGTTAACATAGAAACAAAGGAAGCTGTCAATTTTACTTTACTTTTTTCTTGTAAACTTGCATTTTGAAAAAAGCTTGTTAGAAATCCAAACTTAAATCGGAAAGGTGTCTTGATTGTTTTGGTATAAACGCAGACTAATGTATAAAATCTGAGCTCGCGATTAAAAAACTTCGACTCGAGCCATAATTCCTTAAACCCGACTTTAAGACCCAATCTTCGACCCAACTTTGACGATAGCTTGTGTCACGTGATTGACAGCTGCAAGATCTTCGGCTCGACTTAAGGAGTAAGACCCAATGAAAATAAAACTGACCTTGGTTGGTTTTAGTGGAGAATAAGACTCAATTTTGAGTCTTGCTCTCATAGAAAACCCGGAATTCGCCAATTCCTACCATGAAAATCCGCCAAATAGAATATTAAACCGGTTTTAGAACTCAACTCTGTTGATAAAAGTGCAGCTTGAATTCGAAAGCTCAAGCCGTAAATAAGGCCCAATGACAGCTTAGGCCCGAGCCGTATTTTTCCGATTTTTTTATCGCCGGCTCGGGGGAGATAATTATGGCTTAAACTTAAGAGGGAAAGAATTTTCCAAGAAGCAAAATTGATGAACTCCACATGTACAGTCTGCTGACCCACCTGCGCCTCCTTCTCTGCCTCTATAACAGCTTTCTTCCTCTCCGTCTCTGCATCCTTCTCCACAACCTTCTGCCGCTGGGTCGAGATCAACAGTTTGGTCTTCTCTGCTTCCATCAACTCATAGTTCTTCCTGACATGGATTTTTATAAATGAGAGAGAATTTGTTAAACCATGAAATGGATATTTAATAATGAGAGGGATAGTTGAACCATGACATGGATATTTATGAATGAGAGACAGAGTTAGTTGAACCATGCATGACATGGATATCTATGAATGAGAGAGAGATTTAGTTGAACCAAGACATGGCTATTTATGAATATTTGAGAGAGAGAGTTAGTTGAACCAAGACATGGATATTTATGAATGAGAGAGGTAGTTAAACCATGACATGATGACATGGATATTTATGAATGAGAGGGGTAGTCGAACCATGACATAGATATTTATGTATGAGAGAGAGAGAGAGTTATTTGGACCATGACATGGATATTTATAAATAAAAGAGAGAGAGTCAGTTGAACCAAGACATGGATATTTATCAATTAGAGTTACTTGAACCATAACTTGGATATTTAAAAATAAGAGGGAGAGTTAGTTGAACCAGAACTTGGATATTTAAAAATAAGAGGGAGAGTTAGTTGAACCAGAACTTGGATATTTAAAAATAAGAGGGAGAGTTAGTTGAACCATAACTTGGATATTTAAAAATAAGAGGGTGAGTTAGTTGAACCATAACTTGGATATTTAAAAATAAGAGGGGAGTTAGTTGAACCAGAACTTGGATATTTAAAAATAAGAGGGGCGGGTAAAACCTATGGGAAATGATCTACCTATTTAGTATTTAACTAAGAAAATGCAAAAATTTGTAATTATGCTTTTTTTTCCTTTTTTAACTTTCCTGTCAAAACTTACACTTACCTGATGGTTTCTGGAATTTTAGGCTTGGTAACACGAACAGAATGAACTCTTAACCCTGGGGCCATTTCAGTCAAATCGACCTTAACAGATGTTTTATTTAAGGTATTTTAAGAATAATTTTAAATCTGGTCGTTCTGCGGCAATGTAGCAAGGAGGGGTGGACAAAGGGAATATATTATTTCCCCCCCCAAGCAATCTTGGGGGGGGGAGGGTGAAGAAGAATGTGTATTATACTCAACATGAAAAAACTACCATATCAATTTAGGATATTTTGAGGGAAAATTTTTATGTTGGAGGCATTCTTTTCAATTTGGGGCAAATTTTTCCGGGAAAAATCTCAACTATACTTTAGGGGCAATTTTTTTAGTCAGGGGAAATCTTTAATCTTTATTTTGAAGATATATGAAGGGGCATTTTTTTTAATCTAAGGGTGATTTCTTTGTTGGGGCTAAAACTTCTAATTTTTTTAAAACATTATCTTAAAAAAATACTAGGGGCATTTTATTCAGATAGGGCTATACATTTTAAAGATGGGTGTATTTTTAAAACATTTGGAGATAAAAATATTAAATTTAGGTGCAAATTAAAAATATTTTAAAAAGCTAAGGGTTACAATTGTTGAAAAAAGGAGAGAAATTTAAGTCTTGTGGGGTAATTTGAATAAGAATGTGAGTGTAATTCAAAAAATCCAAATTTGGGGACATTTTTTATTGAAAGGGGGCAAAAGTGAAAAGAATCTGAGCATACATTGAAAAATGTTATAGCATATTTTTTCAAGCTTTCGAGAAAATTTGCTATTTTTGGAATTATATGGACTTTGGTTAAGAACTTCTTCCCCCCCTTATGGGTGGGGCTTGCCCCCCCTTTAATCAGGCTAGGGGGCCTTGTCCCTATTGCCCCCCCCTTAGTTGCGCGACAGATTTCTTCGCTAGAAGTTTAACATTTTTACATTGGACTATATCAAATGTTTACCCACCCCCCTATTCTTATTTCTTATCTACACACCGTATTCTCGATATCCACCGTGAAATTGATATATTTGAAGCAGAAGTACTTGATCCTTTCATATTAGTTATCCCTGCTGTATTGCGATCAAGAGATATCCAAAAGGGATTAATTTGAACAAGGGATTAACTGCTTAAAAATTCTGACCGCTGAAAAAATATAAAACTAAGCTTTTAGGGCGCTTCACGCCCATCTTCTATTTAAATTGTGAACATGTTCTTTTTGTTTACATTTAAAAACAAAGAAGAAAAAAATTTTGCTGATTTTTAAAAAAAAATTCGCGGATTTTCAAAAATTTAATTTTTTTTACAAAATTAAAAACCTTTAAAACACATTTTATTTTATTTTTATCATTCGTAAACCTTCCCTGTAGTCACGTAATGTTCCACAAAAAATTGGGCCCGATCGGTTCAGCCGTTTTGACGTTTATTGGACACAAACAAACAGACAAACAGATAGACAAGCCAAATCTATATATAGATTGGCACGCGCACTTAAAAGGGATTGCTAATTATTTTCAAAAAATAAATACCTGCAACGCTGTCTTTAGATTTTCGTCAATTTGGTCAAACAGTTCGATATAAACCTCCTTTACAATTGACACATTCTTTAAATTTTTTTTTTTCTGGAGTTTTACAAAAAATGAAGAAACATTATTTGATATTAAAAAAATTAATTCAACGAATTAACATTATTATTACTAACATATTTTTCCCAAAAATTTTATTAACATTGTCTAAACAAACGTTATCAGACATACGGTTTCTCTTAAAATACTTGTTAATGTTAATCCTAATCCAAGGATTTCTTTTATGGCTATTCTCAATTTAACTGAATAAAAAGCTTGTCAATTCTTTAAAATAACATCAAAATCAAAAATGTATTTACAAAATAGTATGTAATTTATATCCTAATGTAAATTGACCAATTTCAAAAATGAAAAAAAAAACTACAAAATACCAACTTAAGAACTCATTTCTTTGATATATAAAAAAAATAATTATTGAGAAGATAAGTGTGTGTTCTATCCTGTAGATTATGTATAGAACAGAACTGGTTTAACTCGTGGTGAACCTGAAATATAATTTTATTTTACTTTAAGGGACTTAAAGTATAATTTCAAGTGACCCTCAATGCAAAGATGGCAATGCTCAAATCCCAACAGTAAAAAAGCTTTGTCTAATCAAGTATGAATTAGATATCAATGTTTGTAATATTGAAAAGTGATTATTTTCAAATGAGGGAATTATTATCTTCCAAATATACTAATATCATGTTAATTACACAAGAACAAAAAAAAAATCAAATCAAAAAGAAAACTTATATTGGTAGGAAAATATATTTTTTTTTGCAGAATCCCCCAACCCCCTGGGAAATATTTTTTTTACTACTAAATCTCTGAATCAAGTTTTTTAAAAATCATGTCAGATGAAGTTCAATTATATAATCAAATTGCGCAAAATTCTCTTAAAACGGTAAATCAATAATGTTTCTTAAAGGGAATCAAAAAATTAAAGGAGTTATAGGGTTACAGCGAAAAATGAGCGCTTTTGATCGCTACTAATCTTACTTCTATCTGTTGTGTCTATAAGGGGAAAATTTTTAAAAACGACTCATACTGAAGAACGTAGCGTCCATACAAATTCAGAAAGTTGAAACATTCAACATGGATCGTAAAATAATTAATTAAATTCCAAACAAATCATTCAGTTATTACAAACAATAGTCATCGATAATTTTTCGACGGATGATTATTGGTTGTAATATCAAAATGATTTGTTTGGAATTAAATTTATTTTTTTTACGATCCGACTTAAATGTTGCACCTTTCTAAATTTGCATGGTCCCTACGTTCTTCGGTAGGAGTCGTTTTTAACAATTTTCTCCTTATAGACGCAACAGATCGAGGTAAGATTAGTAGCGATCAAAAGCGCTTATTTTTCGCCGTAACCCTATACCCCCTTTAATTTTTCGCGAACATTTTCTATATAATATGAAGAAAAACTTTTTCTGAATTCTCAAACCCCCCTCCCCACCACTTAAAATATATTATTTTTGATCAGTTTAAAAGAAAGAAATTAAGTAAGCTAATACTGTAATTGAATAATAAATAATAAGTAAATGGTATATTTATTAGAAGGAGAGGGGGCCAGGTGGAGGGAGTTTTTCAAATTTTAAATTAGAACAAAGAGAACTGATAAACAAGGATCTCAATACCCACTTCATCCCCTATCTCCTCTATATATACTTGAAGGGGTCTCACCCTAAACTGTTGAGAACATTTTTTTTGATAATATTTTTTTTACAATTCGTATACAGATTTTAACGAAAATTGGGAAAACAAAATTTAAGGAAACACATACTCCTGGACTGGTAAATAATTCCATTAACATTTGTTATTTCTTGAAAAAACAACAATTGAAAAAAATCTTCTATTGTTTTCCCTCTTTTTTATGTTGTATACATCAATATTTAGAAATGTTATAGTGATATCTCACAAATTGTCAAAACTTATTCCCCCCCCCTTCCCATTGTTTTGCTTGAAGTCTTGCCACTTGGATCCGGATCCGTGGATTTAATGGAACCTACATTGATGCGGATCCGGATCCAGAAAGCTTAAAGGAGCCTATCTAGTTGCGGATCCTAGGGAGCCTAAATGTTTCAGATGAATCTGTTCCTTCTCCTACCTTGTCAAATATCAGAGGTTTATCGTAGTCCGCTGTAAAATTCTTTACAATATCGTAAACAGCATTGGTCTGCAGTACGTTCACTACCTCAATTCTAAAACAAATTACAATTGTAAATTTTTAACAAATGAATGAACAAAATAAACTTTAGTCCTTGGTAAAATAATAACACAAAATTAACAATCAACCCGTGTAAATCAAAGCAAAGTCCTTAAAGAAATTTTGTGAAATAGTTGTCAAGTGAATCAACATACTAAAGAAACAAGTTACCAACCAATAGTAAATCTATATAATTAAGCTCATATATATATATGTATCATATAAATATATTTATAATAAATTATATATTTAATCAAAGAACAGAATTACATCCTCAGACACGCGCGGCGTTTTATGGAGTTGCTCCAATCTTCAGTGAGGTCTGTTCTCGACTCTATATGTTTGTATTGTTGGCCAAACAGCTGGACCGTTTTGGCTTAAATTTTTTGAGGAAACCCATGGGTACCCAAAGGGTAACATAGGATATAAAAATTCGAAATAATTTTTTTTTCAAAATTCGATTTTTTAAATGCCACGGGCAACGCCGGGTACTTCAGCTCGTAAATAAACAATAACAAGATCTGAAAGTGAACCCGATATGGAAAATACAGTCTGTACATTCGCCTGGACTAGTCCATCTCCTTATCCGTTTTTTTGAAAATAATCTTTTAGCGCGAGCTCGACGTTTACTTTGTAAACTAGTGAATCTAGTTACATGAACCATTCAAATAATGTCCTTATTGTGAGGAGTTTTGAGTGATAGCAGTGACTTAATTTCAAGTGGCACTCAGTTTTAATTCATCTTCATGGCAGAAAAATGCTTGGGATATTCTTGTCGTTTTGTGTGTTATATTTGAAAATTGATAGATTTCAATTGAAGGGTTTAGAGATTTGAGAAATCGCAGAAACAGGGAAGAATATTGCCAAAATTTCGGTCTTTTTGAAAAAGACAAATTAAGATATCTTTCTCATTATTAGTCCTATAAATGTTTATAGGGTTATCAGCAGAGCATGTAGGACTCTATAGGGAGGGTTACTTAATAAATCAGTCCCTTTAGAATAGAACCTGTCAAAGTATATCATAACTCCACCACTGGTACCACACGGCACATTCTTTACTTCATGTAGGACTCTATAGGGGGGGTTACTTAATAAATCAGTCCCTTTAGAATAGAACCTGTCAAAGTATATCATAACTCCACCACTGGTACCACACGGCACATTCTTTACTTCATCGGTCTGCAGGGTAGTCTGGATATTTCGAACTAAACAGGGAATAGGTTAGATATCAGATCAATCAATCAACATATATGTTAATCAATCAATCAATAGCAAAAAATAAATTATTTAACCAATCAATTAATTAACCAACCAATCAATCAATCAACCAACCAACCTGTCAACCGAACAAACATTAATTCAATCAAGATAAAGACAAATTACACATTTTATCAGATTAAGGTTGCAAGGGTATTGTTTAAATCTTAAATGGCCAATGGCCATCTTTGCAAAGAGGGTCACTTAAATTTATGCTTAACAGCCCCTTTAAAAACATCTATTTCTTGATCGTTATCAAACCTGCTCGTTTTAGTTCTTGAAATTTCGTTAAAAACTTTTAGCGATCGATGAGAAATTTTAGACGTATATCATGAAAAAAGTTAAAAGATGATGAATATCAACAATTTGGTTGTAATTTAATATTAAATTCATAATATTTTGACAACAAATTTCAGGTCATGGTAAAATCAAAAAATTATTGTTTTCTTGTGACATAGGAATTACTCCTTCTTGTATAATAGGAAGTTATGAAGTTATGAGGTTATGACTGGCCGGGAATTAGCTAAAGTTATGGATGGTAATTCCTTGAAGTTATAAATGGGAAATAGCTGATGTTATGAATGGGAATAGCTGAAGTTATGAATGGGAATTACCTGATGTTATGAAAGAAAATTAGATGAGTTATGAATGGGATTTAACTGAAGTTATGAATGGGAATTAGCTGAATTTATCAATGGAATAAGCGGAAGTTATGAATGGGAATTACCTGAAGTTATGAATGGGAATTAGCTGAATTTATGAATGGGAATTAGCTGCTGTTATGAATGGGAATTACCTGATGTTATGAATGGGATCATCATGTGAAAGCCTGGACTTGACATACCAACCAACATCGCGCCACCTCTTTTCAAATAATAAAATATTATTAAACTTATCAAATGATCAGCCTTTCCAGATATTTCCATCAAATTATAACCAAAACTTTCCTTCTAACAAACTTTATTTTAATATTAATCTTATACTGTAGAAAATGTATGTTTCTTACGTTTACAACGCAGTTTTAAACAAATTATTAAAAAATCTCAGTGACAGCTAATGCCAAATAATAACTTGGGAAGAAAAAATAAATGTATTCAATGACTAACCATTTAAATTTTTTATTTGGGTTGAAAAATTAAGCATTAAAATATTTTGTTATCATTGTATTTACGGAACAGTAAAATAATAAACTCGCTGTAAAATATATCATATTAACATATTTAAAAATCAATATTTAATCAACTAAGTGGAGACATTTTTTACGTGAAATATTTAAATGTGATATAGGTACAGCTTGTTTAACTACATATCTGCAGGACATTGAGATAGTTTATCCTCAGCTATTAAGCAGTGCTTAGGATCCATTTAGATTTCATTCGGATCCAGGATCATCCGTTTTGATAAAAAATTGATCCGGATTTGGGTAATTTTTCTTTAACAGAGTAAGAATTTTCAAATTATTTTTCTTCTTCTTTTCATTATTTTTATGCTAAACTTTATGAACTATTCAGAAATGAGGAAATTTTTGATAATCTCTGATTTTTTCAGCAGTTCAGATTTAGGTTTTAGAGAGATTTTTGTTTGCACTTTTTGGTTGATATTTTGCCCCTTGGATCCGCATATTTTTGCGGATCCGGATCCAATAGGCTTAAATGTTGCGGATCCGGATCCTAAGCACTGCTATTAAGTGTTCTACCTGAAATATACTCCGACATGACCCTCCTCAACCTGACAACAACGTCTAACATGTCATAGCTGTGGCCAAATTTTATTCTCTAAGGACGGTGAGACAATTTGACAATAAGTTGAGACCTTAGGGTATTGTTTCATGTTATTAAGGTTAAATTAGCAGGAATTTCAGACATAATTAAAGTGGCCCCTTCAGTAGTAAGTTTTATGCTAAATTTACAATGGAGATATTCTGTTCTTTTCTACATGAAATTGAGTGCCGAGAAACTAGTGAGTACACAGCGAATGACGTCACAGGATATCTCCTGTTAATCGGAATTGCCACTCCACAAATGGATGCCAGAGGATCCCTTGAAATTACGCATTCTTATTGCAACAGCACCTGTAAAACCTGCTCTTGTATTCACGCATGTTGCCTGTACTGTACAAGTATCACGAGTTGTTTTTTAAAAAATTTCGATAAACAAAATAAAAATTCAACCACCATTGTTTTTATTTAGTTATAAACATGCTTCGACCTCTGCACCGGAGGTCCTGGAGAAAGGATTAATAATTTTTAAGAAGAAAATCTAAAGAAATTTCACAGGCCGATTGATTGGTTTAAAAATAAAAATAGTAACTATTTATCTTAAAAACAAGTTTCCTTAGATTTATTAGAACCAAATCGTCAGAATTAGACATCGGGTTCGAGGGATTAAGTTAGTTAAAAAAGGGGGGTTAATCTAGCGTTCTTTAAAATAGTAAAACAACACAGAAAACCCCCTTAAAATGTCATTGAGGATTATCATATTTCCTAATCCTTTAGTTTAAAATCCACCACCATTGAGCTGTGACATGGTGCCTTATGAAGAGCGTACTGCAATACAACTGCAACTGCAGCAATCAGCCCAATAGCAACTACCCCGGGCTGCATTCTTATCTGAAATAGTGATCCTTTCGTAATAATACCGTTCATTCATGTTTTCTCTCTCATTATTCCTCTCTTACTTGGTGAACATTAAATCTGAAGAATATACGTTAAGGAATTTTAAGATGTATTTTAAGTAACCGTCCAGGCGAGGATAGCAACGCCCAATTTACAACGGTACCCCTGAAACCTTAATCTGGTCAAAAATGAGAAAGATAATGCAGTTTTCTTGACTGGAAAAATGTTTTTTTCTGTGAATTTCTCCCATGGTGCCTCATAAGCAAGACATGCGAAAGTTACTTTGAACAGAAACCACAAATGAAAATAACTAGTTAAAAAAAACAAAATGATGCAATTCACACTCGAAGAGTCATAGCAAGCCTGCCAGGCTAGCCAAGCCCTAGACGTTGGAATGTATTTCTTTTGGCATTAATGAGCAAGGGTTAAACCCTTAAATATAAAAGAGAATGGAGTAGATAGTAATACAGATTTTATAGGTGAAACTAAGATCTATCCTATTCAAAAGTTTCGCCTTCAGTATTTTCAGATAAGGTATTAAATTCAAATGCTGATTCTCAAAGTCCATATAATTCCATTTCTGATCCCAAATGGGATCGGGGTTAAAAGTACATTAAGGGCATGAAAATACATTTTCTGTGTTAACGTAAACTTTGGCAAGTTTCTTTTGTGTACGTGTACTGCACTTCCGAAATGTATACTGCATTTGGGGGTTAAAAGATGGAAGTATCAGTAATCAATAAAAGAGAAAAATTATGATATACAGAAAAAAACCACTCCTTTGCAATATACATTCTGCAGTCTGGAATTTTTTCTACAACTTGACATCATACTTTCAATTGTTAACAATAACAACATGGTTCATTTCTGCCCCCTAATATCAATCAATCAACAGTTGGTATCAAAATGGATGGAATTATATGGACTCCTGGTTTTCAAATAAAAACTACTTAATGGCTCTATACATCTAGTTCATCACTGTTTGGATTAAACAATGTTTAGGAAGAAATCCAGGTACTCTATCTTGGCAAGATTTGATTATTAAGATATTAGGTCTTATTGAAATACATTTAATGTTATTTTTTGATTTACATTATATTAATGCAGAGCACCTCAACACCTTATTCATTCCCTTTCTCTTTCATTCATTTTCTTATGCCACTTTCTTCTTAAGTTAATTTTTTAAAATCTTCAAATTAAATTTCCTAAATTTAAAATCAATATTTTGTTATCATTGTTTATACAGAACAGTAAAATGCTAAGCAATAAAACAGATAGTATCATCACTAAAACATATAACATATTAACATACTTACAAATCAATACGTAATCAACTAAATAAGGATATTTTTCAATTTTAGCACATACAAAAACAACACTTTAAGTGATTGTAGTTGTAATTTTAAGAAAAATTCCATTTAAAGAGGGTATGCCTGATTCACAATGGTACCTTAGAAACCGTAATCTGATCAATAGTGTGGAAGAGAACGTCAATTTTTAGCTTGAACAGAGTTTAGATCTAATAATTTCTCCATTTATTTCTGAAGCAAAAATTCATACTTGATCAGATAAAGCTTTTATGGGTAACGTTGTGAATCTGAAATGCCGCTCTATTCATGGAGGGTAACTTAAAATTATGTTTAACAGTCGTTCATGCTAAAAATGGAAACAACTCGGAAACTGAACTTCAGGACAAATTATTATTGAAAGATTCGAGAAAGTTTATAGTGCAGGAAAAAATGACACTTACACTAACAAATTCTGATCTTAACGTCATTTGGAATTTACAGAAAAGAATTTTTGGAAAAAGTTCTAAATAAGAGATTTAACCCCATTTTTTTCAATACAAGCTAACGTTCAAGGATTTTTAGAAACGCAAACTTTAGTGATTCTTCTTGTAAAAAAAATGCCTTTTTAAATTGGGATTTAGGGAATCATGAAAAATATTTTACATCAGAAGCAGTGCAAAACTTTTTTTACAGGGGGTATAGTTTTTGTTTGCTGAAATGGGGAAAATAAATGAATTTATGGGTGAAAAGTATCATAAAGAAAGAAAAATCTTACCTTTAGATGTTCAGTTTTTCATAACCCCCCCCCCCATCAATAAAAATCATAAAATTCCTTCTCCATGGGGGGGGGGGGTATTTCTGAAAAAGTTAAAAACCCTTGATCTTTAAAATAAAGAGGGTTTATTAATAGAAAAAACAGTAAAAAATCAATCATAACTTATAAAGAATAATCTTAGCTTCATTAAGTGGTTTAAGAAATTGTTAAATATACTGAGCAAGGTTTAAAACCGGATTTCAAGTAAAAATCGCTCATCCATTCGGATCTTCGATCAATAGATATAATATACTGGTAAATGGTTATCATCATTCTCAAAAAAAATCATTGTCATAATAAATAAAACCAAGTTTCAATACAAAAATAAAACCAGAATTAATACATTTAATCAAATACGTTTTGTACAATAAATAACTAATATGAGGGCAAAGGGTGGAGGATGTAAGCAAGCGTTTATTGGTAAAAAATTGAGTATGAAAGGATTCTAAGATATCTAATGACTAGACAAAGAGTTAAATTGATAGAAATTTGCCCCATCCTCCCAACCCTATGACCCTACCTAAGTTTGCGCAGATTAAAAGGACTGTAATCGTAATTTCAAGTGACCCTCCATGAAAAGATGACAATGCGGTTTCATTACAAGCTTTGTCTGATCAAGTATAAATTAGACATCACTGTTAAAGTTTTTGTTTCTTTAAAACTATTTTTTTGCGATTTCTGTGCGAAAGTGACTTGCAGGGAAGAAGCAAATTATAAGATTTAAAACTTTTCGAGACAGTTAAACGACAGTATCTTCCATATGTTTGATTAGATTAAATTTTCAAGGATACGGTTGTAAATCGGGCATTGCCATTTTTGTAATGTCAATCAAAATTACGCTTAGAGTTCCTTTAAAATAATGAGGAATGACGTACAGTGTCTTTTTAGACAATCTACAGTTTAGATCAAGGTTTTATAGTAAGGTTAGATACTATGGGTTCGCTCCAATGTACTAAAAATGTCGTCTCTATTACAATAGGCATTCAAAATACAACGTTGCTGGTGAGAGAAAGGGAAGGACATTCTCCGTTTTTTACAACTCAAAAGTGTAGAGAATCCTTCTTCCCTCTCGCCAGCAACGTTGTCACTTAAGCTTCCGCCAATTTTCAGTTAAAGTCATATAAGGATTTTTAGTTTCCAATGCTAGAAACATGACATTTAAAGTACATTGGAGCACATCCAGGGTATTTAACCTTACTATAAACCTTGGTTCAGATATGGTTTATTATATATGTACATAGATAACAAGGATCAGGAGTATTAGAACTATTAGATAAATGGGATTTAAAGAAACAATGAAGTAAGTCCTGTTTAAATTCATGTCTTGATGAGTTTTATGCAATTAGAGGTTTATCAAGTGGAAAGGGAATTATGAATTATGAATGGTATTATGAATTCAAGATTTAAGCTGGTGAAGTGATGATCTCATTCCGATCTGTTTATTATTCGCTCATCTAATTTAAAAACAATGTTTTGCTCAAATTTTATCTTTTGGGGGAAATAAATACTTTTCGAGAACTTACAAAATCGTCCTTAATATTTTTCGAATAAAAAGGGGCAATTATAAAGAATTCAGCTGTTTGACAGTTTGGATGATGAGTTTAGAGGATTGTGCATTTCTTCTTCTTTTTCCCAACCTTGCCTGGCTGCGGGGATTCATCGGATACTTTTCTACTTCTGATTAAACCAAATATATTATTAGAAATTGGTAAGCAATCAATCATTCATTTATATACTTGAAATAAAAAATGAATTTATAAGTTATGAATGGGAATTACCTGAAGTTATGAATGGGAATTAGCTGAATTTATGAATGGGAATTAGCTGCTGTTATGAATGGGAATTAGCTGAAGTTATGAATGGGAATTAGCTGAATTTATCAATGGAATAAGCGGAAGTTATGAATGGGAATTACCTGAAGTTATGAATGGGAATTAGCTGAACTCTTCCTAGACTAACGATCTTTGTTTACAATTTTGTTTTAAAAAAATGGATGTAAAGTAGTACACGTAATTCTAAGTGACCTTGTAGTTATAGAGTGACATATCCAATTCACAATAATACCTTAAACAGCTTAATCTGGTCAAAATTTAATGACAAATTCACGTTTTTCGCTTTGACAATTGATTATTGTCAGCAGTAGTTCTATTTGCGGATTTATGCTTCAGAGACAATGAAGGAAATTATAAGAATTGAATACTAGATAACAAGGATGTTGATTTATGATCAGATGAATGTTAAAAGGATGCTGTCGTAAATCAGGTATGTCTCTTTATTATTAATGGAGTGTCACTTAAAAATTTAAATCCAACCCATACTTCTGATTGGTCTAATTTGGAAATATCCGGCCTCTTATTGGTCGAAAATCATAACGTCGACAATCTTGAGAAAAAAAACGGAACGGAACGGAGCGACTTAGGTTTTTAAGAAAGGAGGTTTAGTAATTAGTTTAAAAGTAACAATCTCTAGGCACTAGTTAAAATATTTTTTTGTATATTTGGTTTCCCTGATTTCTCGCATAAGATCGTAGAACACTTTGTCGACGTTCTCTCTCGTCTTGGCCGATGTTTCAACGTAAGGAACCTTAAATTAGAAAACATCTAAGCGGTGTCACGTTAAATTTAAAACATGTCCGACAGATTTAATCTATTCATATTTGAATAAAACTGTCAGGGATCCTTTATACATTATGATATGTATAATCCGGCCACATTGCATCTTGCATTAGATGTGAAGGTAAAAAATTAAAATAATTATCATTTTTACATTTACTTTGATAAATGTCTAAAACAATTTGTTTGGATCTAAGTTGATTTTTTTACGATCCAAGTCGAATATTGCAACTTTCTGAATGGATGCTACATTCCTCGGTATCAGTGGTTTTTAACAATTTTCTCCTTATGGACTCTACCGATAGAAGTAAGATTAGCAGCAATCACCATCGAATATTTTTCGAAGTGAGCCTATACCCCTTTTAATTTTTCGCCGAACACTTCTATTATAANGAAAAAAACAGGTTATTTAACATTCTACAATTTTTTGTCTCACAAAAATAGTGATGTTTGCGCGGCATTTTAGGAAAACTGATTTTAAGAAAAAATAAACGAATTTTAAGTATTGGAATTTTTTATTATTCTAAAAATTAAACACCCTTGTCTTACTTGCCTTATGTGAACTTGAGTAAAATCTTTTTAAATCCGCTTTTAAAACTTCTGAAATTATTTTCTATTTTTTCTTTCTTTTGCTAACCTGCCATTCATCTGCTTTTCCCTTAGCCGTACTCAGCTGTACGTGACGACTGTTAGTCAAGTCGGCCTATAGTCACCAAATTAACCGAAATTAGAAACACACTTTTTTCGCAAAAACAGTAAAAGTTTTCTGTTTGGTTGCAAAATTTTCCTGAACTCGTTAACAGTAGATATAGTAAAGTATTTTTTTTTTTTAAGAAATGGAAATTCGAAAAATTAAATGAGCCTTAGTTGAACTCTCTTATATTCAAAACGTAGTTTAGGATTATGGATAAGCTCTTCTAGCATCAAAGTTAAATAATTTAATGTGCAAAAGATTTTGTTCAAAGATGATTTTGATGGATTCCTTGTTTCCGACGAGAATGAAAGGAATGTTGGAATCTTGTTTGACTCGCAGGATTTGTTCTCGAAATTCCTAAAAAATGGTTAAAAATAAAATTTTGTATAAAAACTGATTTGTTTAAAAAGTTCAAATTAAATTACAGTAACAATTGATTTAGGTTATATTTGTTTATTTTTTGAATTCAACACTTCCCCAACACGTGAGGCACACCCATCTATACAGCATATGTTGAAAAAATTCTACATCCCTGGAAGAACTGGTTACCTGAGTGGATTGAAATCTTAAAGAGCTGGTTACCTAAGTTGATTGAAATCATGAAGAACTGGTTACTTTAGTGGATTGAAATGTTAAAGAACTGGTTACCTGAGTGGATTGAAATATTAAAGAACTGGTTACCTGAGTGGATTGAAATGTTTAAGAACTGGTTACCTGAGTGGATTAAAATGTTAAAGAACTGGTTACCTGAGTGTATTGAAATGTTAAATAACTTGTTACCTGAGTGGATTGAAATGAATCCTCCTCTGTTATACTAAACACACAGAGAAATCCCTCCCCACTCCTAGTTATTCAATTCTAGATAACTCTAGTTAATCAATATAATAAAGCTCTTCGCTCTTTTAATTGTAAGCTATAGCTGGCCAAACTGCTGGACCAAATTGGCTGAAATTCTCTTCGTAATTGTAAATCTCAATTTTTCGCGGATTTTTCTGTTGAAAACTTGAAGCTGGCGCATTCTTAAAATTTGAAAAGGGAATATTTCTTTTTCTGGAAAATTTTATTTATTTTTAACCGTCCATAAACCTTCCCCGGGGTCACGCGAGTTGCTTTTTACAGAAAAATCAGCCAAATTTAAATAAAAATAAAATAGTTCCAGTGATTCGCAAATCTAAAAAATACGCTAAAATAAAGCTGAACAATCGTCTCTGTAGTAGCATCTTTTTATACCCACCCTGTTAAATTCGTTTATTATTTAATAATGGTATTAATTCTTCACCTAGGCTAAAAATACTCTAAAATATCCAAATTATAAAAATAATATTTGATTCCAGAAATGTTTCTAGATTAAATTCCTGAAATAATTGTCTCTAATCGCAGCGTAATCTTCCTGGCCTGCTGTGTCCAGAATATCTATCTGTACCTAGGGTAAATATAATACAAAAAAATCACCCCTGTATTAAAGAAGGGGTAAATTATCAAAGAATTGGAGGAAATTAAATGGCTAAGAAGGAAATAAAATAATTCTTTTTTATGGAAAACGTATGTTCAATTTTTCATGTTTACCCCTCTAAACCTCGACACCCCCCCCCCCCCCCCCCCNTTCAATGTTTTAACAGTGTAAAGGGTAAAATATCAATATTTCAATCAATCAATCAGAGTTTTAGGGATGCGCTACTTCCCACATCTGCAACCTAAAGTGAACTTAATAAACCAAGAATGAGAAATGGTCTTACAATTTACAATTTGTGATCAACATTTTAGTTTACATGAACTTCATTTGACATCTTATATTAACCAGTCGGCGTTATCAATTATTTAATAAAAGTATAAAATTTAATTTTGAAGACCTATCATTTCTGGCATCAGACATTTTTTTTCATATTACCAGTCACAGCTGTTGTATGTTGAGTTAAACTACATAACTGACAAGGCTGAATTTTAATGAATTATGAGATAAAAGGAAGAAGATAATACTTGGATTATGCAAAAAAAGAAGATAATACTTGGATTATGCAAGTCATAATCGTGGATGGCCTTGTGAGATTGTCTCACAATTGACTAATAATGTGGTTAATTTTTTTAGGTATGAGAAACAATTAAGAAAAAACATAAGCTTGATCAGGATCAGCTTTTTTACCAGATGAATCCAGAAGCTGGATTTCCTTTAACTAGAACTGATCATGAACACTGGTCTTTCAGCGGGGGCGTACACAGGAATTTGTCAAAGACGGGGGAGGAGCTTACGTTTAATGTTTACCTCTTCTCCGTCTAAGACGACCTTCTTCCTGTAGGAATCGGCCTTTGTGGGCTCGTAATCCTCCACGAACTCGTCATACATGAACTAAAACGAAAAAAATTATTAAAATAAGTCAAAAAATAAAAGTAGTCTAAAACAATATTACTGTGTAAAAAACTCGGAAATTTAGAAAGATCTCTTAACTATCAAATTGACATTCTAAATACAGGCTCATTAGAATATCTTCCCTTATATACATTCTTAAGATATGGATTAACCAGCCACTTGATTTAAAAGAAGTGCCTCGTTAGGCATATTTTAAAAATTTCATTTAAAATGTTATCTGACGCTTACATCTCAATGTGCAATAAACCCTCTTTTTATTTCAAAAAATGAATATAGAACTTTGTAGATTTTTTCGCACATGCTTAATCTTATTCTGTTATACGTACTAAACTTCAAAACTAAAAAATCAATTATTTTATTATGCTACACCTCGGTCTCTCTAAATTTAACTAGTAATCCCTGACTTGTTGTAAACTTTCAAAACCTAGTAATTTTCATCATATTGTAAACGTTTTAATATTAATTGGGTGGGAATGATACGCAAAACAGCCAATAGCTAATCTCCACCTAATTGCTATAATACATAGATATAGTAAAAAATATAAAAATATTGTACGAGTATTTTTAGCAATAAACAAACCCCCCCCCCCCCCCACACACACAATGCTACACTCCACATAAAGAATATTTTGGAGGTTAAAAGAAAATTTGGATTCAGAGTATCATAGAAGTGAACCTTTTCAGAAAACGGTTCTTTTTTTGACCAACTATCACAGGCCAATACTAATTAAATGTGCAAAAGATAAAAATCAAGTTTTAATTGACTAAGCATTCTTAGTAAATTTAGACCTGAAGAGTTAATGCTGATTTCCCTACACCACCACTTCCGACCATTATCACCTAAAGAAAACAACATTTATAATATGTTTGTGGAAATATATTTAAAACCAAACTTAGAGAGCGCTTAGGGTAACATTTTCTATTCCTAACTGCAGAATATATCTATTCTTGGAGTTAAAGAACTGGTTACCTGAGTGGATTAAAATGTTAAAATCTGTGAAGAAATAAAATATTCAACATGGAACAGAAGAAGTCTCCCAAGGGAAAGAAACGGCAGGCGAAACAGGTTTTTACCACTTATTTTCTATTTCCATAAAATCTAATATTTAATATAATTGGGTAACAAATCCATCGATGTCGTGATAAAACAGGAAACAATTGTACCAAGACATTCATCTCTTGAACCAAATATAGTGAATAGAAAGAAGTGGTTGAACTGCGTAGATCTAGTTGAACCATATTTCTCGTGAACTTAAACTTGTACATAAGAACTGGTCTAGGTTGTTTACTAGATCTACCTATTCAGTTGGAAACTGGTTAGGCAAGTTAATATTTTCACAAACGTTTGCTGTGAGTAATTAAGTAAAATAATTGCTTCATTTTGTATTCCAGCTCAAAAGTTCATACTTTCAAACAGAAAAACGAAAACATGACGTGGACGTTTTATTTTTTTTTAATGACTCCCTTTACAAAGTAAGAGGGGTTTAAGACTCCCTTTACAAAGTATAAGGGTTGTTATGACCCCCTTTACAAAGTATACGGGTTTTATAACTCCCTTTTCAAAGAATAAGGGTTTTATGACTCCCTTTACAAAGTATAAGGGTTTTATGACTCCCTTTACAAAGTATAAGGGTTGTTATGACCCCCTTTACAAAGTATACGCTGGGTTTTATAACTCCCTTTTCAAAGAATAAGAGTTTTATGACTCCCTTTTCAAAGTATAAGGGTTTTTTATTTAATAATCCTGAATATGTTTCTATATACCGACCTTGTGAAGTGATGTAGAGGGAGGTCCTTTTTTAGACATTTTCTAGGCAATTCTAGTTTCTACTGAAATAAAAAAAATACGTTTCACCATGTTTATTATATAAATGTAAGATATGATTCACTGTAAACAACTTGTCGAACAAAAATGAGTAAATGACAGCTTATTGTTTTCTTGCAAAATATGCTTTGCTTGCCCATCCCCTTTAAATTCCCGTTCTGTCTAAATAATGGGTATTTTGACCAATGATAGACTAAATATGAATATATTTCAACCAATCAAAGAATTGAATTTTTCTGGTTCAACCAATCATATTCAAGGTTGAAACCATAGATAACGACATTCACACATTTCATATTAATTAATTTGTAATTCAATTATAACCATAAAAAAGATTTAAATTTTCCAGATCTTCACAAGTTTAAAAATAATATTTTTTGTGTGAAAAAGCTGAATGTGATTTAATTTGTTGATTTGTTGATTTTTTGTTGTCGTCTTTTAGATAATTTTCTGTACTTTTAGAAATACGCGGTAATTTCTTCCATTAAGCGCATATTTCAATTATTTTTAAATAAATCCATGATATCGTCAAATAATGTCTGCAGCAATGAGCGGGTGTTGTCTTGAAATCTGTAATTATATTATCATTTTACCGAAAATTACAGAAAGAAAAGGATAAGGTTTGGTAATTTCCTAATATACGATTTTTGGACCCCCCCCTCCTATCAATTTTGTACATGAATCTTATATGTTAGACATGGAGATAATTGACCATGTGCCCGAAGCGCCCGGCCCCCTGGCCTGTCCTAGCCGCGGCGCTTGGTTCCTTGTCTGTCCAAGCCGCAGCGCCCCCCTAGCCTATCCTAAACGCAGCGCTCGGCCCATAAAGTGTTTTATCCTAACCTACCCCTAAATATATACTAATTGTTGAAAAAGTGGTCATGTACAAAATTGATAGGAGGGGGGGGGGNGGGTTTTATGACTCCCTTTACAAAGTAAGAGGGGTTTAAGAACTCCCTTTACAAAGTATAAGGGTTGTTATGACCCCCTTTACAAAGTATACGCTGGGTTTTATAACTCCCTTTTCAAAGAATAAGAGTTTTATGACTCCCTTTACAAAGTATAAGGGTTTTTAGATACAAGGTTACCTACGCTCTTAGAGACGATTGTATGGAATTATTAATGTCTCTTTCCTTATATTTTTGATTTCCTGCAACCATATAAACTTCTTTCTTTGCCAAATCATTAAATAAGCCATTCAATGCAGAAGACTTAATTTAAACTTGGGATCGTCATATTTAAAGAGTATTTAACATTTTTATCCTATTATATTTTGTGTATAAATTTTTTTTTGTAGATTGAGGATCATCTCTGGGAATGTTCAGCATGTACATATAGAAATAACCCTGAAGCGTTCAAATGTTCAATGTGCAGTATAAGAAAAGGAACATCTACAAGAAAACCTAAATTAAACCCTGATATGGTGGAAGTTCAGGTAACAATGATGTTATAAAGGAATATTATCCTAATTCCTTTTAAGGGACTGTCTTTGACAATTTTTAAGTGACTCACCCTTTCAAGGGAACCTTTTTAAACTTTATTGTTCAATATTGTCGTATTTCTAGCTTGAAAATTGTTTAATTCTTAATTTTACTTCCCAATTGCGTTTGTAGTAGAAATGCGCAAGTCACTTTTGCAGGGAATTTACAGTTGAAAATAGTAATTTTTTGAAGACATCTACTTCGTTCTTGGTCAGACAAAGCTTTTAAGATTACCATTGACTGTTGTGAATCAGACATTAAAATAAAAAGTCACTTTAAATACCCGTACAATTCCTTTAATTAAACGTTTTTATCGTTTCTTGGAGAACAGATAAACTAACTCAGTCTGAGTACTGAGTGAGTAGGAAGTAATGAGTAAAAACGCCTCCTCATTGTTATTTCTAGTCTTAATTGTGAGAAGGCTGTCTTAATTATAAACATTTTGTTCAAGCATTTGATTAATTAAAATAGATTTTGCCATGTTTCGTTTTCTTATTTTACATAATTTTCAGTTTTTATTTTAGGTTCAAAAGCATGCGTTTATGCCACCCTCCCCACTTATACGGTTCCCCAGAGAGGAGCAACCACGTCCCTCCAGCAGTGCTAGCAACGAGGCCAACCAGTCCTTCGAGGACGTGGAAGAGGCCGGACCATCATCTAAACCTAAGAAAATGAAAACCCCGGCTAAACCTCGAACGCCAAAGGCTCCCGGGGCATCGGGCGCGGGGCGGGGTAAACTCAAGAATATTGACAGGAATTATTCAGACACTAATTTAATAAAATAAAATTATAAATTATTGAAAATTAAAAATAATTAAAGTGATTTTTCATGCTTGAAGAGCCATTTCCGATTCACAACGGTACCCTTAAATTCTTATTGAAGGACTTATCCATGTTTTTTGAAAACTAATGATGTTCAATAGTGTGTTTTTGCGGATTTAAACTACAGGTAAAATGGAGGAAATTGTCAGAAGTTGACTCTATTTAAAGATAGATAAACGACGATATATTTCACTTTTTGTTCCCTTGTGAATCGGGAATGTCCCTCTTTTTAAATGAAGATTATTTCAACGACAGTCCCTTTAAGGCTGATATCTGCTTGTCTCAAGATCTGGTCTGCGTCTGGATTATTTAGATTATTTAGTTAAATTTCTTAGTTGTTGTTGCAAATGATAGTGGAAAATCTTTAAAAATGTTCATTGTTGAAAAATATATTCAAGTCTGAATTATTAATCCAGGAAAAATGGGACAGTTCATGCCATCACTGTTGATAATGTTACCATTAGTATTACAGAGTACAAACTTAAACCCAAGGTATTTAAATAAATTTTTTTATACATTCTGAAAGGGATAAAAATATAAATAGAATTATTTTGTAATTTATACAAATTCCGAGTAACTAAAATAAAGACACCTTGTTCTGCGTTGTAAAATTAATATTTAGATATCTTTCTTTTGTAGAAAGAGAAGAAAAATGGAGAAGAACCAACTTCAAGTCATATTCCCAGCGATCCTGAAAGTGACTCTCAGGAAAATATAATTATCTCTTAAGTATTAAAATTAAGTAAAAAGTTTAAATCGCTTAAAATCTTTTTTTTAATGCTTCTTTTGTATTTATAATTTCAAAGACATTTTCCACGATCTATGTGAATGCAAAAGAAAAACTTGAAGGGAGTATAAGCATTATTTCAAGTGACCATCTATGCATAAATGGCAATGCCCAATTTACAAACCTTGAAGCCTTTATCTGGTCAATATTGTAGAAGTTAAAAGTGTTCCTTTCATTCTGGTAAATCCGATATGTTTTAGAAATACAAGTCACTTTTGTTGAAAATAATCAGTTTTCGAAATTGAATTTGTTGATATCTAATTTCTCCTTGACCGGATAATGCTTTTAAAGGTACCGTTGTGAATTGGTGATTGCTGCCATCAAAGCATAGAGGGTCACTTGAAATTACGCTTACAGTCCCTTTAATACTTTCCCCCCACAAATTTGATTTTGAATTGTATCATTATGTTTGCCTTGATAGGAGCAGAATACAGCAGTGGACCAGGATACAAGAAGTTCTTGAGATTTGTATTTTTACACACCTTTCTTTTCTTTTATACAGGGGGTATATTCTGCTGAAAAATCATTCCCCTCCCTCCACCTATTTTCCAAATCATTTTCCCCCTAGAAGTTAGGCAAAAAATAATAAATAAAGAAAATGAATACATTTTTGGGTAAAGAGTATGAAGAAGGATTAAAAACTTGCCTTTTTAGTTTTTCTTTTTTTCTTTTTTCTCCCACATCTTTCAAAACCATGGGGGTGTAGGTAATTGTTAAAAATATACACCCCTGCTTTTTTATCAACAGGGGTTTAAATATTCAAAGTAAAAGAAAGGGGGGTTGTTTTCTTCCTAATATTATATACCCCTTTACTCTGAACTATAATTCTCAAATACTATGTACCTAGTTAAATTAAACCAATTAAATTAGACTGTGAGCAAGAACCTTCCTTTTATATTTTTCTTGCGATCACTTCACTTACATCTTTTTGTAAATTAGTTACAACCCCGAAACTATAACTATGCCACTTCAATTCTTGCTTCTGATAAATTTAACATAATTGTTCAGAGCTGAAAACTTTTGAATGGAATATCCTTAATCCCGTTTGGGTAACTAATCTGGAGATTAATAACAAGAGAAGAACAAGCATTTTTTAATCTGGAGATTAAAAAAAAGAGGAGAACAAGCATTAATCTCGATATCCACCATTCAAAGTTTTCAGCTCTGGTTGTTTTGAAGATTTCTATTTTAACTATATCTGCACTGAAATCAGTATTTTAATCTAAACTGCATTTATTATTTTCCGACTAATATGAATTATAAATTGATTTGTCCAATCGAACTGGACTCCATTAAATTGAGTATTTTCAGAAATGTTCAAGATAGAAATGTTTACAGTTCGGTCTCTGCTAAGTCTTGCCAATCAACCCTCCCTACTACCAGGCTCTGCCCTTCACACCAGTTCAACGCTTGGTAATGTGTTTTTAGCTAAAGAGTTTTTAGTGGTTGGCTAGTTGATTGGTTTTGATTTTCGCATTGATTGATTGATTAAATTATAAATTTGTAGAAAGCAGAATAAAGCGGGTTAACCGTCACAAACCGTTTTGGCAGTCTCGCAAACTAAACAAAGCCACCGTAAGTATAAATTACATAAGCTTTCTTTATTTGATGAAGTTTGTCTTTAATTTATAAATCTTATTTTTTACATTTTTAGAAATTTTCCTTAGATTTAAAAATTACTTAAACTAACTCGTTTTACATTGTTATATTTCAGGATGAACCGATATCAGCAGAAAATAAAATGTTTATTCAAAACTACATTGATAAGAAATACGCTGGTCCCCTGAGAGAGGTAGGAAATATGAAACTTTAATGGAATCTGTGCAGGGAGATATATTTTGTTCAAATTTCATCCTCCACTCCCCGCCTCTATAAAAAAGGAATTTGTTTCTCTTCACTTTCTTAGGAATTTTAATAAGTTTTTTCTATCATGCAAGTTTGGAAATTGAATAAATATTGATACTTGAGCGTATTTGAGAACTGTATTCTTGCTTGTCTGTGCTGTAGAAATCAACAAGTTAATTTCAAAGATACATTCACGTTCCTAACTTTCAGATATACAAACGAAGACATATTTCAAATTAGATGGACCTTCTAAATCATCAAATATTAGTTATGATTTTTAAAAATTTTAGTGATGAATTAAAAAAGTTAAAAATTATAGAAATACAATTGTAATTAAGAAGGGATTTTTATTTCTGGGAGTAGAAAATTTGAATTGAAAAACGAAAAAATTGTAAATTGAAAGTTATTTTTTGCAGGAGTTCACGCCGTGGGCTAAAGGAAGTTGGAAAGAGGGAACTAGACGGCCTGGTGTACTAGCTGTTAAAATAGGAAACACTTTATTTAACTTAAACTCAGCAATTAATCCGCCAATAAAAACGCCAGGGGTGGTTACTGTATAATATGTTTTGGAAAAAGCACTTTTCTTCGACCATTTCCCCCCTTTAATAAGTTTTAGGGGTTTATTTTCTGGATTAGGGAAATAAATGATTTTAAAGGGTAAATTAATGAATTTGTGACTTAAAGTATCAAAAAGAATGAATAAAGTTGTCTTTGAATGTTCAAGTTTTTTATTTTCCCCCCTAGATTATCAAAAATCAGTTGTGGGGGGGGGGTTGATTCTGAAAAATAAGCACCCCTGGAAAACGCTAAAATCTGCAAAATTTGTATTGTTATCAATTTAAAATGCACAAATGGCTTGCAGATAGATTGATAGCAAACAGATTTGATAATTACCACATAGAAGGTCGAGAAAAGTGTTATATAAATTGTTTTAAAGGAGTTCAACCGATTTGGCTGAAAAATGGAAAACAAATTATTACAACACTTCTCCATGTTCAGGCATATATATGTACTTAATCATTATTAGAATATCATATATATGTTTCAAATAGATTATCAAGTACAATAGGTTGCAATAGAGAAATGGACCAATCATAGACGACGTCAAAAGTGTCAAATAGAACAAGGAAAACGAAATTTTCTCACATTAGTTGACATGTTTTCAAGATTAAATAAAAAAGTGTAAAAACAGATACTAAAGAAAACATATAATTGCACTTTTTTTACAGGAAGATAAGCACTTTATTCTAAAATTATCACTATCTTTGTCGGACACATAAAACTGTTGACACTTGTGACGTAAGAATACAGCTGTACTGCGAGTGTACAAATTCTACGTTGCCATCTATTGTACTAGACTCTACTTGGTTTTGTTAGTCATTATGGTGTTGTACATTTTGTTAAACTATCATTACCCCTCCACACTGATTAAGTCTAAATCTGAGTCGTTGTCAATGTCCTAAGAATTTATGTCCATTAATGTCCAAACCTGCCATTATTTGCTGGCCGCCAGGCTGTTGTAATAATTTACTTGAATCTATGTCCTGGAAACCATTAACATACATAACATACATTTTCATACAAAGAGCAAACGTCCATACCTACTTATCCTCAACAATGCTTTTGGTACGTTCTGCAGTAATTTGCAGTAAACTGACTGACGATATAGTAGCGTTTAGTGGACAGTGTAATTATAATATGTATAGGTAGTCAACTGTCATAACCATGGTCCATGGCATTATCTAATCTAGTTAAGAACTGAAGTACATATCTTAAATTGTAGGATAACCATGTAATTAAATTCACAACAAGGTAAGTTTTTGATCACTTCCCTAGCAATCCTTTTTTATTTTGTAAATATTTACGACCATTTTTCCGGGCTTCTTGCACAGAGCATGATGTTGTTTTGCTGAATTATTTCCCAAGAGACAGTTCAGTATTACCTACTCACCCTGGATTCACGGGTCGTCCGTAATGTTATTGTAACTTTTTATAACTTCAAGATCCCGTGGTAAAGAAAAGAATTTTAATTTGGAAAAAGTATTTAGTTATACACAATTTTCTCGTCTTTTGAGATGAAATTGCGCGAATTTTCCACGAAAACTTTGCAGAGCTTTTCGTTATTTCTGTTGGGGGGAATCATGGGTCGGTTATGCTTGTGAATAGACAGTAAAAAATGTTCCTATTCGATGTAAAGCAAGATTAAGAAATTTATTTTAAATTCCTAGATCTGAGTATGAAGACAGTTATGTTGGAGAGAAGAATAGAATAGCTAATTATACAGGATCCGGAAATAAAAAGGAAAATACAACAACTAAATAAGCTNGTCCGAGTGATCCTTTTCCCTATTATTCTAGAATACGTAAATTCTTTTACAAATTTCTATATAATGCTATTTCAAAAGGACTGTGAGCGTAATTTCTGGTGACTCTCCATTTAAAGAGAGGAATGTGTCAGATAATATGTAAGATCGATGTTGGGGGATTCAGCTGCACACATTAGTTGAAGTATTGGTATTAGGGTGATCATATTACTGGATTAGTAACAGTAGGAGCTGTAAGCACGGATCCACAAAAATATACTAAGGTAAAATAAATTTTTTATCTTCAAGCAAATAACGAAATATGATTTTCTTTGATTTTTTAAAATTTGTAAATTTTTTATTTTTTATTTGTATGGCTCGCTTAATTGATGGTAGATTGTTAGCTTAATTACTTACTGATTTGACCGAAATGTTTATTGAAGTGTGTAATGTTTGCTTAATTGATTGACTATTGACTTTATTGATTTATGAATTGATTGATTTATTGATTGGTTAATTGGTTGCTTGATTAATTTATTGATGAATTAATTAATTGATTATTTTATTTTGTTGTTCGGTGTTTTAAATGGTTGACTGCTTCATGGAATGATAAAATAATAAATACATTTATTGACTAATTTATTGATCCCTTGGTTGATTAATCGATTTATTAGGACTACTGTGGTCTATTTTCTGAATCTGGTGTGATGCCTAAACGTCACCTGGCCCGGTTTCCCGTCACAGAGAACGGAATAATTCAACCTGGTGAGATATTCAGAAATCAGGAAATTTAAATAATTCTCTTTTTTCAGTAGTTTAGATTTGGTTGGTATTTTTCCCCCTGGATCCGGATCCGTAGATCCGCATTTTTGTGTGGATCCGGATCCAGGAAGCCAAAATCTTACGGATCCGAATCCTAAGCACTGATTTTCAGGAACCCCCTTGAGTGCAGCTCACTTTACACCGGGTCAGTTCGTGGATGTTTATGGTAGAACCATGGAGAGAGGGTTTCACGGAGTAATGAAAAGGTCTGGACACTTTTTTAATTTAAAAAAAGATTATTTGAAATCGCACTTCTGATTTTTTTCACAATTAAACAAGAATTTTAGGTCTATTTTTACTTTATGGGGAAAATAAATACATTTTTGAGTTTAGATTTTTAAAATCATCTGAAAACTTGGTTTCTGTAGATAACATATGGTTAAAAATTTCCTGTTCAACAAACAAAAAAATATTCTCGTGAAAATAAATCTGTATTGAGGTGGGGGTTTGCTGGTATGCCTGCTTCTCATGGAGTTACTAAATCTCATCGTAGAGCAGGACATATAGGATCAGGTAAACATTTAAAGCTTTATTATTTATATTCAGGCGTGTATATTTTCTGTAAAATCATTACCCCCCACCCTCCTTTAAAATCCTTTTTTATCCCCAGAAATTAGGATTGGTTGCGCGTTTGAGTCTACCACGATCTTTTCTTTTCTTTTATTCATTTATTGAGCCAAAAAATGTGTTAGGCTTTTATTTGCTGAATGGGGAAAGAAACAAATATTTTCCGAATTTTTGATCAAACTAAGGTTTCAAGGGTACCGTTGTAAATCTGGCATGGCTTAGATGTTCAATTGACATTACGCTTACTGTCCCTTTAATTAGTGCTATGTTTACTTGATCATGAAAAAATACGACTGGTTTAACTAATTAATCCATTTTTCAAGTTAAACTTGCTTTTATAAGAGCAGAATTTTCTGGTTTGAATACCTTTCACTCGCATGTACAGAGCGTCCCGTATCATATTGGATTATCTCCAATCTCTAACACCAAAATACGCATAAATTACTGGAAAAACCTAGTATTTTCTGTAAGATTTTTTTTTGTATTAGCCTTATGTATTTTTTGAAAATGATTAGTTTTTTTTCTGATAAGTCCCTGAAATCTTAATTTAGAGCTATAAACGATCTAATATTATGTGGGACAACCTGTAAATACCGAACGCCGCGCCGCGCCGTGCTGATTGTTCCATTAATTCAGAGAAATTCTTTGTAACCAATCTAAACATCTTTTTTTCTTATGTAATTCAAAATTTCATATTCTAATTACTTTGTTTCTTAAGTTAAAATTGCAACATTTTTGGTCTTGAAGAAGAATTGACTTGATGTTATGATAAAGGTTGTGATAAAAGCCGTGTATGGCCTGGACAGAAAATGCCTGGAAATATTGGAGGAAGATACACCTGGCTCAGGGGACTCAGGTACTAAAATAAATAAAAAAAAATTACAGGGTGAAATTTTCGAATCTAAAATCTGTTTCTTCCTCTGGATAAAATTTATCATACTTATCAAAAATTCTATTATTTTTTTATTTACTAGCTGCCAAGGTTACATAAAGTTTACTCCCGCCTTTTACCCGCACTTGAACGATTTACCGGTAAACTAAATTTTCGTTGTTGTAGTCGTCACACATAACTTAGAATCTCAAAACCAAGCTAAGAACATTTCCGTGGGCCTCCCGAGTTCCCCAATAAATTTTTTTGGCAAATCTGTCCTGGGGTTCTTGAATTATGATCGGACAAACAGATAGACAAACAGAGATTACAACTTTATGTATAAATAGATGATCTGTATATTTATATTTGATGTTGACAACTTCATTGTTTATTTATGTTGAACGAAAAATAATAAAGGCATAAAAACGTTTCGTTCAGGTGATAAACCATCTGTAATTTAAAGGTTTTTGTTTTAAAAACCAGTTTTATTTTCCCTTAAGGATCTGGAGGATTAACTATGAAGAAAATGTACTTTATGTGAGTGGAACAGCTGTGCAGGGAAACACAGGATCTATTCTGCAAGTCTGCGATACCAAACTTAAAGTAAGCAATAAATATCGAAATAAAGTCGGAAACTTATGAATTGGACAAAATGAGTTAATCGCATCATTTCCTATTTTTCATCTGTCAAATTCGAAATCATTTTCTAGGCCCATAAGGAGTGGATTAGTATCACTAAATAGTTTGGAGCTCAATTCTTTATTATTATTGTGATAATGGTTTTAGACTGATTTTTTAATCTCCTTCTCGTATTTCTATTTTAAGTTTTATTTATTTGTGCTGTTTATTTTTAAAATTAGTTTTATTAAAGGGGAGCGGGGGGGCGAGTTGTTTATTCTTTGAAATTTAAAAAAAAACTCTAAGCTTTGTTCAGAAAGTTAACTTGACTAATTCGTTTACTATTTAGTCTAAACGATGGGGAAATGAGAAAATTAAAGAAGTTAAGTCAGGGCCTCGTTTCTTCCCAACTGCATCACAGGAACCCACAACTTATAATTTATTTATCGATGAATACAAGAAGTTTTGATTGAATAATTAATATGCTACACGTTTTTTTTAGATTTTCAAGCTCATCCAACCATTTATGGACAAAGATATAAAATAGATTTTACGAAATCTTTTGAGTAGATCTGTATTTAATTAAAAGTTGTTGGTTTAGGAGGATATTGATAAACTACCCGAGGAGGAATATTGTGATTTAGTTCATGACTTTAATGCTCCCTCAATATCCAGGGTTTAACCCCCCCCCCCCACTGCATCCAGTGCTAAAGATCTCATCTAAATGAAGACCCATCGTCCACCCCCCCCTCCTTCTTCCCTTGTTTGGGCCAAAATTTATCATCAACTTTTGAACCCTCCATTTTGATTTCAGAAATAATGTTGCCAGTCGTTTCTTTGCGCTTGGTTCAGAGAACTAGCAGCCTCTCTGCTGTTAGGTGAGGATAGCTCCCTCCTTTACTTCTCTTCCTTACTAAAATTGACTGTTAATGTATTAAAACTTGAATACCAGACTCGTATTACAAATATTATCGTAGGTTAGAATTTTCAAATTAACAACTGTATTTAAGCTATTATCGGATTCATTACAATGTCTCTTAACAAGTCAACGAAAACTGATAAATGAACTTCATAATTCGACCAACCCTAAAAATTTTTAATTTTACTATTTACTTTCTGAGCTTAATACCATAAGGACAAGGAAAGTATTAAAATTATTCAGCAATTCAAAACTTATCCCAAACTCTAATTTTCTTGGTCCTATATTTTTGGAACTCTCATGTTTCAAACGTTGACGATAAAAGCTATTGTGATAAATAATTTAACCATCAAAGGTCTACTATATTAGTGGCGGAAACTTTTGCACTTTGGATATCAAGATCAATGCTTGATCCCAATCTGTTGTTAATCTACAGATTATTTAATCTTAATAAAAGAGAGAGTATGGTCAGTGGAAAACGATCAGATTATCAGGTTCAATCAATGAGAAAACAGAGAAATTTTAGATATCCACAAGCAAGAGACAAAGCGAAAATTTACAAATGCCCACGGTGGTTAATGGTTATCGAGATCAAGCGATCGGTATTATTGGTGTCCACTGTCCAGCGCAAAAATTCCAAGTTCAGATGTAAGGGCTAGAGATAGAGTCTCAATCAAGTATCCAGAACTGGGAATGCTTGTCTGGATCGCTTGATCTCGATATCCTTTGCGGGCACTTTATTTGAGGATCAATGCTGAATCTCTTAATTTCAGCTACTCCCTTAGCCCCAAGGTATGATCACCATGCGGAATAAAGATTAAATTAGCAAAAGTTAGAGATCAAGCATTGATCTCACTATTCACCATATTTCCCAGCTCAGTTCCCCTTTATTAAAGGTTGATGAGTGGTGAAAGGTTTGGACACAGTAATGGAGACAGTGGGTGGAGATGGGACAAAGGAGGTGTAGGTATGGGAGGGAAGGAGGCCTGTCCAGCCACCGAGATCAAGGAGGGACTCGGCAAGGGAAAAGAATATGAGGTAAGAATTGAACATCGCATCTGCATTCTGTATTTTGTATTCGGTATTCTGCATTATGTATTCAGTATTCTGCCTTCTGTATTATGTATTCAGTATTCTGCATCCTGTATTATGTATTCAGTATTCTGCATTCTGTATTATGTATTCAGTATTCTGCATTCTGCATTATGTATTCAGTATTCTGCATTCTGTATTATGTATTCGGTATTCTGCCTTCTGTATTTTGTATTTTGTATTTTGTACTACTTCTGTTTAACCTTTTTGTTATGATTAAAATTTTCCATTTTAGTTAAAATTTTTGTTTTCATTTAGAATCCTGAATTTTTCAAGTATAACAAGTATAGCTACTTCGATGTGGAGAAGGATGTGGTGGACTCTAACAAGAGGGTTCCCCAGCCAGACAGCAAACTTACAGAGTTCTGGTGAAGGAAACACTGTGTCAGATATTTTGTTAGTTACATTGTGAACCATGCACGGTACACAACATAAATATTTATAATATTATTGGACTATTCATGACAAATTTTATGTTTATCATAGAGATTTAACACTAGTCCTCCAAATGTAGTATGTTTTCAGAAAAATGTAAGCAGCCTGTTGGAACTAAGAAGGAACCGGTTTTGAAACAAAATGGCGGAATAACTTTTTGGTAACGTCATGGCGGATATAGCCGCTTGTGAAAATTCAACTAAATCTGAATCTAGGACGGAGAACAATGGAGATATTCACCCAGAAAATGTGGGAAATATTGAAGAGAACACTATAAGAATGGGAGAGAAAGAAATAAGAAAGGTAGAGGAGCAAAGGCCTGGGATCAAACTGCTCCGATCTTGGATAAATAAAAATATTAAGGCAAGTTTGAAGTGGAAACGAATAAGAAGTTATAAGTTAACTTTATGATAAATTTTTTTTTTGTAGTTTCAGTCTTAAAGGAACTATAGGCGTAATTTAAGTAACTCCTTATTAACAGAGTGGCATGTATAATTCGCAACGGCACCATTTTAAGCTATGTATGTTTAAAAATGCACGAAATCGTCTCTTGAAAGATTTATCATTTTCAAACTGATTATTTTACTGCAGAAACATTTTAGAAAATTGCCATTAAAAGCGAATACTACTACAGTCCCTGAGTGTTGACGACCGGAATTAAACATCTAAAATTTAATATTATTTGGTTCATCTGTGTCTTTTTCCCTTAGAAAAAAACGTGCCTTGTGACTCTGCTTGTTACGTTTTAGAGTAGGTATTAAAATATTCGAATTTTCTTGGTTTTAAAGAACTCTTCCGATAACAAATAAGACTTTCCTGTTAAATAGATCCAACCTAGTTGTAATGTTGGAATTTCTTCTTAGAGGGACTGGTGATTATGAAAGAACAAAAACTTTCACTGGGACTAAATCAATCAATCACCATTGTCTGCTTTTTATAGATCCAAATGACTGATGGAAGATACATTCTTGGTGTTTTTCTCTGCACAGACAAGTAAAAGCATATTTCAAAGTTTGTTAAATCTAAGGTCTGCATTCTGCAACATCAGATTGTAAAGTTGTAAGGATTGGAAAATTAGATAATGAGGAGGGTTATACATTCCCTTGTATGTGTTTGGAAGTTCATAAAAATTGGAAATATTTGGATATCTGTTTGGTTTTTGATAATTTTGGGGGGTATAGTAATTTTGTAAAGCTTGGAGAGAGTTGGGATTGGGACATTTGAAAATATGTACCAGTAGAGTACAAATATGTTGTTTGTTTTTGTACTGTAGGAGTAGTAACGTGATAGTAGGGAACTGTACTGAGTACACAATGGACCCCGACAGCTCTCAAAATACAGGGATACAAAAACAAATTTTAAACTGCAAAACTTTTTATTAGATGTTGTAACATAATTTTTATGATATTGAAGAACATTTTTTTTCTTTGTAATTCAAATTATAGCGAACTTATTTACCTATAAATTTTCCGTCAACATTTTTTTTTGTGGTTGTCGGACATTTTGGATTTTTCAAAAATGTCCTTAACATTTTCTTGTTTGAATACTACTGTTACTTGTATGGCAGAGGAACCCCGATTACTAGGGCTGGCGATGGTTCCAGGTCATCATATTGTCAAACTTTTCATCGATCAAGCTTTCATCCCATCCAGGTTTATGCAATAACAATGTGTTACACAAAATAATAAACAATTTACAGATGATAAAGCACACACTACTCATGTATTTTTATAGCTTAAAACTTAGGCAAAAAACTCTAAATATTTATGAAAAATGTTTTCTACGAGACTTTGAAAATGCACCAACCTAAACAAAATTTAAAATGATTAAAAATAGCGACTTTCCGAGCAACCGGTAAAGCTAAAATTTTTAATAGGAAAATAGTCGCTAAGCGTTCTGCCTAATATTCAAGCTTATGCAATGTCGTCTTTTAATTGTCATGTTAAGTGCAACACACTGTTGTTAAATCATTTGAATTATTTTGTCTATTTTCTTTTACAGATTGTCAATGACGCGATTTCTTTTTGGTTTTACAGATCAAGATTGTGCTTTGCATCGATAAAAAGAACGCTTACAATTACTTTGACAAATTCCCATTTCAGAAAAATGACATTTCTGTTCAATATTTATTTTTCATTTTCATTTTAAAATTTGAAATGATTAAAAATAGCGACTTTCCGAGAAACCGGTAAAGCTAAAATTGTTAATAGGAAAATAGTCGCTATTGTCAATGTTGTGATTAAAAATAGCGACTTTCCGAGCTATAGCTTTCCGAGCAATCGCTAAACCGCTAAAATTGTTAATAGGAAAATAGTCGCTAAGCGTTCTGCCTAATATTCAAACTTATGCAATGTCGTCTTTTAATTGTCATGTTAAGTGCAACACACTGTTGTTAAATCATTTGAATTATTTTGTCCATTTTCTTTTACAGATTGTCAATGTTGTTACAAGTGATGCGATTTCTTTTTGGTTTTACAGATCAAGTTTGTGCTTTGCATCGTTGTGCATCGATAAAGAGAAAGATTACAATTACATTGACAAATCCCCATTTCAGAATAATGACATTTCTGTTCAATATTTATTATTCATTTTAAATTGTCAACTATTTTTTCAGGGATCGATTAAATACTTCACCCTCTCGAACCTGCGACTCAGATGAATGAACTGTGTGTTATATCATTACGATTATTATTATTATTAGTATTATTATTATTTAGGAATTTTTAAATAACTCTCATGAACTAACAAATATTAATTCCAGAAGTATAAAATGAATGCTGTGAAGTTGTTACGGAGGCTTCCTGGCCTAAGAATATATCCGAGAATCCAAAAAGTTTCACTAAATCCGGGAAAAAATGGCGCGGATAGTGCCTCCATTTTTCATCACTATCAAGCTTTCCGACATTTCTCAGAATCTCGCGCAATTCTTTGCTCAAAGCCTGTCGGGGCAGTGGAGGTATAATTAAGAGTTTCCTTAATTTGTACAAAGGTATACATTTGACGAATTTTCATAAATTTCGGGGCAAAAAATTGTACGTAAATTGGGAAATTGTTTGCTTTTTCAAAAATGGTTTATTTTCCACAGTTTAATTTTTATTTGGTTGGGTAAAAGTTTTGTATAATAGAAAGTTATAAGAAAATATTTATTCCTGTTCTTTGATTTTAAATTTGTTTGATTTCAGATAAAAAAGCTGCAGTTGTCCTACACCTGCAAAGTATGCGGCAACCGAAGCACAAAATATATCTCTAAGGTACTGACCATCATATTCCGGGTTATATCTATCTATCTATATAATAAGACATTCGTATATATATATGTTGTCTATAGCCGGCCAAACGGCTGGACCGATTGGGCTTAAAATTATTTGTGGACACTCATGGGTGGCCGGAGGGTGTTATAAGCTAAAAAAAAATTTCCGGCTTTTTTTTAATTAAATATTTTTTTTCAACATATTTTTCTAATTTTTTTTTACAGACAACGCCGGGCCCTTCAATTAGTTTATTTATATATTAGTCTTGTCTGTTTGTTGTTGGTTCATGTATATACAAAAAAAACGGCGACACCTATCGGGTCAAATATTTGGAGGGTCTTTAACTCATGGAAAGGTTTCTGTCCAGATATTTGATAATCCATTAAGAAAAAATGAAAACTATTAACTGATGTTTAAAAGCTAAGAATATTGGCAGAAAAAATGAGTGAAAATAAAGGGGACTTTTGAATGTAAAACTTTTAATCCACCCATGTAAATTATGTACAAACATAGGAAAGAATGAACTCCAGGTTATGAAAATTGTGACATTTTTTTGGGAGAATTAAATTATTTTATTAACATGGTAGATTTCTAAAAAAATCCAATAAATTATAAAATAAAATATTTTCAGTTAGCTTACACAAAAGGAGTTGTAATTGTCAAATGCGAGGGTTGTGAAAACAATCATCTTATTGGTAAATATAGAATATAGATTATTTATTTATCTTTATATGAGTGAAACCGTTTAAAAGAAAAGAGTTAAAAAAATCCGAAATCATTGAGTAAATTATCAAAATAAAACCATTACGGAGATTCATCAAAATTATTAAAAAGGACTGTAGACATAATTTCAAGTAACTCTCCAGTCTGATTTTTTGCTTTAAAATAATTTAAGTATTATCTTCAAATAAATTTTATTATTTTTATATTTCAGCTGATAACCTGGGGTGGTGGCCGGACTTAGAAGGAAAAACAAACATTGAAGAGATCTTGGCTGAGAAAGGAGAAATCGTTGATCGTGGTTACGTTCATCATTCATAGTAACAGTCTTAACAGGCCAGGTCGACGTGATATTAAGTAATCCTCAAATCAAATAGTTTCATTATCGATTTACAACGCTACCCTTTCAACCCCTTTTGGAGCAAAACTGTTGTAGATATCCCTGTTTTCTATTTTAAAATTGATCATATCTGCCTGGAAGTTTATCCATCTGCCTGGAAGTTTATCTATCTGCCTGGAAGTTTATCCATCTGCCTGGAAGTTCATCCATCTGCCTGAAAGTTCATCCATCCGCTTAGAAGTTTCCATCTGCCTAGAAGTTTATCTATCTGCCTGGATGTTTATCTATCTGCCTGGATGTTTATCTATCTGCCTGGATGTTTATCTATGTGCCTGGATGTTTATCTATCTGCCTGGAAGTTTATTTATCTGCCTTAAGTTTATCCATCTGCCTGGAAGTTTATCCATCTGCCTGGAAGTTTATTCATCTGCCTAGAAGTTTATCCATCTGCCTGGAATTTTATCTATCTGCCTGGATGTTTATCTATCTGCCTGGATGTTTATCCATCTGCGTGGAAGTTTATTTATCTGCCTGGAAAACAGAAAAGCAAAATTTTTTAGGAGATAGTTTCAAAGGAAACATTTCAGTTTTCTCTTTATGAACAAAACCTTCTGTCTTATTTTGTTTAGTTTCCCTTCTTGTATATTGTAAAAACATAACTGTGATAATAATGATAATAATATAATAATGATACAAAAATGTGCAACCTTTTTTTTATTTGCAGATAAGAATGGATATTGAGGCTGAGGTGAAACTAGAAGGAGTAAAGAGAATTATTCTGGTTCTATCCGGAAAAGGAAGGATTTAATCAATCTTAAAATCACGTTCATATTTGTTGAAAGTTTAAAGAAAGATTTGATAAATGTAAGATTTCGCAGGAGTTTTCGGGTTTTTTAAAATTTAACTTTTGTAATTATTAAGTTGCTAAATCTTTATTAAAGGTTTCTATATCTTTTTACGTAATCAATGTTTTTGAACGAGTCGCAAAATAATTTTATACTGGCATAGGATAAAAGTACTGTCACAATATTGTTCGCTTTTTATCTCTTTCTTTAGACTTAAAATTGTTTTTCATTTTTTACCCTAACCTGGACTAAGCAAAACATGTTAAAATATAAACATAAATTAAACCTAAAATAAGTTCTCAAGAACAGATTTAATGAATTGCGAGAAATGTTTTAACCAATTCTCCTGAGCTTGAGCCGGGGCACAAGAACAGCGGTTTAGCTACGTCTGCACGATTTACCTTCTTCTCGCTATTAATTAAATGTAGACAACTTAATTGATTTCATGAATAATGCATATTGCTGTTACTAGTTTAATGGTTGCACGGGGATTTCATGTCATGATCATGATTGTTGATTGATTGATTGCAAGGTAGAATTGGAAATAAACTAATTGTTGATTGATTGAAAGGTGCTGTTGCAAAGTTTACTGAATGTTGATTGATTGATTGCAAGGAGGTGTTGGAAAGATATCTAAATGTTGATTGAATGATTGCGAGGTGATGTTGGAAAGATAACTGAATGTTGATTGGATGATTGCAAGGAGGTATTGGAAAGATAACTGAATGTTGATTGAATGATTGCGAGGAGGTGTTGGAAAGATAACTGAATGTTGATTGAATGATTGCGAGGAGGTGTTGGAAAGATAACTGAATGTTGATTAAATGATTGCAAGGTGATGTTGGAAAGATAACTGAATGTTGATTGAATGATTGCCAGGATGTGTTGGAAAGATAACTGAATGTTGATTGATTGATTGGGAGTTAGTGTTGGAAAGATAACTGAATGTTGATTGATTAATTGCAAAGAGGTGTTGGAAAGATAACTGAATGTTGATTGAATGATTGCAAGGTGATGTTTGAAAGATACCTGAATGTTGATTTATTAACTGCAAGGAGGTTTTGGAAAGATAACTGAATGTTGATTGAATAATTGATTGCAAGGTGGTGATGGAAAGATAACCGAATGTTAAATGATTAATTACAAGATGGTGTAGGAAAGATAACTAAATGTTGATTGATTAATTGCAAGGAGGTGTTGGAAAGATAACTGAATGTTGATTGATTAATTGCAAGATGATGTTTGAAAGATAACTGAATGTTGATTGAATGATTGCGAGGAGCTGTTGGAAAGATAACTGAATGTTGATTGAATGATTGCTAGGTGGTGTTTGAAAGATAACTGAATGTTTATTGATTAATTAAAAGGAGGTGTTTGAAAGATACCTGAATGTTGATTGATTAATTGCAAGGCGATGTTTGAAAGATAACTGAATGTTGATAGATTGATTGATTGCAAGGTGGTGTTGTGTTTGAAAGATAAATATGTAGATTGATGGATGGATTGATTGATTTATTACTTGATTGATTGATTACAAGGTGGTGTTGGTAAATCTACAGTAACCACACAACTGGCTCTTACGGCACAAAAGGTTTTTATCTTTTCTTAAATTTTTAAATTGAATAATTAATTTAGTAGTTTATTCATAGTATCATCTTTAAAATATATATCCTTTCAATGTTTTAAAATTTATTAAAAATTGAACTTCGTCCAAAATAAATGTTGATTGAATGATTGCGAGGAGGTGTTGGAAAGATAACTAAATGTTGATTGAATGATTGCGAGGAGGTGTTGGAAAGATAACTGAATGTTGATTGAATGACTGCAAGGTGATGTTGGAAAGGTAACTGAATTTTGATTGAATGATTGCTAGTTGGTGTTTGAAAGATAACTGAATGTTGATTGATTAATTGCTAGAAGGTGTTGGAAAGATAACTGAATGTTAAATGATTAATTACACGATGGTGTAGGAAAGATAACTAAATGTTGATTGATTGATTGCAAAGAGGTGTTGGAAAGATAACTAAATGTTGATTAAATGATTGCAAGGTGATGTTTGAAAGATAACTGAATGTTGATTGAATGATTGATTGCGAGGAGGTGATGGAAAGATAACCGAATGTTGAATGATGAATTACAAGATGGTGTAGTAAAGATCACTTAATGTTGAATGATTGATTGATTACAAGGTGGTGTTGGAAAATCTACAGTAACCACACAACTGGCTCTAACAGCACAAAAGGTTTTTTTATCTTTACTAAGATTTCTAAACTTTTAAATTTTAAAATTGAATAATTAGTTTAGTAGTTTATTCATAGTATCATCTTTAAAATATATTTTTTTTTTCTTTACTAAGATTTCTAAATTTTTAAATTTTAAAATTGAATAATTAGTTTAGTAGTTTATTCATAGAATCATCTTTAAAATATATATCCTTTCAATGTTTTAAAATTTATTAAAAATTGAACTTCGTCCAAAATTTATCGCACATTTGGGACAAAGTTCAATCTTAAATAATTCAGGTTGTTCCACGAAACATGATATTTGCATGATGACTTGAAAGTCGTCTTTGATCTTGGAATTTATTTATGACATTTTTTCGTGAACCTACTTTTTAACATGTTTGATTCTTGAAACAATAACCGCAAATAGGTTCATAGCTTTTCCAAATTGTGGTCTGTCTACTTTGTTCTGTCAATTTTTCCGGAGATATCAAGAATTTTGTTCCTATATCAATTTTGTTAAATAAAACCAAAATAAAAATGGTCGAAATCTGAACAAAATTCTTCATATCCCGAGTAATATTGAAAATACAAAATGGCGGACAACGTTTTGGAAATTAGGAAGATTTTGTGTTTACCATCTTTAGAATTTTACTTCCAAACTTAGGTTGACAAATAAATGCAGCAAATTATATCAAAGACCACGTTATTTATTTTAGAATGGACTTCGTGTTGGAGTTCTTGACATTGATCTATGTGGTCCGAGTATCCCCAGGATGCTGGGGGTTCATGGTCATGAAGTTCATCAACATGATCAGGTTTATTATTTTTATTATTATTGTTTTTGTCAATGTTATTGTTATTGTTATGGTCAGAAAGTTCATCAATATGATTATGTTATTATTATTGTTATTGTATTTGGTATTGCTACAGTGAGACCCGTAAATCTGTCGAACATGAAGACGACATTAAAGTAATCTTATCTAATGCTTATTTGATAGCTTCAAAACCGACTTTTTAACCGAAATGGGATTGTATTCTGTACAATTGCTAAGTTTCATGTTCAGTGGTTTATTTAAGATCATAGCTGAAGTCTAACTGTCGTCTTTCTATTTTAAAGTCGCATGAATCCTGCTGTTTTATTATTATTATTATTTTCAACAGTATCATACTTGTTTTGTTCTGTAGTTTTTATTATTATTGCTACTAATATTATTAATATTAGTATTATTGTTACTGTTAAAAAGCTTCATGGACCAGATGGTTGTAAAAATAGATGAAAAACTAAGCCTGCTTACTTTTGCTGATGCCCTTTTTTAAGCTTTTTATCGAGAACTAGAATAATTTGATGGCAACTTATTTTTGTTAAGGGATGGTTACCAGTATATACTAACAATACGCAAACCCTCGGAGTCATGTCTATTGCATTTTTACTCGCTAATCAGGTAAACATTGTAAACAAACATTGTAAACAAACCTTGTAAACAAACCTTGTAAACAAACCTTGTAAACAAACCTTGTAAACAAACCTTGTAAACAAACCTTGTAAACAAACCTTCATGAAAATATCTTCAATAAAATCGGAAATCTTTCATCAATCAATAAATTATTGTAATTATTATTTGTAATTTTTCTGTAAGTAAAACGATAGATTTAATTTTGGTCAAGAGACTGTAGAGTGTAGACGTTACAGTGTCTGGCGGTTACACTTACATGTCGGGTTCCCTTTCAGATAATTATTATTATTATTATTATTATTACACTTCTTACAAGTTAACTCTCGAGTCGGCACAACGATAATAATATAAAAGGTTTAAAAGAGAACCATTGTGAATCGGACGTGGCACTCCATAGATTTATGGTCAATTGAAATACCAGTTCCTTAAAACAGAAAATTCATGAAACCATTATTATTATTATTATTATTTTTAATATTATTATAATTTTTACGATTACTTTTACTATTATTATTACTATTATTATTATTATTATTATTACATATTATAANAAATTTTCTACCCTTGTTTGAAACTTGTTACCCGCATATTCCCACCGGTTAAAAAAATATTTCTTTTCTCGAATTAACCGGGATAAAAAAGCCAAGTTTTTCCCGCAAAAAATGCTGGGGGCAAATTGATTGTTCATTAGAATTTATCTAGATCGTGTAATGAGAAAACACCAGCTATTTTTATTCAATGATTGACCGTGATAGACGAACATATTGCTGTGATGGAAGCCTTGAAAGGTGTTCAGGTGGATGGTGCTGTTCTTGTCACCACTCCACAGGTTCAACAAGAACAAAAAAAATATTGGGAATTTAAAAAAAAATAGTTAATAGAAATGACAATAAAGAAAGAAAATCAGTATCGACTAAATAGAATAAGATTTTCTTGATTTTTTACATTTTTGTGCTAAAAATTCGTTAAGATTGAGTAATTAATAAAATGAATGTTAATATTAGCACAATAATCAGAAACTCTCTTTGATTTGATTGATTATTAAAATTGACGAGTTGAAAATATGATACAAACCTGAAGAATTCTTTAATGCAGCGATTTTATGTCATAAAACCTTTGATGGGGCAATCTACATTGTCTGCAGGTTGATAGATAATAATAATATAATAAGAGGACAATCCTTAATTTTTTAGTAAAGGATCCATGAGGTTTGCATTATTAACACTCAGAAGAAATTCTGCGCCAATACATTTTTCTAAATGTGTATTGTGTAATCAATATGTTCTTAGGTGCATCCCAGTTGGCGTTTGCATTTAGTCTTAATTACGATTCTGTTATTCAGGCTGTTGCTGTTGGTGATGTAAGGCGGGAACTTACATTTTGTAAGAAAACAAATCTGAAAGTCTTAGGTTAGAAATGATTTGCATATATTTTCCTTCGAAAATCAAATTTTTTCCCAACCCCATCTTCCAATTTGTGTGATTGTTTGTGAGGGGAGGTAGCAATGCTTAAAATTAAGACTTATTTCAACATTGATTTTTATTAGGATTTTTCTTTAATGTAAGAATTTTTGAGAAAGATATTTCAAACTAAAAAAAAATTACCCCCCCCCCCCCGCCACAGAAAAAAAATTTTCTATACCATGTTTAAAAGTTTATTAATGTAGTTCCATTGAGAATTGCCTTTTGTTTACTTACTTTACTTACTTACTTGCGATGCAAGTTTTTATAAACAGAACCTGAATTTTCTAATATTTGATTTCTTTAGGTGGCGGAAAATCTTTAGCAGAGCATGCTAATGTACCATTCTTAGGCATTAAATCTTAAATAATTATTTGTCATAACGTGAATTCATCTTGATAATATTAATCATCTCAAATAGAAATTGTTTATGTGAAAAAAAATAGTGTTTCAAAGATTGAATGTTATAGGGAGTATCCCCATTGAGCCTAAACTGGCAGCAGCTGCTGAGTCTGGAACCGGGTTTGCTGACAGTTTCGCGGATTCTGAAGCAGCAGCTCGGTTTAGCGCCATTTTTCAAGGAATATTAGTGGAGAAGATGGAAATTTAGTGGATTTTTACAACTGTGATATTATGTTTAATGCATTGACATTTTATATTTTTATTTTCAGATGAAAATTATATATCAGTGATGGTACAGGTAGGAAGATATTGAAGGCTATCTTGTTAACAAAATTTATCATCCTGTTTAAACGGAAATTTGAGTCTACACTCAGTTTTGAGCGCCAAAATGTCAAGAATTTTTTATTCAAAAGGTGGTAGTCAATGTCTTTCATAAAAATAGGTTGGCCGGCTGCTTTTATCTGGATCTCCCAAGTCACTGTACAAAGAGCTTATGAGAAAATGTGAGAAACTTCCTAAAGACGCTTCCGGTTTCTACAAATCATCAGGAAACGCTGACAGTTTTAACTTTTCACCTTTCCTCTTAATAGTTAGAAAATATTTTGAAGAATTTAACCTATTTAGAAAAATATATTACATATCAATCTGTGCTGAAAAATTAAATAAGAATTTTTTTTCATTTTTTTGCCTTGAGCCATTTTTTCTGATAAATTTGTAAAATTTCTTTCGAGTACTTACTTGGATGTCATTTTGTCAAAGGACTTGATAATGTATCCAAGTTTGAAGACAGCGTGGTTTGTGTAGTGAGGAAAGAGTACGATCAGCACCGAGACGAGATTGATATAGAACGAATTCAACAGATAATGCAACGAGCAGTGAAAGATGCAGATTGGATTCTGAATAAATACACGAAATCAAAATAAGAAAAGCTTCGAACTTTTGTTCTGTATACCACGTGCTACCAAGATGGCGCTGCGCTTAAAAGTTCTAAGCCTGTATTCACGTGTACTCCGCTTATCACGGAGTTGGGTAGCAACTAATCCCGTGGAAACAGGAGTAGAAAGAGAATATATTGAGTCAGAGGCTAAATTACTCTTCAGGTATTTGACCTTTGAATATGTTTAATCCAAGAAGATTGAAAATAACATTGGTCTGTTCAGAAAAAATGCTGGTCTTATCAACGAGTTAGAGATAAAAGAAAGAATCAGGAACTTATATCAATTTATCAAATTTGTTAACTACGAAATTCAGAGGCTTTTAAATACGAAATGTTATTTAAAGACAAAGGCTTTAATTTTACTTAACACATGAAATTAACAAACTTACTTGTTATATTTTTATAGCATTTGAGAATAATGTATTTTTGTAAAGTTTTGTAAAAAGCTTTCTATAAACCACCTTAAAAAAGCAGAAAATGTCCCCTTGGAATTTAGGATCAAAATGCGTTGAAGAACAGTCGAGTCGAATTTGTTTTCTCACAAATTTTAAATAATTAAGATAAAATAAAAATATTTGATAATATGATAATTGGAATAATTTATAAAGAGAGGCTGAGGCCCGTGTGACAATGGCAGAACATTACAAGTAGGTTCTTTTTTGTAAAGTTTGAAAAGAAATTGACAATTTTAAAGATTTTAACTGTGAGTTTTTAAATATCAAATTAGAACTTTATTTTTAACTTTCAATCTTTAAATAAATAAAGATGCAAGATAAGAAACAAGAACTTTATTTTTAACTTTAAAATTGTAATGTATAAACCACTTTCTTACATTTTTTAAAATTTTTTGTTATTATAAACTTTTTTTATAAAGAAACCCGTACCCCCGACCAGTGAACCTGCCCAAGAGGTCCTATTCTAAGCAGGAGGGGAAGAGGGTTGGGAAAGCTATTCAGAAAATGAACGAACAAAGCAGGCCTGTGTACATTAGGTAAATTATTCAAAAATAAATATACAGAAAAAAATGTTTTCTTTGAATTGTTCACTGTTCAGATTGACAATACCCAATACCCATCCAATACCAGTTAACAATATGGAGATTTCGAAAAGAATGTAAAAATCGACCCAGGCCCCTTATTTTGTTTATCATTGAATTCTGTTTAGGTCTACAGATGATGCCGTGGGGAAATCGAAACCTTGATTTATAAAACAGAAAATTAATTTAAACAGACAATTTATCCACCTTTGTTATGTGATAATCCAGCTCAATAAGTAGTGATTTTAGATATTTAGATAGAATTAGATATTTATATCGAGATATTTATGATATAGCCAAGATTTTGCAAGTTTTATTGTTCTTTTGCAAATTTCAGGTTGTTTAAAATGGAGTTGGATTTGTCGGATTATACTTTAGATTCCAACGAGTTTTTGATATTTCCTGGGTTAGATCCATCATTTACTAGTTTCAACAGGTAACTAGATACAATAATAACTATTGACACAAAACGGCTGAACCGATTTGATTTGATTTATATGACTTGTGTTTTAAGGACGACCAGAATTTAGAGAAAGTTCCCAAAAAAATAATTCTTGAAATTTTAAAACAATTTTGTTTTTGCAAAAACGCTTGCATGTAGTAGAAGTTATTAGCTATTATTATTAATTGTTTCTAGAAATCATAAAGCATACTATTTTTGAATTTTTCAAGTGTTCAAGCATTCTATGTCGGGAATTAGCTCTTGAGATATCATGCATGCATGTTTCCAGTAAATAACGCCCGTTAACCTACTTATAATTACAGTAGTAAAATTGTGACTCTTACACTTAGTTTAGTAAGATCCTAACATAGAGATTGAAAGGAGTAAAATTACTTTGTCACATTGAATTCTTTGGTTTTCAGTATTTTCCTAAATTACATTGTTATGTTATATAATTACACATTCATGTTTGTTTTCTATTTGGTTCAGTCGTTGTTTTGTAAATGTTTGACAAATAAAAAAAGTGAGCATTTTATAAAAATTTCATTATTATATACTTCCCAATAAAAGTTTATAAATAGAAAAAGAGGGGAATGAAACTAATGAGACCTGAGATTTTATTTCAATTAAATCTTTTAATATTAGCTACCCCAGGGATATACTCATGGGTTCCCTAAAAAAAACTTCAGCCAAATTGGCCCAACCGTTTGGCCACTGGCCAGCTATAGCTAACATATAAGTAAATATAATATGAGCGAAGAGCTTTATTATGTAGATAAACATAATTAAAGATAATCATGTTCACATAAATCAAATTTTAAAACAACGTTAGCTCAATTGCACATTTTTTTTCAAATAATCATTCAAAGGTTATAGTAGACAAATAATTTGTTTTTATAAATATGATGGCTAACGTCTAATAGAAAGTTTTTAATTCATTTCTCCCTGAATATATTTAAAGGAGCTATTTGTGAAAAAAAAAGAATCAAGACAGAAATCATTCACTTGGTTAAAGTTTTCAAGTGTGGGTTGTTACTTAATTGAACTATAGCTGGTACAAATCAACAATAGTCCAAATGAACGTTATTCCAGTAGATCATGTAGTCCAATTAATACAGCACCTTTTAGAGTTATATGTCTAGAGAAGAAACGTAAGGTCGTTTTTAATGCCAACTAAGTAACCTAGTCCAAAGAATCTAGACACTGTGTTACCGTTTTTGTACATTTTTAAGTCCAAATGTTCTAGTTTCAAATTTTAAATCAGACAATTTAATTATTTTTCCATTTTCAGTTTTACCGATAGTTCTTCAAATATACTCAAGGAACAGGAACAGAATACTAGAAGATTAGAAACACAGGTATAGTTTATATATTCTCAAGGAACAGGAACAGAATACGACAAGGAACACAGGTATAATTTATATATGTTCAAGAAACAGGAACAATTTACTAGAAGATTAGAAACACAGGTATAGTTTATATATTCTCAAGGAACAGGAACAGAATACTAGAAGATTAGAAACACAGGTATAGTTTATATATGCTCAAGGAACAGGAACAGAATACTAGAAGATTAGAAACACAGGTATAGTTTATATATTCTCAAGGAACAGGAACAGAATACAAGAAGATTAGAAACACAGGTATAGTTTATATATACTCAAGGAACAGATACAATTTACTAGGAGACAAGAAACACAGGTATAGTTAATATTATTATTATAAAGATTTATTCACACACAAAGATATAAATACATAGAAACACAGCTATATTTTATATATACTCTATGAACCGAAACAGGGTGATAGGAGACAAGGAACACAGGTAGAGTTTATATATACTCAAGGAACAGGATACTAGTAGACAAGGAACACAGGTATAATTTATATATGTTCAAGAAACAGGAACAATTTACTAGGAGACAAGAAACATTGGTATAGTTTATATAAACTCATTACTGTCAGAACAACTAGTACACTCTTGGTAGGCTGTGGCAAGATACACCTCTGGACTCTGATCCTGCCACGCCTCCTGGTATTTTAATCACTTTATCTTTACCATTCTATTTTTTATTGTAAATAATAAAAAAACATTGCCGAATATAAAAAGAATGTGACCCTGTGAGATGGTATGCGGGCCGGACTGTCTGTACGTTCTCCCCAATCCCTTCTGTAAATACTATTCAGATAGTCTTCCGGGTTTAAACTCAATTCCTGCTTCATCAATGCATTTATTGAACTGCTATATACAGTACTCTATATGTTTAAGGAACAGAATGATAGAAAACATATTATATCATATCTGTTCGGTTTCATAGTAGTAAACCTATCGTGTAAGAATTCCCATTATTACACGGTTCAGAAGGAACAATTTTAATATTGTACAAACCCTCGGAGTCATGTCTATTGCATTTTTACTCGCTAATCAGGTAAACATTGTAAACAAACCTTGTAAACAAGCCTTCATGAAAATATCTTCAATAAAATCGGAAATCTTTCATTAATCAATAAATTATTGTAATTATTGCTTTTGTAATTTTTCTGTAAGTAAAACGATAGATTTAATTTTGGTCACGAGACTGTAGAGTGTAGAGTCTAGGGTGTCCCAAAAACAGCGAAAAATGGATTTTCAGGTTGTGTGTTGTAAATCCTGGTACTAGATGATAAAAAAATACGATCGGTAAAAAAAAAATTCTAATTTCAGTATTTCCACTCGGAGTTTGGATTTCAAAATACTCGAGGTTGCGTGATTATAAGATATTTAAAAATCGAGTTGAGATCATTTTTCTGATCCAAAGCAATAAATACACATTTTTTATTGAGTTAGATTTGATTTATCCTCACATTATGTTTAATTTCACAATATATTTACATACACTTAGTGTCTTAAAATAAGTTTTACACTGTTAAGAATCTAATTTTATAATTTTTAGAGTTTCCTTTGATATCATGTTATTCATTGTTATAAGATAACCTTTGTTAAAAAAAAAATAAAAAAAAAAATTTTAAAAGATAAGAACGTTACAGCGATTACCTTATATCAAAGTAAATATTTACATAGAAAAACTTTAGGGATCGTAAATTAGAGACCAATTTAAATTCCAATGAATAACACAATTCTTTGTTCATGTTTTTCTGTTGTCATAATATCCTGTCTTACTCTTAAACTCTCATCTTGAGACGAGTCTACAAACTCCTGGATAAGTTTCACTCCTCTTTCGGCACAGTCATTAACTACAGAAAGTTTANATCTAATAAATGTCTGTTATTTTAGACAACTTTATGAGGAACCAAGAGTCTGGTCCTACTAAATCAGATAACTCCTTGATTTCTGATATTGGAATATTAATCTCAGGGTATCCTACAGTACAGGAATCAGGAACTGGGTGACTCAGCAGTAGCACTGCTAATGCTGTTAACAAGAGCCTCTGAAGGCATACCTGGTTATTTTCGCAGCATCTGTGTTTAGCAGCTATTGTAAATGATGATCTTGATGATATTGTCAGAGCTAACATGGCAGCAAAGCTGCTAGGTTACCCAGTTCCTGATTCCTATACTGTAGGATACCCTAAGATTAATCTTCCAATATCAGAAATCAAGGAGTTATCTGATTTAGTAGGACCAGATTCTTGGTTCCTCATAAAGTTGTCTAAAATATCATTTTTTTTGTTATTAAGGACGATCCTGTTGTATGGAGGGGACCTAAGAAGACTGCTATGATAAAACAATTTCTTTCTGGTAAGCCTCATTTCAAAAAAATGTAATAATGGAATTCTTAAACTCGATGAAATAATCTTGATACATTCTTTAACTCAGGCCTGCGGCCTTCGTTAAAGAATGTATCAAGATTATTTCATCTCGTTTAAGAATTTCCATTATTACATTTTTTTCCTCATAAGATTATCATACTACCTACAGGTCTCGGTACTTTGTCTGTAGGTTGATTGTTAAAAATAATGTTAATAGATTTTGAATAATCATTACTCAAGAAACTAAATACCATAAATACATAAAAAAATATCTCGTGAAATTTTTGTTTCATTTCAAAGACTTATCTCTTAGGTTGTGAGAAGCCCTTCAGCTTTGAATTCTTGGTTAGATAAACCAGGTTATGAAGGGCTGGAAGGGCACCAAGGATTGGAAGTGAAGGGAGAGAAGAGAAAGTCTGAGACTAATTCACAAAATAGCAAACCTATTGCCTGTGTTGTTTGTAGGTAAGGTTTAGATATTGTTTTTTTTATAATCTTTTTTAATCAACAAAAACGTTAATTTACCATCTGTAGTTCCACCAACAATTCTAAATAAAATCCTGTAAACCATACTAATAGAAAATTTGTTTATTAAATTTGTAACTTTATTTATATGATATCAGATGAAAATATTTTGAGATTTCTATATTTTTCTGGTTCTTCATTTTCTTCTTGTTCGTAGATCTTTCATACATCTTTCAACCATATATCAGCTAATTTTGAAAAAAGGGGATGTCCTTGTAATCAGCCACTTTACAAGAAAGAACTATTTTTAAAAAGATCTTGCTTTCTTCCGAGCCCTGTATTCATTTGAACTAGTCAGCTAGTTCAAATTTATTTATTAAATGACTAAACTCCATCCAAAGAAATGGTCAAAAGTAAATATTCTCCTAGATTTACTTTAATGTACAATTTACCAGGAGAGAATTTTCGGACAAGACATTAATGAAACGTCATGTTCGGAGGGTTCATTTTAAGCCACAGGTAATAAGTTTGTCTGCTTGTCTGTTTGTTTGTAACCTATAAACGTCAAAATGGCCAAACAGATCGGGCCGAAATATGATTTATGATTGGTTAGAATTGAAAAAAAAAATTATAAAAGGGCATCAAATAATTGTAAAATTAATTTAAAATTACTAATAAAAGAAACTTAGAAAAGTCACTCTATCTTTTGGTACAACAGAAAAGAAATAAATAGGGCAGTTACAATTATTCGATTCAATGTTATAAAATGTAAATGTCTTAGTAGCCAAAAAATATCTTATGTTCTTATGTTTTCTAACCCATTAAGAATTTAAGTTTATTCAATGCTTTATATTTTTATGAGCAATAGTATCTAACTTTAAAATCAAAACTGGATCTAAGCTTGTCTTTACAAGAAACCCTGAATTTGAAGACTAATGTTTGTTTATTATCTGTCAATCATAGTGTAATCGTGATATAGATTCGCTACAACTCATGTCTAGGTATTATGCTCTGAGTGTGGAAGGAGAGTAGCTGTTGAAAATATGAAGAAACATAAACAAAACCATTAGAATTCTTATCTCTTTTTAAAAAATGTTTCTCTCTGAAAAGAACTGGTAACAAGAAAATAAATCTGAAAAAGAAAATAGAGAGAGAGAGAGAGATAGCATTTTTATAACCAAACTTCGAACAACCATTTTTGGCACATGAATAAAATAAAACGAAAATCATCTAGTCAGTCAAAAAGTTATCAAAAATTGAAATATTGTCCTCGGGGGGGAAATTATATATATGTGAGAAAAAATTGTCAGAAAATTGAAAGAAATTTTATTAAGAAAGAGTGTTGTTAAAAGATATAAGAACTCGTTTAACTCAAACTTATATGAACCAACTGCAACAAACATTCAACCTAGATTTCAAATAATAATAAATCTTGAATGGTAGAAAACTTAACATTTCAAATCTTTTCTGTGATGTAATTTTGCGTGCCTTAATATGTCAGAAACTTGTCCCTAAAAATACCTGATCTTCATAATATATATTGTTTACGTTACAACTTCAAGAAATGAAAATTATATTGAAACCAAAATCCAATATGTAAAGAACTAAATATTGATCCAATTTAACAATTATATTTCAGAAAATACCAAAATTTAAGTTTGGGATAAATTTTTAATATGGGTGAGAAGAGAAGCAATGGTGTTCATCATATCCCTGTGGATATTCTCGACGAAATTGCTGCAAGGTCAGATACCGAAACTTTAACTTTTGTAATAGTTTCATAAATTGTCAACCACAGAACCCCCCCCCCACAGAAAAAAAAAAATTTTTTTTTTTTTTTTAAATTACATAAATTACGTTGATTGACATGGTCACCCCTTTATTTCATTTACCTATTGTTTTCTTTCGTTCTTGACCTACGTTACTAACCATTGAATGATTTTGAAAATTTAAAAAATCAATATTTCTAGATTTATCGTAAACCTGAACCAGGAGGAGAGACAAGATATAGTCAGAATTTGTTTCCAGGTATACAATTTAGGGTCAACCTAAGGTTTATCAGGGTCACTTGGGGGTCCTCAAAGGCAAAAAAGGTCAATAAGGGTTCATCAGTGTCGGCCTTGGTCAAGCAGGGTCAACACACGAAAACAATGGTCAATAAGGGTCCACCAGGGTCGACCTTGGTTATCTAGGGTCAACACAAGTCAAAAAAAGGCCAACAAGGGTCAAAGATGGTCAACCTGTGTCAATTATGGTTAACAACTTGGGTTAAATGTTGTCAACCAGTGCCAAATAGGGTTAACATGGGTCAAACGTGGTCAACCTGGATCAATTGTGGTCAAACGTGGTCAACCTTGGTCTACCAAGTTAAGAAAAAGGTCAATCAGGGTCAACCATGATCACCAGGGTCAATCAATGTCAAACGTGGCCAAACTGGAAACTGGTCAACCAGAATCAATCAGCATTTAGAAATAAAATCCAAAAATACTTAAAACATAACGTAGAAACAAAAAAGTTAATTGTGAAGGGGATCTTTTAAAAGATAATACTACCTATAATATATCCCTTAAATATAAATTTCCAGGTTGAAGAGGCGCATTGGTTCTATACAGACTTCTATGTAAACCAAAAACCAGAAATGAATCTTCAGGTAATTGTGCAGTGTTTTTATCTAACTCAGTAAAGATTAAAGCATCATGATATGATGAGCATTACTTTAAAAAAGTTATTGTTATTTTTTTAAGTCTGGTACAATGCGGAGTTTCACTGAACATATTTTTCGTCATGTTCCATTTCTGCAGGTTAGAAACGAATAAACAATAATTATAATAAACAATGATAGCCCCCCCCCACACATTTTAGTTTCTCCTAGTTTCTCCTATCGTTCCCATAAACAAAAATTTGAAATTTACCTATTTTTGAAAGGGCTTTAGAGCTTTGTAATAATTGAGAGCAAAGCTGAGATTTTAAAAGTAAAGCTCGACTTAACCTTAACTCAAGGACCGCGTCGTAGATTGACTTTTGATTAGTTCTGATTTGACCTATGAGAGACTGCTTTCAAATTCTCTAATCTCTGCTGCATATGCAGACGAATCAGCTGACAGGATCCCATATCTACAGATGTAAATTTCGTAAACTCAAACTTTATGTAATTATATTATTATTAGTCTTGCTATGTTTGACACTTCAGATAATTAAGAGATTTAAAATTAAAATTAAAAAATATGGCAATTATCATGAGATTTACCAATCCAGCTTCAATTAGGACCAAGTCAAAGAAGAGACAACCGAAAACCTCAAGTCTTCACTAGATCTTTACTTGGGCATAAATAGACGTAAGAGATGGTTTTGACTCGGGTTTTGGCTTCTAAAATCTCAGCACAGAATTGGTCAATTTTCAGATTGTAAATCAAAACTTGATCTCAAAAGCATTTTTTGTATAAATAACAAAGAGCCTTATTCACGTTTTAAATAATCCTAGAGGAAACATGAGCGTTCCTACCAGTCAGCACCCCCTTAAAGTGTTATTGTAATTAATTTGAACAGTTTCTTAAATATTCTTTTATGTTTAGAGTCATGTGAATAATGTGGACGATATTCTTACGCTATGGAGAACATATAAGCTGAAAGTGCCAACCTATGGTGCAATTATTCTAAATACTAAAATGGACAAGGTTCTACTAGTCCAGGTAGTAAAATAGTTTTATGTTAAAGGGACTGTTAAGGTAAAACGGAAGGGGGTATATTTGGATTGCGGAAGCCTAAACATTTAGGAGTTGATCGCGAGTCGCGACCAATATTAGTTTTATTTGAGCCACGTAGCCAGATACTGCACTGCCTTTGGTGGAAATTCTAGTCATATGATACACATTATATCTTTACAAATGGATAGGTATAGCATTCAAATTATAATTGGAACTTACCTAAAATCTTTAGGCAACTCTGGGTTATCCTAATTTTTAGATTTGTTCCGTATTTGCTGAATATGATCTGTTTAAAACTTTAATTCATATACCATACTATATATACATGTATGAGTTTTGGTATAACTTTGACACAGTTATGCATCAATTTCTACTGACGGGACATCAGATAGAACTAATATTGGTCGTGATCAACTTCTAAAATGTTTATGATTCAGTCTCTTTAATGTTTATTTATGATTAAAAATTTCCCCTTTGAAGTAATTTTTAGTTCACATATTTGATTAAAATATAATGAGGTCAAAATATTGATCTGTTTAGTGTAGCACGTTTTTGTCTATTTCCAAATATTAACCCTTCAATTGAAAATCATTTATTTATTTTTCGAATGTATCCTGTCAATTTATTCAATTGTCTCTGCTGCATAAATTAACAAGTAACTTTTATGTAAAAACGAGAATTAAAATTTTTGAGAAAAAATTCATCCTTGATCAGGATGAAAAGGTATTGTTGTGAACCAGACAAGCCGCTCCCTAAATGGAGGGTAACCTGCATTCCTGTTGAAAATGTCGTCTTATTAAAAAAATACTCTAATTTGTTTAAATATTAACATGTTAGCTAATATGTTAAATCAAAGATATATTGAATAGAAGGAGGGGGCGATAGGGTTTCAGTTCACTTTTCTGTGACGTTTTTGGACTGCTGAAGAACTAGTTTTTGCGTAACAACAATAATAAAGATTGTAAACAATAACACAAATGATGTAATAAGGTCCTTTTCGTATAAAACTAAAATCCTTAACTTTTTCAATCTTTTTTAACAAAATGATACTACTTTCATAGTTTACTAACTCATGTTTGTTTACATTAGATAGGCTGCCTTTGTTATTGTTGTTACGCAAAAACTAGTTCTTCAGCAGTCCAAAAACGTCACATCAAAGTGTACGGAAACCCTATCGCCCCCTCCTTCTATTCAATATCTCCTTGTGTTAAACGGCTGGATCAAATTTTTGCTAACATTTTTTCCGGGGGTGACATAGATCAAATTTTGTGTTAAAAGTTTTGGAGCTCAACCCTGGGCACTTCAGCTAAAATGATAATTTAATACAATGCGCGGGTAAAAAGCGGGAGTTACTGTGGCTATGAATAGTAATATAAACCTGGGCATCGCCGGGCACTCCAGCTAGTAGAATGAAAAATAAAGCATATTTGTTCAGCTTTTAAATAATTTTACACAATTGATAATTTAGGGTTTCTATGCTCGATCTAGCTGGGGGTTCCCTAAAGGAAAAATAAATCAGGATGAAGAACCACATATTTGCGCTGCAAGGTAGGAATATTAATCTATATATATGTAAAGTAGGAATCTATGTTTGTTTGTTTGTATGTCTGATCATAACTCAAGAAACCTTTGGTTGCCTTAAATTTTGATGGGGGAACTCGAAAGAACCACGGGATTGTTTGAGCTTGGTTTAAAAACTCCAAGTTTAGCAGGTCAACTTTGTATAGGAAATAATTATTTTCCGGTCAAAGCTGGGTTCCCAAGCTAGTTTATAAACATTATATAAAAAAATGTTGGTCAAATTCTTAAACTTTAATGCTGTTGGCAAATTCCCACATTTGTATTTGATTAGATTTGATATGAAAGGTATTAAGCTGAATATTTTGAACATATTTTAAAAATAGTAAGAAATGAAAAATTTATATATACAAAAAATGTCTTCCCGGCTTCTTGGTTTTAAATAAAAAATGTAAAAAATAATATCATAATAAACTATTAGGGAAGTATATGAGGAGACCGGATATGACATTACCTCAAAGGTGGATCCTGAAGTTTATGTTGGTAAGCTATTATTATTCATTGAATAGAAACGGTTTTAAGGGACATAGTCGTAGTTTCAGGTGACCAAACGGCCTTCGGTTATGTTTTATATTTATCTTAAGCATCAATGGGGAAGATATCGTCTATTTTTCTATCAGAAAAAATGTGGAATTCTGAAAAATACGTTCTTTGTTCCTGCCGCAACAAATCCGCTTTTTTAGAGAAAACAAAATTAATATAATGAAATTTTAAACAGCAAAAACAAGGATATTTTTATTACTTTTGGACAAAAGTTTTAAGGCTACTTTTGTGAATGTAACTGGAAATTACGTCGACCATCCCTCTAAGAAAACAAACGGCTTGATGCTCGCCTCAAACCCTTAATTTTCTTATTCCTATATCTACAAGCTGTTAGAAACCTTTGAAACTTTAAACTATGCATTCCCTAAAATCTAATCATCAAAGTTTAAAATATCATAGATGAGATTTAATTCTCCTAAATCTGCTGAACGTTATCGGAAATTTAGTTCAAACTCTGATTTGATCAAAGGCTTATTACTGAAGACCTCGCTGCGTTCGGGATTTAAAGGCTTGAAATACCCTGAAACCAATAAGACTGTAAAGACGACCTGAAACTATTTAGATATGATGAATGATGATTCCAAGGTTGACTCAAACCGAATACTTTGAAAATAGTCTTTTAATGTCTTATTCATGGTTTGAAGAATAAAGAAAGACAAGTTTACAGTTGCAGAGGACCTTGTGGCATTTATGATTAAATTCTTTTCATAATAAAATTAACTTTAAAAAATAAATTAATATAGAAATATGGGAAAATGCACATTGTTTCCAAGTTTACAAAACATTGGATATTTTATAATATCTGTTCTTCAGAACACATGTTGAATGATCAGCCCGTAAGACTCTACCTAATCCCTGGGGTTCCAGAGAATACAAAGTTTGAACCCAGATCCAGGTACAGTTAGGCCCGTTTTTAAATCTTCAAAGTTTTAGATTTATAATAGGCTCCACAAACATTTGAGATGTGAATTCTATTTCTAAACTAATCATATGATTACCACAATTCGAGGCTGCGTGCAAAATTTCAGCCTTATATTAAAATTTTTAGGACCAAACGTAGTCTGTACAAAATTTGGTGCCACAATGTGTTAAATTGAACCCCCATTAGAGTTAAAAAAAAATTACAAACTGTAATAGGAAAAATATTTTGATAGAATAAAATTTTTAGTTGAAGTTTTATATTTACTCTTCGTCTTTTTCTGTCCTTATGAATTTTCTCCTAGATGTGAGATACGAGATATCAGATGGTTTGATATTAATCTTCTTCCTTTAAACAAATCTGATCAGGTAGATAATTATTCTTCATGCCTAACAAATGTCTTTTTTTATAAGTTTATTTTCATATTTATGTTATTCATGTTCAATGCTCATGTTACTGTTCATATTTATTTTATTCATGTTCAATGCTCATGTTACTGTTTATATTTATTTTAATAGTATTCACTTTGTAGAGTTGATTTCAAATAAACCTTTTTTTTTAAAAAAAGAGTGGCATGTCCGCTTTCAACAATATCCTTTAAAGGGACACACCGGCTATGTAAGGTAGTTGAACTGAGTATGCAGTGTTGTGGACAAATTCTTTAGGATTCATTTGAGACATAGGATTCATTTGAGACATATAAAACTTTTCCACGATGCATAATTACTGATTTTGAGTGCATAGTCGACGTTCAAGAATCAAGATCATGAATTTGGGTGGGTACGTCTTCAGAATAGGTTTTTTTTTTAAATTATAAAATAACTACGACGAAAAATAAAGTATAAATTATACAGTAAACTAAATAGATGGTTAGGAACATATTTCTCAAAAGAAATTGTCAATAAATCAATGCTTGAATCAATAATTTCGTTTTCATCATTATATTGAAATTCTTATTTTATACTAACTTATTCGCAGATTTATGCAAATTCTTCAAATGTCTTTTCAATAAAAATTCCTGAAAATCTGCAGAAAATCTTTGTGAATACTGAGAGATTATAGAAACTAAAATTTGAATAAGATTACTTATTTTCGACGATAAGATTAATTTTTTATTTTCTCAACCTGTTCTTAAACAACTAATTAGAATTTTGTTTACACTTTTGTCGTCGTTATTGATTAATTTAAAAAAAAAACATTCTGAAAATGTATCCACCCAAAAATACGATTTTGAATGTCGACTTTGCACTCAAACTCAGTCTATTGGTACAGTAATACATGAGCTAAAAATATTGTTTAAAATCAATGAGTTGAAACATTGAAACATGAATACTTGAACTAATAATACTATGTTTAGAATTGTAAAATCAAGAATGGGTTTAACCCAAGCTATTGCTACATGAATACTTGAGCTAATAATATTTTGTTTAGAATTGTAAAATCAAGAATGGGTATAACCCAAGCTATTGCTACATGAATACTTGAGCTAATAATATTATGTTTAGAATTGTAAAATCAAGAATGGGTATAACCCAAGCTATTGCTACATGAATACTTGAGCTAATAATATTATGTTTAGAATTGTAAAATCAAGAATGGGTATAACCCAAGCTATTGCTACATGAATACTTGAGCTAATAATATTATGTTTAGAATTGTAAAATCAAGAATGGGTATAACCCAAGCTATTGCTACATGAATACTTGAGCTAATAATATTATGTTTAGAATTGTAAAATCAAGAATGGGTATAACCCAAGCTATTGCTACATGAATACTTGAGCTAATAATACTATGTTTAGAATTGTAAAATCAAGAATGGGTTTAACCCAAACAGTTTCTACATGGTCATTCCTTTTATTCGTGAAGCTAAGGCTTGGGCCCAAACTAAACTTTGGCAGAGATTACAATTTCAGGTTATATTATTTTTAATTGTTTAAATCATTTAAGCGGGGGAGAAAAAATTGGTATTTGGAATAAGTGCATCTTCGTTTAAAATATTTGTCGGCGAATTTCTCTAAAAATAAGCAAAAGTTAAGATTAAGGATAAATAGTAAACAAGATCAACCCGCGTAAGACAAGTGTTCACTATGCAGGTTTATAGAGTACACCCAGGTTTTAATGATAAGACAACGGTGCAATACAAAATGTTGGGGTAATCATCTTTTAATCATTCTTGAGTAAAACAAAAATAAAAAGACTTCGAAAACGAACTGGAAACTGTTTTACTGATCTACCGTTTTTTTGTATGCATTTGCATGCACTCTTAATTAAAATAAAATATTTTTTTAAAGTAAAAAACACATCGGCAAATTTGTGGCTTAAACTTCTCTGGGCGAGCTTTTTTTTAATGTGATGGTTAATGAATATAACACCAAGCCATAGTAGCAAATAATGGGAAAATCATAGGCCAGTAATATTTTTAATTAGAATGTAGAATGTCCCACATCATGTTGGTTTATGCATACTTTTAAATTTGGATTTTTGGCAATAACCTGAATTAAATTTTATAAAAATTGAATCTGCTTTAAAAATTGGTTAGGGCATTCCATGTCAAGACACCCAAACTGTATCTCACAGATGTTGCTTAAAAAGATTTTGCTAAGAATTAGGATTTACCAATGTTTTCGTTTTCCTGTCTTGAATTTGCAAATATTTGAAATTTGACATAGAATGACCTTCATAAAATGCTTAAGCAAAATGTACCAAAGATCTGTTTTTGTTTCTGTTGGACGCTCAAAGGGTTGTTGTAACAATTTAGACATCTTGGGATACTAAAATGACCCCACTCGAATATTTTGTATAATGCGTTCAAAACATTTAAATTATAGTTATTTTTTTATGCCCGGGGAATTTTCCGTCATCTAATTTTTGGTCTGTCAACTTGTGGTTTTAAATAGTCCTATGAACTTGAAACACACCCATCTGACTTGATAGGCTGATTTTCAAGCTAACGTAGTAAGTATGTCCTTTATAACAACATCAGATACACATAAGAACGCTGAAATGTCGTCGTTGTATTCCAAAGGTTATGGGTCCAACTGTAAAGTTTAATATCTTGATAAAATGAAATTTTATTTACCAAAGCATTGTGTTTCTAGGATGAACCTCAAGAAAAAGGCCGAAGTGGCCGGAAGTCGGTCCCCCGGACCAAACAGGAAGACGGCCGTACACCGGCTTCTGGTGTGAAGGAGAGAAAGATCTCTGTCCCAGGCAAGGGTTACTTATGCATGGAAGAAATGATTTTTCTAAGATTTTTTTCTGGGGGGGTGTGGGGGAAATAAATAATAGTTTTATCCATTTCGACACTTCTTATTCAAAAAAATAGAAATCCTTCCTAACACGTTTTTTTTGTGGGGGAGGGTGATAATTTTTCAAGTAAGTATATACCCCTGGATCCAGGATTAAAACAGCAGACAGATCGAAGAACCCCAGGCTCTAGCTTTAAACCTTCTCAATCCTCAGTATCTAGGAACATGGAGGTAGAAATTTTAATAAATTTAAATACAAATTCTTCTTTGCAGTTTTATTAACAAAATTTAATTACCAAGGTTGCCTAAAGATTTTATGAAATTTGGGGAGGAAATACTTATTGCAGTTTTATTAACAAAATTTAATTACCAATGTGCTCGTCTTTTGAGTCTTAAATTTGCAATAATTTGACATTTTAGCAACGTCTAAACTTCGGGAAATATTTGTTGAGAACAAAATTTTTCATTTTTTCTTTGATTACAAATGACTGTGATTATTAGATAATTTTAGGAATGTTGTTTTCCATCGTTGTTCAGCTAAGCTATCAAAAAAATTAATTATATACATATTCATAATGGTTATGGTTCAAGAAAGAAATTGCCTGTCTATAAATGTAACGTTTTGGTACTGTCCTAGAATAATATATGAAGGTATTTAGTATTTTCATTAATTAGCTGAAGTGCCTTGCATTGCCCATGGAATTTTAAAACCACTTTGGAAAAGAAATCGAATTTTTGCCTATGTTATCCCCAAGGGTACCCATGGGTTTCCTCAAAAAATGTCAGACCATTGGTTCCAGCCGTTTGGCCAGATATGGCTAACATATTTATAATGATATATTCATGAGCAAAGAGCTTTATTATAAAGATAATATAATAAAGGTAGAGAGTAGTGAATCTAGAAGAAATCAGGAGAATATGAGGAATTCCAAGTCTAAGGTAATTCTACAACTTGGTCATAAATGGCACATTATACTGTCAGCTGTTTCTTAATTGTCACTAATTAAAGGGACTTTATTACTGGTTTTTCTTACTTGGAAATACTTGTAGATTTCTCATCAGGGTTCCAGATAGGATTATAAAGATCACTTCTTTTTGTATCCAGCATTTTACTCATAGGTTTCTCATTCCTGCTGTTCTGATATTTTATCATATAAAGACTTTAAAGTTTTTATATTTCCTGCTACTTTGATATTTTCTGGTAATTTGTTCCATTTCTCAGCTACTCTGTTGGCAAAGAAATTTCTTCTAACCTCAGTCCTGCATCTAGTTGTTAATATATTTAATGCATCAGCCAGGAGCTTTCTGCTTGTGCCAGGGAGAGGATCTCTCTTAGCAGCTCCCGGCCCCACAGTTTGGAAGAGCGCTGTGTAGAGTTGCTCATGACTTATCCGACAGGGGAGTAGCAAAACATAGGATTTAAATAGTAAACACTAACTCCATCTTCGGCTTATCTTGGTCCAACATCTCAGCTGAAGAAGGTTCACAGAAGTATAACCCCTGATAGGTATAAAAAGCCATGCACAATGAAACCGGTTATTTACTCGGCTGGCTGTGAAGACTTGACTGCTGAGGAAGATTCCACCTGATCGGGCTTCAAGGCTTACAACTCCCCATTTTGTATAAGCGGTGCAGTTATGGGTTTCCTTAAAATTATGCTTAGTTGGACGACTTCAACATGAAGGAAAGCAGGGAGCTTCTACTGAATCCCTCATACCCTCCCTCTTCCAAACCTTCTTATATCTCTCCTACCTGCTTCACAACTCCATGCCACAAGAACTATTTGGAGAGGCCTCAAAACATAGAAACAAGAAGAAAAAAGACAATTGAATAGGAAAAATTGGAAAGAAAATCTCTGATGATAAGCTTCACACTATCAATTTACCTGTTAGCAAAAAAACAACAAAAAAAAAACTTTTATTTCACCCTTATTAGAAGATAGATATTATCAGGAAAATGTGTTGCTGAGTCAGATATAACACATGTGTAAACAATACAGAGTTCAGAAAAAAAGGAAAGCAAGATCCTCTAAACATAGTAATAAAGCTTGCAGTATCGGCAAAACTTCTAGGATATCCCAACAATTTTTTTTTCTTCAAAATTTAGCCAAAATATGATTGAAAGATGGTTAAACAAGAAGAAATTGAAGGACAAGAAATATAGAAATGTCAAAATATTTGCATCTGATATCATCCAGCTATTAAAGAATATTGTTAAAAATTTAAAATTTAAAAATAAATATGTAAAAAAATGTAATGAATCAGAAGATAGCCTGGTAACCCTGACTGATTCTTCTCCTGCAGTCTGGAAGAACTGCCGCCTGTCTACATCATCATAATTGTGCATGAGCTTGATCACTTGATCATGTCATATCTGATCCTTCTCTCTTCTAAAGATTGTATATTTAGCTCTTGTAACTTTTCCTCATACTCCTTGCTTTGCAGACCTGAAATTTGTAATTTTTCCAGAACTAATTTGTCCCCCTCTTGCCAGGGACACCAGAAAGGTACAGAAAATTCTAGGTGTGGGCGCACAAATTGTTTATATAGATTCAAAAACACACTTTTATCTCTGTAGTGAAATGCTCTTGAGACTTGACTAGGAAAAATTTAGGTTTCCCAGCAGCTGCTGCTCATTAAAGTCCAGGTTTGAGGTTGTTAACTAGCTTTATACCTATATCTGTTTCTTCTTCTATTGATTTAATTTCAACTCCATTTATGTTATATCTGTACTTCTTTGTATGTTTGCCCAGGTGAATGACTTAGTATTTATTTATTTTAAACTGCTTGTCCCATGGTCCCACTCATCAGCCCACTTCATCTAGACGTTGCTGTAGCTTCATTCTATCTTGTTCATTTCTAATTGTGTAAGCTGTCTTAGTGTCTTCGGTGAATTTTTCAATGGTTGTTATTTTAATTGGGCATTCATCCAACATCATTTATATAAACAATAAAACCATCCATTTATTGCCACTCTCTGTCGTCTTCCATTGAGCCAGGCCTCAAACCACTTCAAAAAACATCCACTTATTCCATGAGATTTCAATTTCAAACTAATTTATTTTTAGTTTTCTTCATTTTCAGCATTTCAAAACATCTTTGTCCTGTAAAGACCTTTTTTTCTGGAAAGATACTTTTTTACCTCTCTTGTCTGTATTCATTAATGTACTTTGATAATAATAACTTTCATGTGTTTTTTTCTGCTTTAGGTAAAGGGAAGCAGAAGACAGCTCTTTGAAACTGGTCAAGATACCTCCAGGTGATAATTAGAGACATTAAGAATGATTATAGTATTATTTAGAGGTTGAAAGTTTAAAAATCCCAATTATTGAGAGAAAAGCCGTGGAATAATTTTGATTATTACACTTTCTTTCTATGCATAATATTATATTATTACACTCGAAATTGATTAACAGATAGATGAGCTCTACAATATTTCACTACTGCCCAGTTTGAACATGCACCATTCAGAACATCCCTCTGTTTTTGGTCAGTTAACCAGCTTCTTATCCATCTAAGTAGGTTATCAGTGAACCCATGGGCTTCTAATTGTGTCAACAGTCTTTCTCTGGGTCTTTATCAACAGCTTTCTGGAAATATAAGTACAACATATCAACAGAGACCCCCTCATCCACAACAGCCGTAACAGTTTCCAAAAACTCAAGTGAATTAGACTTATTTTTCATAATGCCATGTTGATAGGATTGGACCAAGTTAAATTTTTCCAGGTGTAGAACCATTTCATCTTTGATAAGGGACTCCATGAGCTTACAGGGTATACTTGTTAATGAGACTGGCCTATAGTTTTCAGTGCTACCTATCTGATGGTATAAAACCGTCACACATTGATAAGTTAAAAATAAAGCTCAAGGGTACACATATTTTATCCCAGAATGCTTGTAGAAATTTTACAGAAATACTATCTGGACCAGGAGCAGAACCAAATTTCAATTTCATATTTTTTTCTTGCACTGGCTTCCTCAAAGGTGATGTTTGGGAGAAGTGAGTTTGTTAGTTTTCTTGTCACTGGAATTCATGTTTAATCTTTATCTGAGAATATTCTAGAAAAATAGTCATTAAGCATTACTGTTATTTCTCCTGTATCACTAGTTGGGACTCCATCAGTCTTTTTTAGATGTTTTTGATTTAAGTAGGAGTTGAAAGATCGATGATTTTTTTGCGTAACTTATTCACAAACTCAGGTTTATTTCAACAAAAATCCTTTTATCCAACAAATGATTAAATAACTTTTGAAATACAATTTAATATGATTATTTTGTGTTCACATTTAGCACAAAACATTCACTGTTGTGTTAAATAACTGTGGTTTTGATGTTGATTGTTGAACGCTCAAGCAAACAAAATAACCTATGACGTCAAGTACAGCTGAACAGAGCGTACACAATAGTCAGATAAATTTCTATTGCTTCATCTATATATAGAGTCTTTTGTAAATCCGATGAGACTGTGGTAAAAAGATTTTAAGGATTGAGCCTTTTGAATACTTGTTTAATAATTTAGAGAGAGTACAGTTACCCCACAGGATAAACTTGGATCCTTTCGTCCGGCCCTACTCCCTACTCCAGGATCAAATCCAGCCCAACTCCCTACTCCAGGATCCAATCCAATCAATAACTTGAATAAATCTAAAGAGAATCGATCCAACCAACAACCCTCTCTTCTTCCACCAAACTTCTGTCCTAAAGCTTGGTCAAACTTCAGGTCAATATTTGTTTTGATTCAGAACCGGGACACCCCCCCCCCCCCTCCTTCTATCAGGGTATAATCTAACCCGTTTCTTTAACCGTTCTTATCTAGTTTTTTGTCTTCAGTAAATAATTTTGACCTTTTTTGAGTTTTTCAGTTAAAACAAAATTTCGCCTGCGGCACCCCACATAATTTCCTATATCTGAGTTTCTTAAATTTGTGCCCCCCCCCCTTACAAATTCCTAGCTACAAGCCTGTACAAGAAGCTGTACATTTCGAGTTAATCAATCAATCAAGGTGTAGGTTTTGGGGTTCTTATTTGCACAGTGGGTCCAGTGGTTCCGGGGGGGGGGAGGGGGAGCGTAGCTAGAACTTAGTCTCAGTAATTATGGAAATACTAATATTTTCATTCTTTAAGCCCATTGTGATATTACATAAAAATGCCTAAAATTATGAAATGTCGTCTTCCTTTTTCAAGAGCTTTCTGGTTCTCATTTTAATTAAAACTTTTTTTTGATATTTCATATTGTACAGGTTGGATGAAAATACTCTGATAAGTGCGTTTTTTAATACAGGTATTATTTTATTATAAATTTTACCGACTTTATTAAAGTAATGAAAAGAAATTCCTGTCAAATAAAATTGATGAAAGAGAAGAAAATTTCAGAGGCGTATTAAGGTGGATTTTTGGTGGCTCAACACCCCCCCACCCCCACCCCCTGGATCAGTAAAATGAGTTTTTGGGCTTAAATGTGCGATGCGACAAAGTTCATGTTTATTTATTCATATTCTGAGGATTTTATTTTTATGAAGGTTTCAAATTACCAAATAAATTAATATTTAATGTATTCCAGCAGGCAAACCAAGAATAAAATAGTTGAACAAGAATGTGAATCAATTCGTCCAAACCACTCGGAGGAAATCAAGACCTTTCTGTTATTTTCTTGAATAGAAACTTGTACATTGTACATTACATGCATAAAATACTAAATTTTTATTTTATGTCAATGTAAATAGTGTATGTATTCCATGATTATGAGAAATGCAGATCTTTTCTTTAATTTTGGCACATTTAACCCAAATGGAAGAAAACGTTTATTAGTTTATTGAAGACGACTTTCAACTGGAGCTTTACAAATTTTTGACTGGTTAAAATATTTATTAATATACAGAAAGTTATCATCAAACAATCCATGCTGTTGAACGTTCAGTTAATTATTTTGTAAGATGATATTATTTATTGTTACGTTTTTTGATGTAATTGTTACGTCATAACTATTAATATTTGACTTGGTGACCCTTTTCCTTATAAAAAAACTTTGTAAATGCAGACTACCTGAGCAATGTTGTATAGTGTTGTACAGTACCATTATGCACCGTGCACATCTTGTACAGTACAACTGACTGGTTGTCCCAATAATGGTAATTAAGAGACGAATATGTAATCGTCTTTGTTAAGAATTATCGTTTTAATACCCAAATTCATTGGTCAAAATAAAGTTACGTCTGCTAGAGTAAATCTTATGTATACGGTATTAGACTGTAAGTACAACAATATGCAGTGAAAGCATAAACAAATTTAAAAAAAAACAAATTCTGTACTCTTGCAGACGAACATCTACGGACTACATCACCATACTAAATCACAACAAAGCCGATATCAAAAGCGTCTGTTAATTCACATGGTTATTGGGACACCATGTATAGGTTATCCAAATTCTTCAATTCATATTTATCAGTATTAAATCTAAATATAATAGTTTTAGATCTCTTGTGTGAAAAGTTTGGATGGACTAAAATTCTTTAACTTTTCATTTTATCCTTGAGAGTTAAAACTTGTAGGTGCATTTGCATTTTTATATATTTGTATATTGTAATATATTTTGGTGTAAAAAGTGTAAATAAACCTGAAATGTGAATAATATATAATTAATGGATTTTCAGATGAAAGATGTTGATACGTGCAGTAATTAAAGTAAGAGTATAAGTAAATATCTTTATAACACCGACCTATGATTCCCCCATAGCGGGATGTTAAGTCACTTAATCACACCTTGGGACAATTAAATGGAATAATTTCTCGCTTTGTGAGATAAAAATCACACAATTTATCTCAAAAGATGATAAAACTTTTTTTCAGTTTCCTCGACCAATTTTGCCAACGAAAAATCTCTCGGAACTCTCTGGAGACAAAATCGGTCTCAAGAACCCTTGGCAATATTAAAATTCCCTGACCTTCCTGTAAAACTTGTTCACTTGACAAATTGGATATTTTTTCGCCGAGAGAATTATTTAAAAAAATCTTTCTTAATTTATTTCCATTATTATTTTAAGCCGTAACCTTTTACCTTCTGTTTGAGTGAAGATTAAATGTCATTGTTTTTCTATCTAAAATTAAAGTTTTCTACTGTTAGTTCAAATATATAGAGACACCGGAAGAATTTATAAAATGTCGTATTTTTTACTTTCTGATAATGGAATGCTGCAGATATTTAGTTTTTCAATGAAATACTGTTCCTACATATTGATGGCTATTTATTCATTTTTGCAAATACTGATATTTACGTAGAAATAGTATGAAACACATAAATTGTCAAGGCGACAGTTAATAAATTATTTCGACGTCTCAAAATCTGCAGTATGAAAATGGAATGTGGATTGTATTTCTATAAATATGACTGAATCATCGAGCTGAGGCAAGTAAAGAAATTGATAGATATTATCACTTTTTAAAATAGAAAAATGGCGATATCTTCCTCATTGTTACTTAAATAAAGGATACCCTTGTGAATCGGATATATGTCAGCTAAATCCTTTGATTAGTATCACATTATTCCATTATGAAACCCAGTTTCCTTTACTGGGTTTCATATCGATACTAAGTTTAAAGTTTCCGGTTCTCGGGGGCTTATCTTTTAATATAGTTGTGGAGTAGATTCTAGTTTATAATAATTCATTTTAGTTTAATTTGTTACTAGTTTGGTATAATACAGTCGTCGTATATATCAATACAATGAAGACTCTGAAGAGGACTTTTCTACCAAGCTTTAACAGCAGAAACACTTGATACATTTCACCAAAGAGAAGTTATCAGTTAACAGCTTCTCTTTGTTTACTTGTAAACTTGTAAATAATTTGAAAATTTATAAATTTTATATTTTATTCAACTACAAAGCACGAGATAATACAAATAAAAAAATCACAATTTACTATGTAGTTTGGACCCGCCTAACCAGAGTAGGCTTCACTGTTTTAATATTATCGCCGACCACTGTCAGATAAAGATGAAACACAAGTTTGTGCGAAGATACTGATCACTTCCTTAAACCTGAAATGGTCAAATCCCTATCTCTTTCACCTATATATAAATTTGGCTTGTCTGTTTGTTTGTTTGTATCCAATAAACGGCTAAACCGATCGGGCCCAAATTTTTTGTGAGACATCACGTAACCACAGGGAAGGTTTATTTATGATAAAAAAATTTTAAAAATGTGTTTTAAAAGTTTTTAATTTTGTAAAAAAAATTCAAATTCTTGAAAATCCGCGAATTTTTTTTTAAATCCGTAAAAATTTCTTCTTTGTTTTCAAATGTAAACAAAAAGAACATGTTCACAATTTAAATAGAAAATGAGCCTAGTATTTTAAACTTTGGTTATTTGATTAAGCGTGAATCTTTATTTGAAATATCAAGCAATCAAACAACCTCAGGTTGCAAAGATGTAAGTATATATAAGTTGAGTTCGTCTAATCCTTAATATTTAAGGAAGTTCAAAAGAACGTTTATAACATCCTGATGTGAGCAAATTTAGGAGAGTGGTTTCCCAAAAATGGTTTGAATTTATTTAAAGTATTCGATGTATAATGGGAGGGGAAGAGAGGCAGAGAGAGAGAGAGCGAAGATAGCATTCTGCATTACCCATAATCTTGCCATTTTTGTAAATAGAAAATAAAATAAAATGGCAACTAACATTCTTCTTATCATCTTAATCTAAAAATTTCCTAAAACAATTGCATATTTAAGTTTAAAGAAACTCATTTAGCAAAGGTTTTTAGATAAACTAACTTAGATTTTTCTTAAATTGTTCATAAATAATTGAACTTAAATTTAATTTAAATTAATTTTTAATTCTATTTCGGACTTTCTATTTTTTATTTTTTGAAATTCCCAGTTTCTAAAAATTATTTAATAAATTAACTTTAATTTTCATTTTTAAATTTCAGGAATATTCAACATTAACATCATCAACAGGCTTAAAATAACTTTCCAGAAGAAATTCTGCGCCATACATTTTTCGAAGTGTATTATTTTTACAATAAATATTGTTGAGTAAATGTTTTTTTTAACAAAAATCATATTTTTTCAGATACAATGATTGAAAGAAAACTATTATTACAAATAATAATCAAATCGAAAAGTGTTCTCAGGCGAAGTTCTCACACAGGTTATAAGAAACCTTCAAATCCTAATTCTAAATCTTTATGAAATATTTATTTTAGCTGTAACTAGGCTTTTTTAGCTTATCTGGTGATTCTTAACCACCATTTTTTCTTCGTAACTTTTAAAACTGATAACTCTGCGGAGTTTCTTTTTTATTTTGGTGCATTTTCAAATATTATAATTTTACAATTTTAAGCGTCATTCAAGAAAATCTAGAAAATATTATGTTTGTTTTTGTGTTTACTAAAACTAAGATTGCTACATGAAAGAGTTGACGACATGATTTACAATGGGCCAACTTCTGGATGATTTGTAATGCATATATTTACTAGTTGTTACAAGATTTTGATATGATTGCCCGAAACCTGAATTAATATTGTTAGTAAACCTTTAACAATTTTAAAAATCCAAACTATGACATCAAATGTGTGCGTAAGCCTTTACTTTAGTAACAATGAGGAAGATATCGCCGTTTTACAGATGTAAAAATCCAAAATTCACTGTTTAAGAGGAACTGCAATTCAATTTTACCAATTTTAAGTAGAAAAATAAGAGAATCTTCATAATTTTAAAAAGATACCATCGTAAATCTGACAAGTATAATTCTATAAATGGAGGGACGAATACATGAAATAATGTCAACAATCCCTTTGATAATGATAATAATAATAATGTCCTCTGCAGGTTTAAGAAGTGTGGGGGGCACTGCTGTTGTTACCCCCGTATACTCTAAAGCACTCCACTTTGGAGACAGGTATTTAAAATAGATTCAACATAGATTTTATGACACTAATCTTTTCGGGCGCTTAGTGCCATTTTAACTTTTAACTTTTTATTGTGGCTCTTTCTGTAAGCATTTTCATTTTTATATATTTTAAAACCTGAATTTATTATTAATATTTTTTGGTTGATTTTCAAAAATTTAACTAAAATAGAAATGTTTTGGAGGCAAACTTTTAAAATTCTATCCATCCATAAATCATCCCTGAAGTGCCCGGCTTTGCCTGCGGAATCTCAAATTTCAGCAATAAAATCTATCTTTACTCGGGGCAACACTTTTTTGTCTTATCTTGAGTTTTTTTCCTCCATATCCATATTTAGTTTCTCTTCTGTTACATACATAATTTAATTTAACAAGTTTTATGAATTTCTTGGATTTGTATAAATTAATTTTAAGAATTACATATAATAGCATTGAATAATATTTAAAAATGGATTTGTCTCTGTTTTTATTTTATTTTATCCCTATTTATAATATTTTTTATATTCCCAAGATTGGAATGGTCAATTGAGAAACATCTATTAAGCAGCTTGTATTTGATCTAGATTGTAGTTCATTATAATTTCTTTTATTTCAGGGTTGCCATTATTGATGAATCAGGGAAATGCAAAACTTAAAATCATTATGATATTAATTCTCAGGGTAACTTTTCAAGATTTGCAGGGACGATTTTCGAAGCTTTGAACAAGTAAACAATTAAAACGAGACTTGTAACGCAAGTTTTATCTCTTTTTATATTTTGTTTCAAATAAAAATGTATGTTCCCCCAATTTTATAATTCAGCCATAATAAAACTATTTTGCGCTATAGGAGGGGGGAAGATCATTGTATAAATGCAAAGGGGTTTGATAAGTTTTGTATTTTGTATTTTTTACCAACAGGATCTTACAGTTACAACAACCTATATGGAAGAGCAAAGAAGTTAGGTAAACCATCCTTTTATGACATTTTTTCTTTTCAAAATTTCAAAATTGCAAGTTCTAGGGATTTTCAGAAAGTACTGATAATTGAGTCACAGCACAGTGGTCCAAAAGTTGGAAGTTCTCACGCAAACATTAAACAGCATTTTGCCAATTACTTCTTAAAAACTGAAGTTAAAAACAAGTGCTTTGGAGTTTTGAAATGTACATTGCACATGTCTAGAAGTACAAAAAAAGTTTAAGTTCGAGTAAGTGAAGTAAAATCAAAAGCCAAGACGTTGCGACACTTTTAAGTCGATCCGGTCTTGAAAACTTTTGTAACTTTTTATGTCTGGATCTCTGTGGCAGTGTGGAGCGAATATATTTAAAAGAAGAATTTGAAAAGATAAATAATTTTATTTCCTCTAAATTTTGAGAGAAAGGGTCGACTTGTGACGTAGATTCAAGTGCATGTCTGATTTACATTGGTACCCTTCATAGCTTAGTTTGATCGGTATGAATAAGAAAAACATACTTTTCTTTTTGAAAACTGATTGTTTTTAATTGTGCTTTCACTAGAAAAGAATCAAAAATAATAGTAGAAATTATCAGAATTAAACACTTAATTACGACATTTTCTTATCATTGATCAGAAAAAGGTATTCAGGATACTAAGCGTCTTATTTTTAAATGAAGGTCACTTGAAACTCCAGCATTGGCTCTTTAATAATGTGAATAAACTAAATTTCTGGATGTAATTTTGATGGATTTAATGTAAATTTTTTTTTTCAGCTGAAACTATAGAGAAGGAAGTTCCAGGTCCTGGATCTAAAATCACATTTCTGTCCCCGAACTCGTCAGAATATATAGTTGCACAGTGGGCAATATGGATGGCCGGAGGGGTTGCTGTTCCACTTTGTAAATCTCATCCTTTACCCTCACTTAGGTATATTTACATACAGTAAGAAAGAATCAGAAAACTGTTAAATAGAAAGACGACATTAAAGTAATAATTTAGCGTATTTGATGGGCAGAAGCCAAAGGAAGTTACGCGCGAATGCCGCGTTGAATTACAAGACAAAGATAGAGCCTGTTCTAGCCGCTGCACTCGGCCCCCCAGCCTGTTCTAGACGCAGTGCTCGGCCCATAAAGTTTCTTAAACTGCCCTAACTCTAAAATATAAGCATTTGCCATATTCTGTTGTGCGCGGGTGCCCCATGGAGTTCCAGGGCGGAGAGAGGAGGATTGAATTTTGTAATATCTGTGGGATGCCTGCGTAGAGACTGGCAGCTGGTTGGGTCTTAAATGTAAGACAAGTGGCCGCAGCGCTCGGCCCCCTAGCCTGTCCTAGCCGCAGTGCTTGGCCCAGAAAGTGTCTTAACCTAACCTAACCCTAAATAAATACTAATTTAATTATTTTTCTGGATCTACAAAATTCGGTCCCCCTCTCTCTGTTTTGGAGTTTTGCTGGGCCTTTGCGCTCAACAGAGAATGGCAAATCCCTAAAATATATACTAATCTCTCTCTTTCTTGTAATTCAACGCAGCAAGCGCACGTAACTTCCTTGGGCAACTGCCTAGTTGAGGCTGTTACAAAACAAAGAGTTTTACTAAGAACTTTTTAAATTCCTTATAAAGTGAAATTGGTCTGTAGACACTGATCAATTTCTGTGGCACAACAGCAATAAGACTTAATTTAGGATATTTTTTGAAGGTCCGTTTAATTAAACGTCACGAAAAATACGAGTCAGCTGTTTTTTAGAGATTATTATTATTGTGAATAACGATTTAAAACGTTGTGGATTAGCAATATTTTCAAACAAAAGTTCCAAACAAAAGTTCCAACCTCAATTCCTTCTTTTTAGTTTAATTGGATTGTTTCCTATTTCAAAACACTTCTGAATTCCATATTTTTGGGATTAGTAACACGGCCAAGTTTATCTTTTAATAAAAAAAAAATCTACTTATTTGGATTTTTTTCAAACTTTTAGAAAGTCTGCACCTCCAATAGTTCTTTTAAGGTTATATCAATCCAGATACAACCCGCTCTCGAACTCTATATTCTCCAATAATACTTAAGTCTGTAACAATCCAGATACAACACTCTCTGTATTCTTAGTCTGTATTGTTCAGATACAACTCGCTCTAGAACTCAATTTTCTCAAATAATACTTCAGTCTGTATCAATCCAGATACAACACTCTCTGTATTCTTAGTATGTATCGTATAGGTACAACTCGCTCTCTGACTATATGCTCTCTACATGAAAAATAATACGTGTCTAATTTATATTTTGGGTATTTTGGGATTTATAGTACATGTTAATAATATGGACCGATAGGTTCATTCAGAAATTAATGAACGTAGGTAGAGTACATTGAGATAATGTTATTACGAACATAAATTTATATACAAAATAAAAGATTCATTTATGTACGAGTTTTATTACAAGTCTAAACTGTATCATTTCTTCTCCATTTTTAGAGTAACAATGTTAGCCTTTAAAACTAAGTAACATGTGTTATGTGATATTTCATTCATCCTTGATCATCTAAAGGTTTATAGAATATCGTTGAGAATCGGAGTGTCACTTTAAAATTCGGTGATGGTGATGAACCAAATCTCTGTAGAGTAAAAAAAGTAGATGTTAGTTCCACATTTATTGAAAATATATTTCGGTCTGGGTTGACCCTCGTCAGTTCTTGAGATTGTTTCTGTCACAAAGATTAAAAACTTGAAACTTGAAATTACACCTTAATGGGTTTAAATAATAAGGAATTTTATACAACCTTGATGAAGTAACTTCTTTCTGTTAAAGGTATTATGTTGAAGACAGTGGGTCAGTGATTACCCTTGCTACTCCAGATCTGGCAGAAAAACTGTATCCACTAGAAAACAAAGTAAATCATGCAAACTTTATCATGTTTAAGATTTAAGCTAACATTTTTGTATTTTTTGGGGGGAGTTTCCAAAGAAACTTGTCACATTCTCTTTTGATTTTTGAAGTATGTGGTGTGAAGGCAAAAATAGCATGATTGCCATGGCGGGGGGGGGGGGGGGGTAAAAAGTTTTTATAACACATCCTTCTTGGTTTGTTAATGTTTTATGGCTGGCTGAATCTTTTCTGAATATGGTTGTTTAAACAAATGTATAGGTTAAATAAATATATTTCACGAGTTACGAATATAATTATTTTCTTTTATTTATAAATAATTTGAATTTTACACTTCAAAATAATCACTGGATAAAAAATGATCTATTTCCTAGGTGATTGAATATTTTTCCACAAATGAGACGAAATCAGATGTTCTCCCTGCCCCTGCCCCAGTTAAACTTTTCTCTTCCTCTCCTGCAATGATACTGTATACAAGTGGCACAACAGGGCCTCCAAAGGTACAATTTCCTAGATCGAACAGTGGTTAAAATAAATGTATTTTCAAAAGTTAGCCTGAAGGGATTACTATTGAGAAATTGTAATAATGGTGATTTTAAAAGCGTCAAATTTTCGCCATTTTGACCCCCCAAAAAAAATGGACCTTACTCTCAAAAAGTAGCAACAAAATCAGAGTTTCAATGGATAAGTAACCTCCATACATGTACTTAGTTAGGGGTTAAAGCCATTTTTTGGTATTTGAGGTGAAACCTATTGAGGCTTAAGCTGTGAGATGTTACAAACAATTATTCCCAATTTTTTTTCTCCCAATCACTGAAAACTGAAATTTGCACGTTGGGAAAATCTATAAAGATTTGGCCAAATACTCCTTTTCTACTTAACCTAGAAACTAGCGCTCTGTTTCTCAAATCTTCTTATTTATGGCTATATAAAAAGGTTGGTAAAGTCAAATCAATGGGTGATGTCTGGCTCCACTTTAAAGTCGACTTGTCTCAAACACTTTTAAAGCTCCCGTCGATCTAAGTTCCCATGAAGTTATGGCAACGTATCCTGACAAAGCTTCATCCTGACAAAGCTTCGTAGTTGAAATATATGTATATTTTACTCTCAGTTTGCAGTAAAGCTAGCTCTTATGGTTAAACCGCTAACCCATCAGTGCCAGCGTCGTTTTTCAGCTTTATAATCTTTATGGGTTATCGGTTTCTCAAAGTTTAAGTTTGGATTTTGGGAGAAAATAGTTAAAAGGTTTGAAATTTAATAATTATCACTAATGAGTTAAAAAATTAGGGTGTAGTGCTAAGCCATGGAAACCTGGAGAGTCAGGTAATGATATTTTTCAAGCATAAAACAGCGAAAAGAAACTACGTTTTAAACCTCTTTAACCTGTTTTTTTATCTAAAGAATGATTTTATTTTGTTTTAACTTCTTATTAAACTTTTTTTACGGAAATATCAATGATATTGATAATAATAAGTGTCATCTATTTTTTTCTAAGGCCAATTGTCTTATTTCTTCGTGGAGATGGGTTGAAAGTGACAAGATCTTGCATGTTCTACCCTTACATCATACTCATGGAATAGGTGAAACAAATATTTATCTCACTGCGAACCAAGATGTGCACGCTCTCAAGCAGTATTTTGCCAATACTCCTTTTTAAACTTAAGCTAGAAACCTTACTGTTACGTAAATGCAAAGCCTAAGCTGTTGCGACGCGACGCTTTAAAGTCAAGGCTGTCTAATTTAGTGAAAAACCATTGAAGTTGTCTAGATATCAGTGATCTATGGTTGATTTTTTCAAAAACCATTTTTTTCTTTTCGGTTTAATGGATTAAGTCAATCCGTAGATAAAACCGATAAAGTGAGATGTTAATCTGATGTAATCAGATATTAGGATTCAAAACATGTTTAAACAGATCAAAATTACTATGTCAGAGATTTATACAGTATAAATATGTGTAATATCTTGAATTCAAGAGTTTCTGTGATAAATATCGAGTTAGTCTTTGCAAGCACCATCCCAACTAAAAGTTCTAACCTCTGGATGAAAATTTCAGAATTTTCTATATTTGAAGCAGTAATCTCTATTTATCTGTTTGTCCATATTTGTTTGTAGGTTAGATCATAACTCATGAAGCCCTTGGTTGATTTGCCTCAAATTTTGATTGGGGAACCTGGTAGATCCTCAAGAATGCTTTTTAATTTGTTTAAAAATGTTAAGTGAATTGTCTGTTATGTCCACTAAATGTTGGAGCCAGTATTCAGATGCTTCCTGGTTTTGATGCTGCAAGGGTGTGGTCGGCTCTTGTCAACAATGAGGTTTGTATTGGCAATTTAAGTTTAATGAGAAAGAAGACGTAATTTCAAGTAACCTCAAATTTTAAGCGAGCAAAGCCCAATTCTCAACAGTACCCTTTAAACCTTTATATGATCAATAATTTTGAAGATATTGTCGTTTTTTTTATCTTGAAGAGTTCTTAATTCTGATTATTTCCTCCCTTTCTATCTGCTAGAGAAACGCGTAATTCACTTTCATTTCATCAAGAAATTATCAAAATTCAACACTGTCAGATAAAAAAGCTAAAAGATACCATTGTGAATTGAACATTTCATTAGTCACCCTTAGGTAAAATTACACAAACAGACCTTATTTTTAGGTTAATATTTTTAGGTTAATATTTTTAGGTTAATATTTTTAGGTTAATATTTTTAGGTTAATATTTTTAGGTTAATATTTTTATGGCTGTTCCAACCATCTACGCCAAGCTGATTGAATATTTCGATAAAACAAACATGTCCAGCTCTACAGTTACCAATGCATGCAAGGGTATTAGGTATGTACTGGATTGAATATTTCGATAAAACAAACATGTCCAGTTCTACAGTTACTAATGCATGCAAGGGTATTAGGTAGNGTATTTGATAGAGCATTAACTCTTTCTCTTATTTCTTATTCTTTTTCAATTATTTCTGATTCCATTTCTTTTCAGTGAGTATTTGATAGAGCATTAACTCTTTCTCTTATTTCTTATTCTTTTTCAATTATTTCTGATTCCATTTCTTTTCAGTGAAATATGTTTTCTATTTATTAACCCCTGGCATATCAAGGATATCAAGGGTGTTTAGGACAGTCTACAGAATTAAAAGATTGATAAAGATTGAATTGGAAAACTTTTTACTTCTGCCTCAAAACAACTTCCTGTAAAAAGTTCTGGATAAATCTTTTAAAAACGATCATTTCGTTTTCGCTTTTTCGTCGTCGTTTTCATAACGAAACGATGGTTTTTAAAAAAAAATGAAAACGTTTACATCCCTAACCACATATTCAGAAGTATCCAAAGAAAGTATTACCAACTCTAATAAAAATACATTTATATTTTGTGTAGAGAATGAATAGTTTTTGTGCAGAGATTAAATAGAAATTGATGAACGATTTCTTTTGTTATTAAATTCATTAATAAATACTATTAATTTGAATAATTTTAAACTCGTCTGCTATTCTTTTCAGCTGATCAGGTGGACTTACCGCCAAACCTTGAAAGGTGTTTTCTAACTGATCAATCCATCTTAAAAAGGTTGTGCATGTTGCTCTCCGTACACACTTATCATTCATACTCAAGTGCTAAAGTATTGGTAACAATCTTATATTTTATTTTTATATCTATTATATTCAGCACATTACCTTAAGCAAATATATTAGGTTATCATCTAGTATATTCTCAAAATGAGACATTGTGTAAAAATTCTAAAATTAACCTTTCAATGTTGCCTCTGACAACCCAAGTAAGACTCAAAATATACTGGATAAATCTGATAATGTTGAACTGAAGAAAAACTTAGGCATTGATATCATACTAAACATAGCTTATCTTTTTATAGATAAGGTAAATTTCCCAACTGACCTGATTCTCCTACCANTCCCAACTAACCTAACTATTCATGCTGACACTCCTGGAATATTCGACTTAAACATTTTCAATATTACAGTAAACATTTAGAGCGTAGATGCCCTGAAACAGAACAAAAATAGAGGACTTAAGATAAGACCAATTGACGCAGCTGTTTAATTGGAATGTATTAGTTATACTTATTTGTACTATTTCCTTACTTAAAGGGACAGACCAGTTATGTAAAGGTAGTTGAACTGAGGATGCAGTGTTGTGGACAAATTCTTTAGGGTTCATTTGAGACATAAAAAACTTTTTAAAGGTCTGTAAATCCTGGATTTGAGCGCAAAGTCGACATTCAAAATTGTTCTTTTGAGTGGATACGTTTTCAGTATTTTCTACAGTAAACTTATCAATTGTTTAGGAACAGGTTGAGAAAATAAAAATTATTCTTATCATCGAAAATAAGTATTTTTATTCAATTATTAGTTTCTATAATCTCTGATTATTCACAAATATTTTCTGCAGATTTTCTGGAATTTTTATTGAAATGACGACATTTGAAGAATTTGTAGAAATCTGCGAATAGGTTCATATAAAATAAGAAATTCAATGTAATGATGAAAACGAATTAATTGATTCTAACATTGATTTATTGACAAATTTCTTTTGAGAAATATGTTCCTAAACATCTAATAAGTTTACTGTATAATATTTACTTTATTTTTCACCGTCATTATTTAATATTAAAAAAAACCGTCTCTGAAAACGTACCCACCCAAATTCATGATTTTGAACGTCGACTACGCACTCAGTAATTATTCATCGTGGAAACGTTTTATATGTCTCAAATGAATCCTAAAGAATTTGTTCACAACACTGCATAATCAGCTTAAACTACCTTACATAGCTCCGGGTCCCTTTAAGAAATTACTTCAAGGTACCATGAGGAAAATTTTATTTTCAATCACAAATGTAAACTATATCCAATACAATATTATGTGCTCTAACCAGGTTAGAATCCAGGCCACATCTGCACTATTTGGCACCGCACCCTGAAGTTGGACTGGGGGTTCCATATTGGGTTCCCTTTTAGATCTATAGTTTTTATGGTCTTAAACTATTACTTACATTTGTCAGAATTCTTGAAAGAACAATTATTTTGCAGTTAATTTAAATATATTTCTATTTTGTTTTGATAAGGTTGATGGTAAGTGGTTCTGCAGCTCTACCTACACCAGTCCTTGAGAGATGGAAGGAAATAACTGGACACACACTTCTTGGTAATTAACAAGTCATTATTATTTTCATAATTTCTGGATTGCATTCTGTTGTTAAAAATATTTTACTAAAGACTAAATTTATTAGTATCTTCTACCTTTCAAATACAAGAGATTGAAGCAGCCTTTTCATGAACTGAGAGTTACTTTTGAAAATATTTAATCCTATTTCCAGGATTTTTGATAATGAAGACAACATTTTAATATTTTCCAGGAATGTTCGAAAACCCATCGCCAGCGAAATATTAATTTAAAAAACCAAATCAAAAATATTGTGAAATATTAACATTAAGTATATATGAGTGCGTTGAAAAATAATCGATGACTAATATTTGTAATATCTGAATGATTTGTTTGGAATTGATTATTTTACGATCCAACTTGAATGTTGCAACTTTCCGAATTTGTATGGACGATATATTCTTCACTTTAAGTCGTTTTTAACAATTTTCTCCTTATAGACGCAACAGATAGAATTAAGATTAGTAGCGATCAAAAGCGCTCATTTTTCGCTGTAACCCTATAACCCTTTTAATTCTTCGCGAACACCCCCTTTAAATATTTCAAACCGTGTTAACTGTAGAAAGGTATGGAATGACTGAAATTGGCATGGCGCTCTCCAATCCTCTTGATGGAGTTCGAGTTCCTGGAGCCGTTGGGAGTCCTCTTCCAGGAGTATCAGCTCGAATAGTTAGGTTAGTTGGGAGTACTCTTCCAAGAGTGTCAGGTCAAATAGTTAGGTTAGTTGGGAGTCCTCTTCCAGGAGAATCAGGTCAAATAGTTAGATTAGTTGGGAGTTATCAGCTTATAGAGTAAGGTAACTTGTTTTGTCTAGGGTTTTCAGCTTGGACTCATGGCAGCTATCTGCACTTTGGTGCTAAGCGCCATGAATTCAGTCTTTGGGTTCCACCTTGGGTTCCCTTGCTTGGGCTTGATTTAATTTGATAGTTGAGTTATTTGGGAGTCTTTATAGCGTTGGCGTTAGCTCATATAGTCACTAGCTCATTAGGTGGTTGGTCATCAGGGGTAATTAGCTCAATTAGTATTTAACATTAGCTCATATAGTTACTAGTTAGGTCATTAGGTGGTTGGTCATCAGGAGTAATTAGCTCAATTAGTATTTAAATAATTATTTTTTTAACCTTTGGGAGAGGGAGGGAGGGACTATTAATAGAATGACTTTTAATTCTCTATTTTTGTTGTTCTTTTCTCTAAAAAAAAAGTTATTTTTTCAAAAGTTAAAAAATAGGAAAATACAGTTAAATTTGATTTTTGAAAACAACATTACAGCTTTTGATTTTATTAACCAACAGAGATAAGGAAATGATATAGATTAAATTTTCAACATTATTTATGTGTCAGCTGGGATAAAAATGGAAATGAGAAGGTCCTGGTTGAAGGAGAACATGGGTTTGTTTCATCAGAGAACAGTGAACCAGGGGAACTGCTGATCAGGTCTTAAAACAACTTTAGGGCTTCCAACTAAATTTTCGAATCTCGAAGTTCGCGAATTCTTACTGCTGCTGTCAGCAAGGTTTGCGAATTTTGTTGTATGTTCAAAAATTGATATTTAATGGGCCCAAATATTGATATTCAAGGGGTAAGAATATTGATATTAAAGGAGTCCGAATATTGATATTTAGGGGTCCTAATATTGATGTTTAAGGGGTCCGAATATTGATATTTAAGGGGTCCTAATGTATTCCAAGAGTACCTAAACAAACCGGAAGCAACAAAGAAGGAATTTACAGAGTCAGGATGGTTTAAGACAGGGGATACATGTAAGGTAATTATTATTAGTATCAATTGTCAATTGTCAGGTATCAATTACCAATTGTCAATTATCAATTTCAATTATCAGGTATCAATTATCGATTGTCAATTATCATTTATCAGGAATCAATTATCAATTATCAATTATCAATTACCAATTATCAATTATCAATTATGTATTATCCATTATCCATTATCAATTATCAATTATCAATTATCAATTATCAGGTATCAATTATCAATTTTCAATTATCAATTATCAGGTATCAATTATCAGTTATCAATTATCAGTTATCAATTATCAGTTATCAATTATCAGTTATCAATTATCAATTAGCAATTATAGATTATAAATCATAATTATTATTATGATTATTATTATAATAATTGAATAATTAAAGGGGCATGTCAGATTTACAACAGTACTCTTTAAAGCTAGCTCGTGTTTAATAATGGTTTGGCAATTTCCTGCATTGTTTCAGTAGCATAAATCCGCAAGTTACTTTTTTTTAAAATCCACAATTGAAAATAATCAATTTTTAAAACTTACTCATTCGCTTTTGATCATATAAATGATTACGTTGAACAGTGTTAACAAATGTGAGAAAGCAGTCTTGGTTGTCGTCTTCCATCAACAATCAACAAATAACGAGAATATAAAGTAGAGAATGACACGCAGTAACACTGCGCAAAGATTTACACACATTGTGGCGCCATTATCCTCGTGGTATCTGAGAAATACAGCCGCCCACCCTCCTCCCATTCTCTATGTCTATCATTCAGAAGAGGGTTTAACACCCTCTCTTCTCTCTGGGTCCTCAAGGGAGCTGCCAACAGGGCCGGTCAACCAAACTGACCACCCCGAATGGCCGCTTAAGGCGAAGGTCATAAAGGTTGACCGTACCAGCCATGCCGGTCTGCAGGTCATATAAGTACTTTTTCAGGTTGAGAACGGTGTATTCAGAATCCTTGGAAGAACCAGTGTTGATATCATTAAGGAATTGATTTAATTTATAAATGTCTTAGCAAAAATATCTTCGAAATAGAAACAATTTATAAAATTTCCCTGCTTTTATGAGAACGAAATACATGTAATATTAAATTGAAAATAAAGACAATTCTGAAAGCAGTCACATACAATACACAGATTTATTTTTAAGCTCGTACAAGGTTCATAATTATCAATTAGACATATAATTTCTTTCAAAATGAGGGTTAATTCAGACCTAAAGGTCTTGACGTATTGCTACGTATTTGTTCTAAAACTTATCAAAAAAATTTATTTTGATTATTTTTAATAATATCTGTTGCATGATAGTCTGGTGGATATAAAATATCTGCTCTTGATATAGAACGTATCTTGCTTACTCATCCACGTATACAGGTTAACATTACCATTCTGCTCTTCCTAATAACTAGTTTTTAACAATGGCAGAAAAGTATAAACGTCTTGAAAACTAACAAAATAGTCAAAACGATTTATTGCCTGCTTGTTTTTCTTGCTTGCAGTAACAAAAAAACATTAATAGGTTGCAAAGTCGTACAGGTTCATAAGAAAGATTACTTTATCGATTCCTTTATGATTCAGTTTAAGATCAGTTTAAAAGAATTGAAAAATGAAGTCTCCAACAAAATAAAACGAACAAGAATTGGTCAAAACATTTTATTGTCCTCGATTCTCTTCATCTTGCGGTAATATAAATCTGGAGGTATTACGAGGTCGCAAAATCTGTTTAATAATATTGAGATAAATATGTAAAAACTATTACCCTAGGATGTTGCTGTTGTTGGAGTTCCAGACCCAACCTGGGGGGAGAAGGTTGGGGCTGTTGTTGTAGTTTCACAAGGTCAACAGCTTACACTGCAACAACTTAGGTAAACACTAGATGTTGTTATAGTTTTACAAGAACAACAGCTTACACTGTAACAACTCAGGTACACTAGATGTTGTTGTAGTTTTAAAGGTAAACAGCTTACACTTTGACAACTCAGGTACACTAAATGTAGTTGTAGTTTTAAAGGTAAACAGCTTTCACTTTGACAACTCAGGTACACTAGATGTTGTTATAGTTTCACAAGGTCGAACAGTTTACACTTTGACAACTCAGGTACACTTGATGTTGTTATAGTTTCACAAGGTCAACAGCTTACACTTTGACAACTCAAATACACTAGATGTTGTTATAGTTTCACAAGGTCAACAGCTTACACTTTGACAACTCAGGTACACTAGATGTTGTTGTAGTTTTAAAGGTAAACAGCTTTCACTTTGACAACTCAGGTACACTAGATGTTGTTATAGTTTCAATTCTAGGAGTTGATTCTAAGATTGCCAGATTCAGAATTATACTCCTTTCAACCCCTTGTCTGAGCAGAATATTGAAGAATGAGATGTACTTGTTTTTCTATCTGACAATTTTGATGATTTTCATTTGCAGTTTCTGTATTAAAAATTGCTTAGGTATGCAGCATTGGAAACTGACATGATTTATTTCTTTTCAAGATAGAAAAAAAAGATTTCTCAGTATTACTCAAATAAAGTTTAAAGGGGTACGGTTGTGAATCCACCAAAAATATTTAAAAATTTCTATGGAATCAGGAGCCTGGAGGAAATGCCAAGGAATGCTATGGGAAAAGTAAATAAGAAGGAACTTATCAAATCTGTGTTTGTTCAAGAGAAATAAAAAATAATTAATGTTTAATTTATTTTTATTTGTCTACGTGAAATATTTTTCAAGTTTCTGTCAAATAATTTGCGCATTTTCATCTCAAATTTAAAGGAATTAATATTGCAATGAAAATAATATATATATTTATGTTTTATGTTTCAAGGAATAAATGTTACAAAGAGAATTCTGATGAGAACTGTGAACCTAAATTTTTCAGTAATTACTCACAGAATACAATCAAATGGAAAAAATACCAAACTCATCGTGAGCAGATATTTTATTCAGAGGTCAGAATTTATGAATGGCAATAATTAGTTGAACTTTCGACCGTACTCGCAAAATATAACACATTTATTTGAACTTAATCAAATTAATTCTCGACCTTTATGATCATCTTTATATTTACATAAACATGTATTTTATAAGTAATATAAAATCCTGTTTGTCATGTTTTGTCAGTATAGCAAGAGGTAAATCAATGTCCGATATTTAATTTCAGAAATGTAACAAAATTTAATGTCTTAATTTCCAGGACCCTCACTGGAAAAAGTTATGGTATCCTGTTAAAATTTGTTTAAGTAACAATACACTAAATGCAATAAAAATAATCTTCTTTGTTCCTGGTACAAAACCCATAATAGAACTTTTATAATTTGAGGAAAGGGTTTAAAGGGAACCGATTTGAATCAGGCTGTTTACGTCTAAGTCATTTGAAATAACGTCAACAGTGCCTTTAATCCTGAAATAAATTCCTTGTACAATGTACAGTGTACACAACACTTCAAGATATCCTTTCTTTTCCTACCCATGTGTAAGCTTTCTAACTTCTCAGATTAGAATTTAGAAATAGTATCTTTCCCCTTCCTAGGTGATGTGTTTACTACACTATACACATGCTTACAATTTACAATAATCTATACAATATAAATATATTTTGCAAACGTGAAAAAAGTTAGCGTTGTAGAAGTTAGAATAAAAATATTATTGATATGTGGTGCTGTCTTTTCCTTAACTTACAGCGAAATAGAGATTACACTTTTAGGTTTCTTAAAACAGGACCGACCTTGAAGCTGTACAGTACACTTAACGGTTTACGAGGCAAAACGGGACAGTGCACCAACTAAATCAGCCTCTCCTAGGGAAATTTGTGTGTGTGGGGGGGTAGTTAGGGTAAAGGGCGTTTTTCAAACGTATCTTTAAAATAGCATTTAGTCCCTTTAATCTATAAAAATATTGATTCAGACCACAGACTAGATATAAACAGACTGCTAATCAGCTTTAACAGACTAGATATAAAACTGCTTATCAGCTTTAACATGCTAGGCTAATAAGGCCTATAGTTGTACCGGTATGACGGGCTACATTCTGACAAAGGTTTTTAACTGCCATCTAACAGCCACTTGAAGAATATAACACCCATTTAGGGGTTAAGTTTTACAATTTTTATAGAAATACTCTTTCGGAACAAAACCTTAATGAATTTAGTCTATTTTTTAAGGACCCTTAAACATCCCTGAACATAGATATTGGTTGTGTACTCCAGTTGTACACAATGTAACTCGTTCATATATCTATTTACTCTCTTATCCTTGATTCAGACTAAATACGTTTGTAAGAATGAAGATTGAGATTATTGAGGAGAATATTGGAGAACACAAGGAGGAGAAATGGGATACAGGAACAGAGGTGAAAAGCTTTTATTTTTATTGGAAACAGAAACTCGAGTGTAATCACTAGCTTTTAGCCTAGATAAAGTAAAGAACTATTTTTTGAAGATTTCCAAAAAGTTAAAATTTTTAATATTGATTGAATTCTGGGAACTTTTAAGGGTGGAAACTTATGAAGATTATGTCGTGTAGGTTGCCAGATGCTGGGACCTAGGGTAGAAACTGATGAAAATTATGTTGTGTAGGTTGCTAAGTGATAGGACATAGGCTTGAGACTTATGAAGGTTATATCGTCGTTAGCTGGATTCTAGGATTTAGAGTAGAAACTAATAAAGAATATGTTGTGTAGGTTGCTAGGTGGTAGGACCTTGAGTGGAACCTAATGAAGATTATGTTTTGTAAGGGGCTTGGTGCTAGGACCTAGGGTGGAAACTAATAAAGGTTATGTTGTGTAGTTTGCTCGGTGCTAGGACTTAGGGATAGAAACTAATAAAGATTATGTTGTATAGGTTGCTAGGTGCTAGCACCTTGAGTGGAACCTAATGAAGATCATGTTTTGTAGGTTGCTAAGTGCTAGGACCTAGGGTAGAAACTAATGAAGGTTATATCATAGGTAGCTGGATGCTGGGTGTGCCTTGGACCAGGGGTGGAAACTAATGAGTTCTATCCTGAAATGAGATATTGTGGACCTCAGCATAGGCATATAACAACATTAAACCCGGTTTTGAAATGTTCAAAAATGGTCATTAATGATTCATGTGATAGTATCGATAGCTATTTATTTTAGCTTTTAAACGTAAAATTGCGGATTTTTTTTGTAAAATTATTGTGAATTTCTTTTAAAAAGTTAGACCCTTTTCAGAAATATTGCGTTCTCTTTTTCATTTCACACTGAATTTATGATGTGATCACATAGTTTAAGAGAAATTTTTTCTACAAAAACATCAATATTTAGTTCGTAATATAGCAACAACTAACGAGATAATGTTTAATAAGCTTTGCTTAAACATTTTTTAAATGTACTTCAGACTTCTAGATGTCACAGCTCTGTAATTTTTTTAAAAGCTCACTGTATCCATCTCCGAACGGATTTTATTCATAAAACTTTATATTTCTATATAATTCGCATTTTCCCGGAGGGCGTTTAGCTCCGTTATAACAGATTCAGGCTCCTTATAAACAGTCTCATCAATTTTTAAGACAGGGCTGACTTTGAAGTGTCGCAACGCCCTAAGCTTAGATTTTACCGCTCTAACTCACTTATGCTTTTCTGTATCCATTTACATGTACATTTTAGCACTGTAAAGCACTTCTTGTAGATTTGGTCTTTTAGAAGTAATTGGCAAAATTCTCAACGATTTTTGCTTGAGAGCGTGAGACCATTAAATCGCAGTGAGCTAACACAGGAACGTTTTCAATACCAATCCGGGAAAGAAGACACTTGGGGTGCTCAATACACAACAAATTTGGGCAAAAAACTTTCCAAATTCAAAGCTGACACCACTGACATGATCCAAAATACATTAGAGGATAATAATATAGACAAGGCAACAGTCTACATGTGGACTAAAACGGGAAAAGTGTAATGGAGAGTGATAAAGAGGAAATGTCTGAGCAGGAAAAATCCACAAAAAGTTTCTCAGACCAAATCGCGAGGCTTATGATTTGTTAAAGGTTGATAAGTTTGGCATCAGCTGTGGTGCTGAAAGTTGAAAAGCAAAATTTGAAAAATGGCAAAGATTTGGACAACATTTGCTCTAAAGAGGTCAGGAGAAAAGATATTAATTGGTTTGCTGAAACGTAGATGAAAACTTAAAAAAACCCCAAGGACCCTTTCTTTTTAAATTTATCCAACCTCTAGAACACGCAAAAATGGATCAAGTTTGAATCTATAGATCAAATATTTAGGTTTTGACAAGCAATATTTACGGGCTCCGGGAGAAAACTTATTGCGTCCAACATACTATCTGATCGACATTAGCTGATTAGAAAAATGAACCGGTATAACTTTTAAAAAAATTAAAGAGTTTAGATGTCTAGAAGTACATTTAAAAAATCTATTCGGAATTTTGTAAAACTCTCGGAACGTTAAACATTGCGAAGAAAATGTTAATGTTTTTTTATCTGACAGTGTAAATAAAAGATTTATTAATACTTAAAGACATGATTTTGTCCCATGACCAACTGTTTTCTGTTGTATAGAGAGATGCACCAACCAGAAGACCATGATGAACCCTGGCCATTCAGTGTCAGGTAAAAATGTTGCCGATGTCAGAAGCTTTCACTTTCGAACATTGTACATTCACATTTTTTTTACTATACATATAAGTTTAAGAATTAGAAATGAAGATTTAATATTTTTCAGACAGAAGGAGGGAGTTGGTAGATTACTTGTTGCTGCTAGGAATCATTCAATTCAAATAAAGAAATCAAATATGTTTATTTCGAGGAAAGGGGGAGGATCATAGTAAAACCATATATATAGGTTACCCTCGCTATAAAAACATGTTTTTAAATTTGAATCTAAATCGTAAAATTCTTATTTAGTACTATACGTTGAAATGTTCTGGCGCACACTTTTTCGAAATAAATAACAATTAAAATTCAAATTATTCTCTATCTAAAACATTGAAAAAAATCTTATTTTTTTATAATGAAGGTCTGATTATTAGAGATATTGAGAAGGGTGAATTGATTTTCACGGAACAGGTATTTATTAACCTTAAATAAGGACTGGACTCACTTGGCAACGTTCCGTTAACTAAACGGCAAGTTTTTGAAAATTAACGGAAGAATCTGTTAACAAACGGCAAGTTTTTGAAAATAAGGGAAGAGTCTCTCAACGAACGGCAAGTTTTTGAAAATTAACGAGAGTCCGCTAACTAACGACAAATATTGGATAATTAATGGAAGAATCCGTTAAAAAGTCGGCAGTTTTAGCATTTTTACATGTTTTACATGATAACATTAATGGCTCTAAAATATCTTCCGTTCAATTTTGATCGTTATCGAAAGGAAACTATGAGAAAGAACGGAAAATTCTGTGGACGAACGGAACATTAGTTTTTTTTTAAATTTTGACTGACCGTTTACTAGCCTATGTCAAAATCAGTCAACTTTTGGTACAGATAAGAGTGGTCGCTCATGTGGTGCCCAAGGACAGGTTTGTTAAACAAAATATTTTTATTTTTTATTTTTGACGAGCTTAAGGGTACCTGCTCGGACATGTTCCTGGCTTAACAAATGATGAGAAGAGAGAGGTCACAGAGATGGGTACATTTATCAGTCTGTTTTATGCAGAATGGTTCTTGAGAGCTGAAATATCTAACATAGCTCCAGCTCAGGTAAAAATTTAACTTAGAATTTTAATTATAAGAAACAGCTTCCTCTTGAAGGTTTTTAAAAATTATAAACTATCTACCTTGCACTCATCATTATTTCATTTTTTTTTAGTTCAAAATCATTTCTCATTTGAAGTTTAGAACATTTAATCCATAGAATTGTTTAACCTTATAAGTTTTTCACACAAATGAATGTACTTCAGGATATTAAAGCTCTCTGGCAGATGAGCAGATTTAAGGAGTTTAACCTAGACTCTGCAATCTGCATCAACAACAATAACATTCTTACTTCGACCCAGTTGGTATCTGGATCCAGCAGTAGTTGTTTTTGCTTTGGCTGATGAAGAATATCCTAACAGAGGGGAAAATGACCAAGAAGCTATTTTCTCTACCTCGTCCAGAGGAATTTCCTCTGGATAAGCAAGTAGTGAATAAAGAAGTTCTTCTAAGTCTTAACTATTCTGACAAAGAGCCCCCAAGTCTGACACCCCTGATAACAGGACAGTCATGGATGATCTTTGACATGCTTAAACATAACAGGGCTGAGATCCAGTGGATGAAACTTCCTCCTGAGTTCTTGAATACCAATGATTTCTACTGTGAGTTAACTGCTTTCATCAAGAATATAGCAGTAGTAAATGATGCAACTGAAAGAGCTATAAAGCTTGTGCAAGAGCTGATTGACACAGCAAGATCAGAAGAAAAACGGCAGGACAACTTTCTGTTTTCCAATGTCTACAAACGAAACCGTAAGGGTCGAAAGAAGACTGACTATAAAGCTGCAGCTCTTAAGGGCATAGCTGAAGATGCTATTGAGTAGAAGTTAGGACTCAACCCTGATGACTCTGTTTTTTAATCACTGATGGAAATTTTTTATATTTATTGAAGAGTTATCTTCTAAAAGATCAAACCTGAAAATTTCCATTTTCGTGTTTTTTTTTTGAAAATCTACATTTTTAATATTTTATTTTTAATAAGAGGGTTTAGATATCAAGAAGAGTGGTTTTTTATATGTTAGTATACATTATGTAGATAACAGAGGAAGAAAAAAAATGAAGATTGCTTGTTGTCTAAGGTCCCTGCTCAGGCTTTAAAAAATGGTAAAAATCGCAAAAAAACGGCCGTTTTTTAAACTTAAAGCCCCGAGCAGGTACCCTTCAGCTCGTCAAAAATAAAAATTAAAAATATTTTGTTTAACAAACCTGTCCTTGGGCACCACATGAGCGACCACTCTTATCTGTACCAAAAATTGACTGATTTTGACATAGGCTACCGTTTACAAACGGCTTGGAAAAAGGCTGAACGTGCCCAGCCTTACTGTTGAAGATATTTCATAAAGATTTGAATGTACATTTCACAAAGGCACCTATTAAACCTTTCTCTGATCAAGGGTGAAAGAAATATTCATATTTTTCAAGAGAAAACTGGATTATTTTCAATAGTATATTTCTTAAATAGTGACTTGCGGATTTATGCTGAAGAGACATTAAAGGAAAATAACAGATTTCAAAACGTTTTCAGAGAGAAAAACAAGGACATCTTCATCATTAATGCTCAGATAAAGGGCACCCTCCTACTTCTAATGGAGAGTTACTTAAATAAAGATTAATTGCAAATCTCTAAGTTATGATTAGTGAGAAAGTAGTTAAACCTGTCATGGCTAGTTAATCTACTTTTCTGGACCACTGTAGTCGCAGAGGAGAAGAAGTTCAACTACCCGTACAAAGTTCAACTTCCTCTCACTATTTAGATTTTGACCTTTTTGATTTAAATTTGGAAAAATGCATTGCCCATGTGAAATGCTTTGAAGTATCTAACGGTTTTAACGAAAAAACAGGATCTTCAAAGTAAAAATAAATTTAGGTTATAAAAAGTCTTAACTATATTTTTTCCGGTTGGTATAAGGTAAAATTTCACTGAAGTTTACTTTTAGGCTTTGGCTTGCGGGCCCAACCATACTCTTCAGGCAGATCACTGCTTGGACTGCATGAAACCAATAGAAGATAAGAATAGGTAATGAATACTAGCTTAATTGCCCGGTGTTGCCCGTTGGAAAACAAATTTCGAATTTTTAAATAAAACAAATTTAGATTTTTGAAGAAAAAAAATTATTTTCAAAAGAAAAAAATTTTTGTCAGAAAAAATTCTATTTTGGAAAGAAAAAAAATAGATTGTTTTAACCTATGTTACCAATGGTTTCCCTAAAAAAAATGTCAGCCAGGTTGGTCAGCCAGTTGGTCAGCTTACAGCTAACATATATACTTACAAATAACTTATATAACAATTAAAAATTATATAGCTAACATAAATACTTTAATGGATTTTTTAATGTTTTGACAAAGATAGACAGACGTTAATTAGTTGCAGGGAGTTATGAATTTAAGGAAACGACATTATAAATTCTGTACAGTCGTCTCGGAAGTCTCATCCTTTGTGGGTAACCCTGTATATTGTCCAGTTCCATGTTAATAAGACACACTACCAGTCTAACATACGAACAGAATGAAGCATTTTCAATTTAAACTGAACGAAGATAGTTTTTAAAAAACTGAACTAAAAGTATAATAAGAAATTGGCATCGTGGCACCCTGCATATTGTATTGGTCATTTGATCTCGTTGGTATTTATGGATATTTTAGGTTTTTTGGACTTTAAAAAGATTTGCACAAAATTTTGAGAAGTTTTACTTCCAAACTTTCTTTTCTAAACATTTGCTTTTCTACACTAAGTGCAATTTTAATCCGCGGAGAAGATATTTGCTAGAACGAACTTAACAACTGACAAAAAACGATCGTTCATCTCGTTCATCTCGTTCATCCGGTTCGTCTGATTCATCGGTTTCATCTGGTTCATCTGGTTCATCTGGTTCATCTCGTTCATCTGGTTCATCTCGTTCATCTGGTTCATCTCGTTCATCTGGTTCATCTCTGTTATCTTGTTCATCTCGTTCACCTGTTTCATCTGGTTCATCTGGTTCATCTGGTTCATCTGGTTCATCTCGTTTATCTCGTTCAACTCGTTCATATCGTTCATCTCTTTCATCTCGTTCATCTCGTTCACCAGGTTCATCTGGTTCATCTGGTTCGTTTTTTAGTCTTTTTATGCAAATATATTCTCTCTGGGTTTAAAATGCAAGGAAATAAAATGTTTAGAATAAACAGTTTTGAAAAGAAAAAAAATGAGTCTTTATCACAAGCTAAAATTTTCAAATCCCTTTATCTTTACAACCTGATGGTGTAAAGCTTTGATATTTCAAACCTATATTATTCGATCAAACAGAATTTATAGTTTGACATATCTAAGGTCTACGACATTGGGTTGCAACGATAAAGGGATTATAGAGCCTGTGTTTGCGCCAAAGACTCAATTTCTTTGTAAAACTTCTCAAATTTTTGTGGATCCTTTTTAAGTCCAAAAACCTTAAAAGTCTCAAAAAAATTACGAATTCAAATGCCCGACACTACAGTGTATATGCCGATAATTTGATAGAAGAATGGTAATATTAAACCACAACCACAATCCCAATAAGATGTGGCGATCCTTAAAATTGTGTTTTCTCTAGATGTTCTGCTTGTGGTTGGCCAGTTTGTAATACAGAATGTGAATCTGGTCCTAATCATGGAATAGAATGTTCTCTTCTCGCTGAAAATAGGTAAATCAAATCTTTTATCATTCATCATTGCAGGGACCAAGGGCGTATACAGGGGGGGAAGGGGGTAGTGCCCCCACCTAGACCTGTAAAGGGTAGAACTCAAAGCTATCACACTTTTCAAATCTGAAACTGAAGAGTGAAGAGTATTAAAAACCTGTTTTTTTTCTGCTAGTTCTGTTTGATGGAGATATGAAGTAGTCCTTGTATGTTAGGTGCCATGACAAACTCCTGACAGACAAACTCCTGAAAGACAAACTCCTGAAAGACAAAAAAATCCGCAAATATCCTAGAAAAAATTCTCAATCTTTAGTAATTTGAATATGCTTCAACCAGCAAAGTACTACAATGATCAGAATAACCAGCAAATTTATTATTATTCATTTTTTATTATTTAGGGTTAGGTTAGGTTAAGACACTTTCTGGGCCGAGTGCTGCGGCTAGGAAAGGCTAGGGGGCCGAGCGCTGCGGCCATGGGTTAGGTTAAGTTATGACACTTTTTGGGCCGAGCGCTGCGGCTAGATTAAATATAAATTGTGAAACATTTTTTTTAAATTTGATATTATGGAGTTTGTATTTCAGAAGTTTTTATTTTCAGGAGTTTGTCTCGTCAGGAGTTTGTCTCGTCAGGAGTTTGTCTTTCAGGAGTTTGTCTTTCAGGAGTTTGTCTTTCAGGAGTTTGTCTTTCAGGAGTTTGTCATGGCGCCGTATGTTAATTGGACTGTAAAGTGTATGCGTACCTTTAAAATATCCAAGAAGCCAAGTATTTTGAATTTACGGTTCAAACTTTGCCCCCCCCCCTAGAAGGTCGTAGGGGGTGGGGGAATTTGCGCTTCGCGCGTATTTGCCCCACCAGATTTATTTCTGTATACGAACTTGGCAGGGACTAAAGGTGTAATTTAAAGTTAAATTTCATTTTTAACATGAAGTGTCCATTTACAACGGTATTCCTTGAATCTTTGCCTGATAAAGGATGACGGTTAGTTATCCTTATTAATTTACAAAAATGCACGTAATTTGTGATTACTTTGCCTGTAAGTTTTTTATCTATAAAAATTTTTTAATTTCCTTAGTAGGAGTCGCAGGAAATAGATATTTTCATTAAAATTTTCTTAATTCTTACATCCAATGTTCGAGTATATCAAGAATTATGTAAAGTCAGTTGTGTTGAGTTTAGCGTACACTCTGAATGAAGTCTTCTGGAAATATGAACACCATTTTAGAGATATACACACGGATTTCTCTGCCGTCGCTTATAAGACCATGCATAGCTTAAATTGTAGTGTTCTATCCCCCTCTATCCCTATAAATAAAAGGGGTTTATCCCCCTCTATCCATAAATATAAAAGGTCACCTTAAATTTCGCCATCAGTTTTTTTAACATTTTTAGGTCAAAAATAGATGTTGAAGAATTGAAGGAAGAAGGAGTTCTCTACTGGCCAATATCAGCTCTAAGATTACTCATCCTTGCTAAGAGTAGACCCGGAGATTGGAGTATACTACAGAGAATGCTGGGACACAGGTAAAGATTTGTGGGTTAGGGGACACGTTTACTGATGAAGAGGTTGAGCATGTTAGTGGAGTTATTGGTAATATTTTCAACCATCATAATAAATGGAATCTAATTTCCTGTAAATGTAAACGATGTTTGACAACGATTGTCTTAATTTCGAAACAAAACATATATACTTTGTATGTTTGGGTGTTTTGGGTGTTTTTGTAACTAATAAACGTTTAAACGGCTAAACCGAACGGGCAAAAATTGTGTGTGGGACCTCACATGACCCCAGGGAAGGTCAAAATTGGGGAAAAAAGTCCTGAAAAAAAATTTGAATTTTTTCATGCGCCAATTCTAAAAAAAAATCAACATTTAGTAGGGTATATTTGTTTAATTTTGAAAACCAAAAGCAATTATGAATTTGTTTTAAAACTGATTCTTCGTTTATGAATTATTTTTAATTTTTGACCTCACTAAAAACTGCATTAAAATCATTTCTAATTTGAAATTGTATTTTAGACGTGAATAGTATCCGTTTAGCCACCCATGGACATGGTGTGTACGCTAAAACAGCAATTATGTCGCACTCGTGCCTTTCCAATACAAAGGTAAAGTAGGTTTTGTGCTTTTTTTAAATTTTAAGGGTAATAGATGATATTTTAAATATTATCTTGTTCTTAACTAAGAACTATACCGTATTTTCCGTTCTATTTTGAGGTCACCAGTTTCTTAGCGATCTCAATCTTATCAACAACGTTAACAGAAGATATTTTAGAAAATGTTAACGGCGCCAGAAGACCTTTAAAAATATAAAAACGCATAAAACACATAAAAGAAACTAAAAATGTTCTTAATTTTTAGTAGGTTTAATGCAATTTAAAGCAGCAAGTTAGCGAAACTTGATTTTTTAACAGTTGTTTTCGCTTAGACCTTGAGATTAACTAATCCTATGTTTTGTTGAGATTAGACAAGGGGATTAACAATCCTATGTTTAGTTGAGATTAGACCAGGAGATTAACACTCATATGTTTCGTTTAGATTAGATCAGGAGATTAACAAATCCTATTTTTAGTTGAGATTAGACCAGGAGATTAAGTAATCATATGTTTAGATGAGATTAGATCAGGAGATTAACAAATCCTATGTTCAGATGAGATTAGACCTGCATATTAACTACTTATGTTTTATTGAGATTAGACCAGGAGATTAACTAATCCTTCGTTTAGTTGAGATTAGATCAGAAGATTAACTAATCCTTTGTTTAGTTGAGATTATGAGATCAGGAGATTAACTAATCCTATGTTTAGTTGTAATTAGACCATGAGATTAACTAATCCTTTGTTTAGCTTAGATTATTAGACCAGGAGATTAACTTACCCTATGTTTAGTTAAGATTAGATCAGGATATTAACTAATCCTATGTTAAGTCTCTAATGAATGAGGACGGTACTGTTGATATAAGAGCTGTGGTTGAGATTAGACCAGGAGATTAACTAATCCTATGTTAAGTCTCTAATGAATGAGGACGGTACTGTTGATATAAGAGCTGTGGTTGAGATTAGACCAGGAGATAAACTAATCCTATTTTAAGTCTCTAATGAATGAGGACGGTACTGTTGATATAAGAGCTGTGGTTGAGATTAGACCAGGAGATTAACTAATCCTATGTTAAGTCTCTAATGAATGAGGACGGTACTGTTGAT